AAAAATCAAAGCAAATAAATAACTGGGTTTGAGTCAGAAAATCAGTCAGACAGGGTTCAGACAGTTATACTCAGTGGACCAAACCTCAGTTTTTTCAAATGATTCACAGAACAAAGACTGCAAAATGATTGAAAGCGTCCCTTTGAACCTTCTGTGCTATTCGGAAAACCTGAGCATGACGATGCTTTTGGGAAAGGTGGCTACTGAGCGTGAAATCTGAAAACAGCCTGTCAGACTATATTTGGTGTCAGCACTGAAAAAACTGATAGAGTGAATTTAACTGATTCAAACATGTTTATCGCTGCTGTCATAACCTTGTATCTCCATTTTGGTTGTTTTTCAGTTTTTTACATAATTTGAAAATACCTGTTGTTCTTTACAGTGTGTGTAAATTTCATGATGAATGGACAAAAAGAAACGACCCAAAATTACTTTGAAATTTACTTTAGTTCCATTGACTTACATTAAAAATAAAGTATGTTTTTTCCTTCTCCTGTAAAGTTACCATTTTGGAGATACGAGGTTTTGTTCCGACAACAGCGACATAGTTTTCACATGAATAAAGACAACATATTATGATGTCTTTTGATTTACACATAACTGGCAATAACTGTGTTGATGTTTCTGTGATGTAATGTATATTATTCATGTGAAATTGATGCATTTTGAACCAAGAAAATTCATTGCATTACTTATTCAGTGAGTGTTAATATCGCAAATGTATTTGGATCAACATTGTATTTAGAGGGCATTCCATTTGCAACCTCTAATACATTTGGTGTCCATCATAGGAAAACTATTTTTTACACCATAAATATGTAGTATAAATAATCTCTGATAAATGGACCAAAAGAAATGATCCAACATTATTTTTGTTCCATTAAATTCTGGTTTCATTAACGTACATTAAAGTTCAAAATGTGTTTTTCTTCTCCAGTTACCATTTTGAGACAGCAATTTTTTATTTTATCACAAAATGGATGTTTATGATAATGTCATAATATGCATATTACCTTTAATATGCAAATTTCATTAAAAAAAACAAGAAGGTCAAACACTATTATATTGACAGGATGTGGCCAATTAGTCCATCTACAGTCATTCACTGATGCCCAAATCATTCAGGATACAATGTAAGAATGGTGCATGAAATGGTTCTATATAGAACCATAAACACCCAAACAACCCTTTGCATGATTAAAAGGTTCTTTGCATCATGAAAGCGTTCTTCACACTGATGGGGAATGTGTTGTAGATGGTTCTATATAGAACCCAAAAGGGCTCTTCTTTTATTTTCGTGTTAAGCTTGTAACAATAGAAGAACCCTTTTGGGTGCTATATAGAACCCTTTTTAAAAAAAGGTTCTTACTGTATAGAAGTGTCTACAACACATTCATGCACATTTTCCATGAATCCGAAAAGCACTTTCATGACACGAAGAACCGTTTAATCATGCAAAGGGTTCTTTGAGTGTTAGAAATACATGTGTGATATAATATTTGATTAGATTATTTGATTAAATTATAATCAAACTGACTGTCCAAACTCATTTATCTTAAACTAAAGTGTACAGTTTTCTATTCATATTATTTTTAGCATATTATGTTTAGAATGAATAAAAGAAAATAGGTATTAACACTAAACTGTAGCAATTAGTCTGACATATTTAAATAATATTCAAGAAATTTTCATACATGGCTATTAACATATCATTCAATTTTACATTGTTGTTCTTTGCGAGGTTCGCACATTAAACAGTGTTTAGGAAATGCCCCGTAAATAAGATGTTATCACCACAGACATTTTGTCCAGTGCTGACCACTGGGACGTGTGGAATGTATATGATGTGTTATATGGTACAAATGATTTCTTTAAAAATGTACACAAAGCACAAATATCATTGCAATATTCTGGTGTTAGGGGAGCACTATGAAGCTAGATTCACTTAACCAGCAAGCTAACTGGTTTAATTACAGGTGGTCCAAACTTAAACTGATTGGTCACCATATTTTCCTTCCCACCGGACTGCTTCTTCAGTTTCATACTGGAGCTACGAGGCTAATTTAGCTTCCCTGCTAAAATAAAAAAAACAGCTTGTACAGATGAAGTTAGTTCAGCTAGTTGACCAGCACTGGGATATATTTTTGTTTGAGTTTCATAGTCTAGCTGGTCTACCTGCATGACCAACATGACCAAACTGGTCAACCAGCACAACCAGTTTGTGACTAGCATGCTAGTCACATGACTGGAATGACAGAATTGGCCAAGCTGGTCGTGTAACTCAAATAAAGCCATATTATATGCTTAACTAAGCATAGGGTATGTTTCACCTAGTCCAGCTTCTCGACCACCTTGACCGTTAAAGACTAGCTTAGCGTCTGAAACCAGCTACCAGCAAAAGCTGGTCTTAGCTAGATCTTTCAGCAGGTGATAGCAAGTAATGGAAGCTAATAGCTGTCAGGTTAGCATTTTTAAACTACATACCTAGTTTATTACACACATCAAGCTATTTTTTAATCTCAAATAAACCGAATTCAGGCTACAATATAGCTGCTGCTACTGATTTAGTTATGCTAATGTACTTTTGTCCATGTTTATAGACAACAGTGTGTCATAAACCACATAATCAAGTCTATTAGAGATTCCTGAACATCTCCACACGGTTTGAGACAAATATGAGAAGATTTGAGCGTTCAGTTACCTCAACGCTATTTATGAGTAGCAAAAGCTGCTTGTTAGCGATATTAGCTGTGTAGCTCCTCTGCAAAACCAAAGAACACCAAACATGCCTTGGCTGAGTGACCCCATTTAAGGTAAGAAGGTAAGAAAATGTGCAGATTTTATTCATTTATTTATTTGCATACATGTTTAAATATTGCTTTAAGTCCACAGCTAGCTGGCTAACCCACAAAACTAGCTTCATAGCACAACCTCGAATCCAGGATCAGGCTCCATGTGTTTACAGTGCCTTGTACAGTAAGATTGTGAAGCACTTTTTGAAATCCTGATGTTTCTTGGAATTTTTTTATGGAATTGCTGGTGAGGAGCACATTTATATCATATAGCGATGCTGAAATGACCGTCACATTTACATATTTACAAAAGTCACTCCGAAGTAAGTAATCCATAGTAATGTTCTGGCGCTGGTCTTGGCCTCACGGTTCCGCTGGTGGATTGATTTGATCTTTAGTGCATGGTGGATTTTTGCACTCCGATTTTTAAAGGTTGTTGTTGGTGTTCCAAAGTCCTGCAAACGTTTCTAGCTTTCTCCATTTTCCTTCCAAGAGGCAAAGCAAGTTCTAGATACCTCCAAGGAACTCTAACTGTTATAGAGAAGTTGTTTGGTTGTAGAATGTCTGCAGAATATTTTCAGCCACTAGGAAGACTGGGATGCAGTGCTATGTTGGTCAGCCCGTGACTCAGCAATATGTTCTCAAAGGCAGCCATCATGGTCCTCAACCAAGGTCTTCCTAAGAACTTTTAACCCAGGGGTTCCCAGTCTTGGTCCTGGAGATCTACCACCCTGCAGAGTTTGGCTCACCCCTAATTTAACACACCTGATCCAGGTAATCAAGGCCTTCAGCATCTTCTGAATATTACAGCTGGATCTAAACTGTCCAGGGTGGTAGATCTCCAGGGCCGTGATTGAGTATCCTTGACTTAACCCCTCAAAATCCCAGGCTTATTATATACTATCGCTTAGTATTCAGTAACTACAGGGACTTCAATGCAAACTGCTTGAGCTACATTCTTTAAAAAGATGGTTCTTTCAGGGTTCTTTAGTAAAGAAAATGGTTCTATATAGAACTCAAAGAACCATTTGCATGGGGTCAGTTGAGTCTCTGCCTGGTGAAATGGTTCTTCAGATTGATGGAGAATGTGTTGTATATGTTTCTATAAGGCAACAAAAACGGTTCTCCTTTTGTTACAAGCTTGATATTGTAACAAAAGCAGAACCCTTTGTGGTGCTATATAGATCCCTTTTCAAAAACCATCTACAGCACATTCTCCATCAATCTGAGGAGTCCCAATTAATCATGCAAACGGTTCTTTGAGTGTTCATAGTTCTATCTAGAACCATTTTCTTTACTAAAAAAAACCCTGAAGAACGTTTTAGGTGTGCATTCTTAGGTTATAGACGTGTGTAATAAAACTTTGGGCCCACCGGTCCATTCTTGAAGAATCCATAGTCTTAGCAAAAAAAAAAGGTTCTATATAGAACCAAAAAAGGTATCATGACCTAACGTGACAACATTGGAACCCTTTTTGATGCTATGAAGAAACCATAGAAGCTTCTTTAAGGAGTCATACGCAACAAGTTCTCCATCACAGAGAAGAGCCATTAATCCATGCAAAGAACCATTCAGATGGTTCTTTGAGTCATGTATGTAAAATCATTGCCTTTACTAATGAAACTCTGAAGATCCGTTTGTATTTTGATGCTACTTCCATCAAAAAAAGGTCCCACAATTCTTTTCAATTCTGGGCACGAGAGGAAAATTCCTGCTTTGCATTCTATTTCATATCATCCAGTGAAGAGTGAAGATCTCAAATGCAAGTGATCCATCATCGAAGTCAGAGCCGATACAGCTCTGGATCCACTGAATTGACCAGAAAAGCACTGTGATTTCTGGGCCTCCATGCTCCAGAACTACTGGCCGTTTCTCTTTCTCCACGATCCTCCATGTTTGTTCGGTCGTTTGCTGCCCCCTGTTGAAGGGCACAAGCATCCACAAGGTCAGCTGATGAAATAGATCCATCAGCAAAGTTCATTAGATGAGTCGTTAACTCACAAAACAAGATCAGCTGCACACGAAAGTTTATTTTAGGTTGAACGTGATCTGCCTTGTTTCTGTCTGTTTATAGAGGACAGAGTTTTCTCCAGGGCTTTTATGCTCCTCGGTTTATATCCTCATAGGAGCAGGACGAGGGTAATAAAGTGTGTGTGTGTGTGTGTGTGTGAGTGTGTGTGTGTGTGTGTGTGTGTGTGTGTGTGTGTATGTTTCAACAGAACGCTCCGTCGTCCTGAAAGTGGGTCCTCTGCAAAACCTTCACGTGGCGCTCGTAGATCTTCAGGGCAGGGCCAAGTCTAATGGATAGGCCGGTCAGCACATCGTTGCGCTGCATCAGGAGGAGGGACTTTCCCATCTATTTCCTGTTACAAAATAAAAGTCAAAGGGGTCAGACTGTTAAGTCAAATCAGGCGTACTTCTGTCATCAAGGTTTTTAGGGATAAACGTCTGTCTCACAGTCTAAGCAGCTAAGCTATGCTAAGCTACTATCCCAGTTTTTGTTGGTGTAATCAAGGTTTTTAGGGATGAACGTCTGACGTACAATCTAAGCAGAAAGTTTGATATCTATGGTGGTTTGAACAGTGCTAGCATGCTAAGCTAACATCATTTTTTTTTCATTTGTGTAATCAAGGCTTTTAGGGATAAACCTCTGTCTTACAGTCTAAGCAGGAAGTTTAACAGCTTCTGTCGTTTAACCTCTTATTCTCCATCTGAATTTACGTGACCAAATCTTAAGGCAAATTAAATTCAGTAACTGCATGAAATAAATGTAAATTTTTATTTTATTTATTTATTTTTTTTGTAAAAGTTCCCCTCAGATTAACAGAACATGTGTTTTATGATCACACATATTGCTATATGCTTACAATTTACTGCTGAAAGCCAAAAATCTTGGACGCTCTTTGTATTATTTTATAAAAATAATTTTTACAGACTATATGACTGAAGAGACGCCATCTGTTTATAGTTTACAGCCCAGATTTGTGGAAAAATGGGTCGACTTTCAGTAGAAAAAAAATTGTGAGTTCAGCTTCTAAGTGTTTAAAATTACATCACCAATCTATTTGACTGGAAAGAAGATGGTTACAGAAGTGCGTCTTGGAACCACCGGTGGTCCCAAGGAGTATAAGAGGCTACATGTTGCTAGCTTGCTAAGCTACTATCCTAGTTTTTTCATTTGTGTAATCAAGGTTTTTAGGGATAGCCATCTATGTTACAGGCTAAGCAGAAAGTGCAACAGCTGTGTAAACTATAAGCTAGATGAGTTAACAACATAGTTTTTGTTGTGTAGTCAGGATTTTTGGTGAACGTCCATCTTAAAGCTGAGCAAGTTCTGTTTTAACATGGCTGTTTTAACACTGCTAGCAAGCTAAGCTGGCATTGTTGGGTTTTTGATGTGTAGTCAAGCTTTTTTAGGGAAAAAGGTCTAACTCAGCTTTAGCAGAGATGTGTTAACATCGCTAGCTTGCTCATTTAACACTAGTTTAAAAACGATTAAAATATTGAATCACAACTTATTGCATTATTTACAGTGTTAGTGTTCACGGCTGTAATTAAATATTACTTTGTGAAATTAATTATGATGAATCATATTTTGTGTAGTTATTTCTGATTAATGTTCTTTTAATGTGTAGTTAATTATTAATCTAATTAGTCTGATTTGCTCATTTTGCTTAATTTGAATTTTCTATTTAAAAAGCAGTTTTCCAGTTTTCATCGCTGACATCCAGTGGCCCAGTGTTCCAACCAAACCAAATGAGTGTATATATCATATATCCAGTCAACGTTTCAGTTCCTCTGTGATCGTAGCCTCCTACTTTAGTTCATTTAGCTCATGGATTCTTGTTACAGTGGAGGCTCTGAAGAGGAGCTAGAGTTTTCAACTTCACGGTTGCTTTTGTTAGTTTGCTACTCATTGATTTATCCAAAGTTCTCCCACAAGTGCTGTCCAGTGAAGGCGGCTGAATGTATTGCGGTAGAAGCCATTTAAAAAGCTATATTTGAACTATGAAGCTTCTAGAAGGCAAAGATGGATTCTATCATAGTAACATACAATGCACTGCAGCTGGACTTCAGCCTGAAATACTACAGAGGGTTTAAAGGGTCAAACTCTGAAAAAGGACTAAAAATATAGTAGCATTAATAATTAATACCACTGACAACCCTAATATCCTAACTTTTGCATTATGGCAAAAGCAGAAAATGCAATTAGAAAGTTCGTGAACAAACTTTAAGTTGGCTTATAAGGTGTTGCTAGGTGCTTGGTATGGTGTCCCAGCCACCTTAAATTTACTGATACCTTAAATTCACTGCCACCTTAAATTCAGTGCTTACTTAAATCTACTGCCACCTTAAATTTACTGATACCTCAAATTCACTGCCACCTTAAATTCAGTGCTCCTTTAAATGCAATGCCACCTTAAATCCATTATTTGTGCTGATATTGCTGTGCATTAGGCTGTAAGCGTGCGAGTTTGTGTGTACTGTGTATGAGTGTCTGTGTGAAAGATGTGCATTGTGAAAATACCATCTTTGAATGAAATAAAATAATAATAATAATAATAATAATAATATAATTAGATTAAGAAGGACAGTAAGTTGGCTTACCGTTTACCTTTCAAGCCAACTTAATAATATTTTGCTATGGCCCATATTAATAAAGTTCAGCTATTTGGTGGCTGAGAAGGAGAGAGGCAAATACAAGTTTAGCTAGTTAGCAACATTACAACAAATGAAGCCAGCAAACTTTCTACTTAGCTCATACTTAAAACCTTAATTACACAACAAAAAAAATTACATTCAATCTATGACTATATTGTGATCTTTCACTTGCATACAAAATAAACATAAACATTAGCAACATTTGGTATGAAAGAACACATCTGTGCGTGGAGCATGAGTACGTCAATTAGCGATGTGTCCCGAAGCAAGTTTGATTCTTCACCTCCCAAGTTTTTATACAAGTGCATGACAAACAAGTAGTACCTCGAAATGGACAAAAGTATGGACACAATTCAGACTTTCATCAGCCATGCTAATGTACTTCAGTCAGTGTTTATAGATAACAGTGTGTCATACAGTGTCAGAAACCACATAAGTAAGTCTATTAGAGATACTGAACAACTCAACGTGGTTTGAGACAAGTCCAATTTAGACATGCAGTTAGCATGATGCTAATTGGGCTAACATAAGCCTCCATTATTTGTTAGCTACAATAGAACTAAAGAAGCAAACTTCAGACACCAAACACATCCTGGCTGATGAAGTGTGTTTGAGGTGAGAGGGGAACTGTGTAAATTAGCTTTTTTTGCTAAGCTATCAAATTAAACAGAGTGCAGGTGTTCTCTCTCTGTTGTGCCCTGCAGCTGCAAACGCCCTTGGGAATGTGATTAATTCCTTGCACCAGCACACATACGTGTTCCTCGATGTTAAGAGGTAGTGCTGTGTGCACCTTGTTCCCAGGTATTTATGGGTAATGTAGTTTAAATAGTATACCTGTGTCCTGAAGGCAAGAGCTTGCTCTGGAAACCCCACAGCTGTGAAATAGCTGGCTACATCTGCTACTGTCCAGTCGACTGGGTTCACGATGGTAGACTCCGACTTCACAAACCTAACGCACCCACACAGACACGCAAAGTCAGGATGAATTACTGATTGGATCTTGGATTTTGCTTAAATTAATGGAGGTTTTTGTCATTTTTTCTAACTCATATTACTCAGTAAATACTATAAACTTAGTTACTAAAGTTACTATAGTAACTACTATGAATTACTTGGTAAATATTATGGATTATTTAGTAACTTCTATGCATTTTTTAGAGACTACTATAAATTATATAGAAGCTACTATAAATTATTTACTATCTTTTATAAATAATTTGGTAACCACAATAAATTATTTAGTAACAACTATACCTTCACTTAGTATTATGAATTATACAGTAACTACTGTAAATCATTCTGTGACTGGGGAGAGCGTTTTTGTTTTGTTTTGTTTGGTTTTTGTTTAATAACTTTAAAAACATTTAAGCTGGAATAATGAGATTTTTATTCAAGCGACAAATATACCTCTGTTACAAAGAAACGCTTGAACTTTGTTTCTAGCACCTACTGTTCATGTACAATTCCACCCAAATTGATGGGAAGTGCAGTGTTAAAATTTAGCCCAGGGGTGGGTTAATTATAACAGATAGACAGTCAGTTATAACACTTACTAGAAAAGCCTGATTAATTAGTGCAACAAGGTTAATAAAAAACTGTATGCTGTAGGAAAAAAATATATATTTTCCAATCAAACTGCATTGTTATCTATCTATGAGACAGACAGACAGTTCAAGTGATACATACACACACATACATCAAATTATATATGAAAACTATATGAGACTGTGTGTCAAACAATGAGTGTGTTTACATGCACTCAGTAATCTGATCATAATCTGATTTCTGCAGTTATCCGATCATTCAAATGGTCATGTAAACAGCACACTCTGATCTAGAAATTTGATTAAGAAATCTGATAAAGAGAGCTGGATTTTAGCTCAGTAATCAGATTTCTCAGTGCATGTAGACTCTTACTCTGATTTCTTTCGGATTTCTCAGTCTGCGCATGTGCGAAAACAGACGGTGGATGTCACGAGATGCAGCAAAACACTTTTGAAGCAACGCTGAAACCAAATACATGCTTGACGGAATGAAGGATGTAAATACTCTTCATCTTCTAGATGATGTATGTTCATATTTTCAGGTAAAGTGGAACAATGTTTAAAAAAAAGCAGCAGCATGAAGTTCGAGTTTTACGTTTTACTCACGTCTTCATCTGTGAGTTTACTGGCTGGTTGCAAAGCAGAAATCTGATTACTGTCTGACTCATGTAGACCCAGAGTTTCCCCATTATCTGATTACCCAAGTGCATGCAAACACGTTGATCAGATTACTGACAAAATCTGATTTTCTGCAGTTATGGGATTATTAAGTGCCTGTAAACACACTCATTGACAAGTTTACTTTTGTCCAGTGTAGGACAGCATAGAAAAGCATCACACATCAGTAAAATATGGAACATTGTTTCTGAATAACTACAGCTTTACCAACGGATAATGTCAATTTTATTAATATACTTCTTTAAAATCAAAATTCTAACATCTGAAAGATACTAATAACGTAGAAGAAAATCCCTGTTTTCAGATGTTTTCTCTCTTTCATCTTAAAATCTGTGTAATTGTATGTAACAAAAAGATTAAATTTACTGTATTTGTCTTTGTTTACTAAAGGTGGCTCAGTTGTAACACAGTGTAACAACTAACCCTGCAGTACGGAGGGAGGTTCTACTAGCGCTTGCTGTGAGCTTGTCAGCTGCTTCAAAACGGTGCTGCATTGTCAGCAACAAGATGGTGATTGAAGTAATATAAGGTTAGATTTTGAGATTTACACAAACAGCTCAGTAACCGAAAAAGCTTCTGTTGAAAAAAATGACCTGCATGCCCTGAAAACACTCTTTGGCACAGATCTCTTTAAAACGCTGACCAATCGCTCTGAATTTTGGTGGGAGGCCGTGGCTAGGAAATGTGGTAATTTGGCCAGAAGCTCACGCTGCTTGACCTTCTTTAACAATGTTAGAAGTCTGTGTTAATTTGTGTCCCGTGTTAGGTTGTTTCCCTACTATTAATAACTCAGTTATTCATTATTCAGAATATGAAACTAATATGTAGTTCATGTAGTTAAGACAGAGAGGACATGTGGGGTTAAAAAGAGTTACATTCTGTCTGATACCAAACTGAAATGAAAAGTTGTTCTTTCGTTGTTCTACAACATTCATGTTCTCCAGTTATTTCACAATGAGTTAAATGTATCAACGGAGACGGAAGTTTCTGCTACATCTGTTCCATACTGTGGTTTCTCTTCTCTCTTTTTGCACTTTTTGTCAGACGAAGGAAGTAAGCCAGTAATATCCTTCTGAGCCCAAAAGTGCAACACCACATGTTTTAAACTCTGAGGCTACAGCACAGTCCAGTGATTTTCTTGCTCAAGCACTCCTGTTATAAGTCCTCAGTGTATTACCAATACAGTAGATCTGTTTGAGCAGGAAAATCACCAAACTGTGCTGGACTCTCTGGGTTTGAGTTCTCTGAGATAAAGTCCTGAAATTACTGAACACTGGGCTGAAAAACAGCACAGCACTCTCGTTTTCTATCTGTCTCTCTTCTGCCCCCATTCATTTCTATGTCTCTCTCCTCTTCATTCTCTATCTTCCCTCTTTCTTCCAGGTGCAAATTATCATATCTTACCATTTTCTTGTATTTTATTGTTGGTTATCCCAATTGATTGGTTTTATATATATATATATATATATATATATATATATATATATATATATATATATATATACATATATATGTGTGTGTGTGTTATTGATGCAAAACACAAGCATGTGGTAATTTTTTGTTTTGTTCTGAATGAAAATAGGATGGCTTTTGTGACTTTAGTAGCCTCTAAAGTCTTAGAAAACACGCACTTCTCGCATGTCCAATATGTTTAATAGACTCAGACCATTTCAGCGAACACAAGGCTGTTTTCACTCGAGCTCCTAGAATGTCAGTAGCTCCCCCTTGTGGACAATTTTATTAAATATGAATGAGTGAGTGAGTGAGTTAGAAGCCAGGTCCATGAGGGGCTTTGCATCTAAAGAGCACTCAGAGCTGAAACACTCCTTATAACTTCAGTTATCAACAGATGGAGCTAAACCACTGTAGGTTGAATTGGTGGATATATGTAAATGTGTTGGATCTGGTGGTGACATCACAAAAACAGTGAAAAGACTTAGTTTCCTTATATGGACCGTATAGACTGGGGAGTGAATGGTACGTTTCGTAGCTTTAGTAACATTTGTGTACTTCATCAAACTGCATGGAAAAATTCCGTTTTCCACGATATGATCTATTTTATCATTCATCGTACTCACACTCCTCCATTCATCCCTCGTTCCTCAGCTGCTCCTGGGGAGGCGGAGGGAGTGAGCAGACATGAGGACACGCCCACCTCCGTCTTACAGCCCGAATCTGACAGAGACACACAAAAAGAGTTATACACAAATAGACACCAGCCGTTCCAGTCAAGGTTTCAAACTTTTCAAACAGGTTTGCACCCATTTTAATTGTGTACTGAGGTATACAGTGTGAAATACATAATAAAAGGGCCCTATTTGTCACATACATTCATCATCTAGTCATCTACAAACAAGGCACAGTGTCAGCAACACTTACACAACAGTACAGAAAAATTTGTGGATAAGCAAAGCATCTCAACATGTGGAGGCCAATAATTAAGGAGAACGATTTCTATACAGTATTGAAAAAGTCAAAATATAAGCATGAAGAACAGTGGACGGAAATTGGAAACTATACGTTAGACAGACCCCTTGCTCTCTTCAGAACATCCCTCATTTACATTCTTTCATGGAAACCATTATCAGTGAGCAAAACTAGGCATCTGGGTGCAGCCTATCAGAGTAAAGTGGGCTAGAAGGGGGCGGGCCTTATGATATGCACTTACCCACATTTACTAACTGGGCTTTTATTCTGAAGAGCTTAAAAAATCTAGGAGTTTGCTATCTTTTATTAATACCACTTGAGAACTTACAACTCTTTATGGGAATGGAAGAAGGAACCACCACATTGTCCAGCACCACAACTGCTTGATTCTGAAAGAAAAAGAGAGAGAGAGAGAGAGAGAGAGAGAGACTATATTACAAGAAGAGTATTATATAACGTGTGTAAGACTGGGCCAAATGTGATGTATAGAGCACAAGTCAGAGGCTTCCTCCAAGACCTGTGAAGCACCACCACATCTTTTTGAGCTGCCACTAACGCAACATCATTGGACAGCTGAACACTCTCGGAGGAAAGCGCCAACCACCAGTTCTGATAGGTCAGCTAACAAACACCTGCACTGGTTAGCATTGCGCTAGGTGTTGGGGGAGACAGGGGGCCATCCTACCCACCCAGAGAGAGCGAGGCCAGTTGTGATCTTTTGGACTTCTGGCCACAGATGGTGAGCGTGTTTTTGAGTGGGGTTACCTGTATGTTGTTCAAGTGTAGATTTGAGTGGGTTACCTGTGTGTTTGAGAAGCGTAAATTTGAGTGGGATTACTTGTGTGTTGGGCAGGCGAAGATTTGAATGGGGTTACTTGTGTGCTTGGGACGTCTAGATTTGACTGGCTTACCTGTGTGTTGGTCAGATGTAGATTTTGGTGGGTTACCTGTGTGTTTGGTAGGTGTAGATTTGAGGGAGTTCCCTGTACCTTGGTCAAGTGTAGATTTGACTGGGTTATCCGTGAGTTGGTCAGGTGTAGATTTGAATGGGAATGGGTTACCTGTGTGTTGGTCAAGTGTAGATGTCAGTGGGTTATGTGTGTGTTTGGGAGGTGTAGCTTTGTGTGGGGTTACCTATATGTTTGGCAGGTGTGGATTGGAGTGGGGTCACCTGTGCGTTGGACAGGTGTAAATTTACATGGGGTTACTTGTGTGTTGGGCAGATGAAGATTTTAGTGGGTAATCTGTGTGTTTGGGATGTGTGGATTTGAGTTATTTGTTTGTTTGGGAGGTGCATATTTGACTGGGTTACCTGTGTGTTTGCTAGGTGTAGATTTGAGTGAGTTACCTGTATGTTGGTCAAGTGTTATTTCAATGGGTTACTTGTGTGTTGGTCAAGTGTAGATTTCAGTGAGTTACATGTGTTTGGGAGGTGTCGATTTGTGTGGAATCACCTGTATATTGGTCTGCAGTTGGTTTGGTGTGGCTGCCCTTTGTTCCTCTCTCAAACATGCTGTCCCAAAAGATGCCACCTGTTTCATCATGTCACCTACAGTGGGAAAGAGAGATGCATGGACATGTCAGATTCATTGGAGAGGTCAGGTTAGAATCCATCCAGGAATCCTCAACCTTCTTGTGGAGAACCCGTCAAAAATCCTGGCTGGAAATGAATCACCACAAAAAGCACACTCTGCATGGCATTTGTTGAAACTTAGCAACTGTGTCTGTCCAGTGAGGCAAGCAACCAGGTGATATTTAGATCAATCACAGACAGGAAGAGGTCATAAAACAAAAGACACCATGTTATGAGTTCTATTTGCACACAGTGCACCACAGAAATTTAAACCACAGTGTCTTTCCTGCTCAAAAGATGTCTTTGAGTTATTTTGGTGACTCACCTTAACAATCACAATGGCGCACAATTTACGTCTTATGTTTCAAATACAGTTATTATACACTATTTCTTCCCATTATTACCAAACAATGCAAAACAGACTTATGAAATATGTTTTGGGAAGAGGGCCGTGTCTGAAGCTCCTCCTTTTTCCAATCTAAGGTGCTATAAACTCTACCTTCTTGTTTCCTGTGAAGAAGTTTTCATACCACACCACCTCTCCAGGTCCTCCCTGTTCCTCAGTCCTATCTCTCCTACATCTGTTCATTAAGGGTGGTTCTGGTCTTCTAGCTTGAAGCAGAAGCTCAACAGAACTGGGGTTCAAGTTCTCAGAGTCATATTGCCCCTTCTCACAACCACATCGCTGCTGTCCCTTTTTTACACAGTGTTTGTGAGTTCAGACCATGCCTTCAACATGGCGGTGGTAGTATTAGGGGAGACTGATTGAGGGAGGGGGAGAACTCTTAGAATTTGGGCTGGAGTTCTGGGCAGCTTCTGCCTGTAGCTGGAAGGCCGGACCCCCTCATAGCTGTAGTAGGACTGATGCAGGGAGATAGGGAGGCGGTGGGGATTGCGAACCTTTCGTCAAGGGAATGAAAGGCAAGGATGTGGATTTATTGGCGGTTAGACTGGAAGAAGTAGGGGTTTCAGCCATGTTCCTCCCCCCAAACCTCAGTAACCTACATTAAAGGGCTGCTGCCGAGGTAAAATTTTTCAGGAAACCAAAAATCGCCAAAAAAGTGAGACACTTTTGTGTTGTTTCCACGGTGACAATATGTTGAAGATGTGGCTCGTACCAGCAAAACAGCATTTGGGGCTCTTTTGGCTCTATGAATTTTAGAAGGCAAGCCATTTCCTTTAGTATAACAATAATAAAATGAGTTCCAGACTTGTTACTCTATTTTTTTCCGGAATCTCTAATTGTGTAGTTCGGTAGCTTGGATAATTAACTGGATTTATTTATTTATATATATTTAACAACACTCAGTCTTGTCAGACATCAACTGTTTCTGTTTCACACAGTTACACAAACAGAGACTGGGAATACCTTCACTATCTGCTTCCTGATGAAGAGAATTGAGTTTTGCTGGTGGTGGTGATGCCAACAACAAAGACGGGCGTTTCTCCACTGGCATCATCGCTGGCTGAGCGTTTTCACTCGGCTTCACCTCCAGACTGACTGAAACTGGACTGTGCTCTTGACTCGTGACTCCTGCTTGACCTTCACCCTTGGTTGTCTGGGTGTCGACCGGTGTGGGACTTTCACCCTCTTCCTCCACCTTCTCCTCCTCCTCCTCCTCCTCCTCCTCCTCACTCTCAGTCTCCATCGGCTCTTCATCCTTCTCTTCTTCCTGTAGAACAAGCGGAGAGACTGTCTGTCAGACAGATGCTCCTTGTTTTTGAACTCCTCCTGCAAATTTCTCGGGGAACTCAGCTATGCAGTGATGATGTGCAGGAGTCCCTGCTCTACTGAAACGTCTTACTGATTTCTATCAAGCCTGACTGAACCAAATCAAGCATTTCATAACTGTCCACTGAGCTGAATCAGGTGTACAGTGGGTCTCCACTGCTGTAGATCACACTATACAAATGACTCTAAATGTACAGTAACTTACTGGCAGTGATTTAAAGTTTTTTGAAGGATCAAATACCCTAATAAAGAATCAACGGTTTTCTGGAAAAGAAAAGAAAAGAAAAGAATGAAAAGAAGAAAAGGAGGAAGGGAAAGGAAAGGATAAAAGAAAAGGAAAGGAAAGAAAAGGAAAGGACAGGGAAGGAAAGAAAAGGAAAGGACAGGGAAGGAAAGGAAAGGAAAGGAAAACTGATTCTGGACAAAAGAAATCGCGCGAGCTGATGAGTAAGGCTGTAGCCCGTGTCTCGCGCCCCGTCCCCCCTCCCTCCCTCCCGTCCGTAACCCGCGGATTCCGAGTCCGTCTTATTAGACCAGTAATGAGCGGCGCGAGGAGGGAACCGGCGCGCTCACGCCTCTCAGCTATGTCGCGCGCATTTCCGCCATCGCAGCATTTTCCCCCGTTTTTTCTTTTCCTGCTCCTCCTTTTAACCTCCTTCATCCCCCGCTTCTGTCGCGCTCTCCTTCTCTTTTTGTTCTCTCTCTCTCTGTCTCTCAATCATTCTCTCATTCACACTTTCTTTCTCATTCTGTCTCTCTCTCTCTTTTCTCTCTCTGTGTTCTCTCTCTCTCTCTCTTTCTCTCTCTCTCTCTCTCTCTCTCTCTCTCTCTTTCTCTCTCTCTCTCTCTCTCTGTTCTCCCTCTCTCTCTCTCTCTCTCTCTCTCTGTCTCTCAATCATTCTCTCTCATTCACACTTTCTCATTCTGTCTCTCTCTCTCTTTTCTCTCTCTGTGTTCTCTCTCTCTCTTTGTCTCTCTCTCTGTTCTCTCTCTCTCTCTCTGTTCTCTCTCTCTCTCTCTCTGTTCTCTCTCTCTCTCTGTTTCTCCCTCTCTCTCTCTCTCGCTCTCTCTCTGTCTCTCAATCATTGTCTCTCATTCACACTTTCTCATTCTGTCTCTCTCTCTCTCTCTCTCTCTCTCTCTCAGCGTGTTAGAGTTCAGAGGCGCCGCCTTAGTGAAAACACAACTCTCACGTGGAGGAAAATGAAATGAAACAATGCCCCTCCGGCTCCTCCGGCCCCGCGCGCGGCGTGGAGAACAAAACACATCGTCATTTGTCTCGCTCGGGCGGGGGTGAGGGGGGGGGGGGGTTGGGGGGGTCCGTTCTTCTCGGGGCTCGCGTTCGCGAGTATTTGTGACTGTAAAGGGTGAAGATCAGCGGACGAGGAGCAGCTGGAGCAGACAGACAGACAGACAGACAGACAGGTGAACAAACAGACAGACAGACAGACAGACAAACAGACAGATAAACAGACAAGAGAGACAGACAGGTGAACAGACAGACAGACAGACAGACAAACAGACAGATAAACAGACAGGCAGGCAGACAGACAGACAGATAGGCAAGTGAACAGACAGACAGATAAACAGAAAGACAAACAGAAAGGTGGACAGATAGACAGACAGACAAGTAAACAGACAGACAGGCAGACAGATATGCAGACAGACCGACAGACAAAAAGACTGACAAACAGTTAGAGAAACAGACAGAAAGGTGGACAGATAGACAGACAGACAGATATAAACAGACAGAAAGGCAGATAGACATACAGATAAAGACAAAGACAGACGGACAGATAAACAGACAGACAGACAGACAGAGGGGGCGCGAGCTGAGGCGGGAGCCCGCCGCACCTTTTCGTGCTGCTGAAGTGAAACACAAGCAGTCGAACTGTGTCGCGCGGGGCCGTCACGTTCGCAAAACACACATGCACGCACGCATATACACGAACATGCGCGCACGCACGCGCACGAAAACATGCGCTCGAGCGCGCACACACACACACACACACACACATACGAGCGCAGACAGGGGCGCTCGTGCACTGACACGCACACAACAAAAGAAGTCGCGCGCGCCTGAGTCCATGCAAAACAGACGCGCCACTTCAGCAAAGCGACACAAACACAAACAAACGCACAGACGCCGCGCGCTCGAGCCGCCCCGCCCCGCCCCAGCCCGCCGCTCTGCTCTTTCTCTCCTCCGCGCGATCATTTATTCAAACGCAGACATATAAAGAAACGAGCGCGCGCCTGCCCGTTTTCGCGGGACGTGCGCGCCATGTCAAACTTCACCTTGCTCTCGTCGTCCCGCGCGCCTCCTCCTCCTCCTCCTCCTCCTCCTCCGCTCTGCTTCTTCTTCTTCTTCTTTTTCTTCTTCTTCTTCCTGGACAGTCGCGCGCCTTCTGCTCCTCCTCCCCCCCCTCCTCCCGAGCCGGTGTGCGCGAGCACACACGCCGCTGTCCCGCGCTGCTGCTGCTGCTGCTGCTGCTGCACGCGGCCCGCTTTGTTCTTGCTCTTCGTCATCATCATCATCACCACCGCTTTGTTCTTCTTCACGCCGTTGTTCTTCTTCTTCTCCAGCATCTCGCGCTCCAGCTGCAGGGCTCGCGCGCGGCGCCGCGTCAGCGTCTCGTCCTGCTCGCGCGCGCTGAGGCAGCCCAGGATCTCCCTCAGTCCCAGCAGCGCGTGACCACCACCAGCGGCGGCGGCAGCAGCTGCACGAGCGGACAGACTCTCGCGCCCGGCGTCGCTCTCGCCGCAAGTTTGCCGCTCTCGCGCTTCGGCGGCGCTCGAGCCCCCTCCGCCGCAGCTCTCGCGCGACGACTTTGCAGAACTCTCCGAGCGCGAGGGCTCGGGCTTTTGTTGCTCGTGCTCGCGATCCGCGGGACCGAGCACGCGCTCGCCGCTCCGGCTGTTCCCGTCGTTGTTATTACTGCCGCCACTGTTATTAATGTTATTATTAACAGTGTTATTATTGGTATTATTAGTCCTCGCGCCGTCGTGCGAAGGGCGCTCGAGCCCGCTGTCGGTCCTCCGGCCCTTCCGCTGCACTCTGGCCGCGTTCCGGTACGAGATGGAGCCCTTGTAGCTGACTTTCAGCACCGTCCGCTCCTGGATCAGCTTCTCCAGCTCGGCGCGCGTGCGCTCCGGGTCCGAGCCGTGCCGCCGCCGCACCATCCGGCAGATCCGCTCCAGGTCCGGGCGCGCCTTCCGCGAGCGCAGCGAGTCGATGGTCTCCAGGATCCAGTCTCGGTAGCGCGGCTCCGACATGGCTCCGTGTCCGCGTGCGGCTCCTCCTCCTCCTCCTCCGCCTCCTCCTCCTCCGCCTCCTCCGGACACCGAGCACCGATCACCGCCCCGCAGCGCCGCCGCCGCTCCTCTTTTCTCTCCCTCTATTTTCCTCCTTTCTTTCTTCTCTTCTCGTTTATCTCCGCTCTGCTCCGAGCTGAAGCGGAAGCCCCGCTCTACGCCTGCGTTCAGCGCTTAAGGTGGAGCGGGGCAGATGAACGGAGCGCGCTTAAGGTGGAGCGGCGTAGATGAACGGAGCGCGCTTAAGGTGGAGCGGGGCAGAGTGCACTTAAGGTGGAGCGGCGTAGACGAACGGAGCGCGCTTAAGGTGGAGCGGGGCAGAGTGCACTTAAGGTGGAGCGGCGTAGACGAACGGAGCGCGCTTAAGGTGGAGCGGCAAAGATAAACAGAGCGCGCTTAAGGTGGAGCGAGGCAGATGAAAAGAGTGCACTTAAGGTGGAGCGGGGTAGATGAACGGAGCGTGCTTAAGGTGGAGCGGCGCAGGTAGAAAAAGTGCACCTAAGGTGGAGCGGCGCAGATGAACGGAGCGCGCTTAAGGTGGAGCGGAGTAGATGAACGGGGCGCGTTTTAGGACGATCAGGGCAGATCAAAAAAGTGCACTTAAGGTGGAGCGGCGTAGATTAACAGAGCGCACTTAAGGTGGAGCGGATATATTTATTGCTTTTTAGGCTGAACTGATGTTTTTTTTACAGCATAGAGAAGAGTGAAAGTGTACCAACCAACCCCGCTGAACAGAGTGATGAATAGAGTGCACTTAAGGTGGACCGGGGCAGATAAACACGGCGCTTTTGAGGTGGTCGTTAAGTATAATAAACAATTGATGATAATAATAATAAAGGCTATAAAAGGATGTGGCATGGTTGGTGAGTGAACAAATAGGTAAACAAACAAACAAACAAATAAAACTACTAAAAATACTAAAAATACTGCATAATAGAGTTACAAGCTGCGTCCAGCCTGACGTGCTATAGTAGCGGATGAGCTAGAGGAGCTGAATAAAGCCAGTTAAGCTGCTTTTGAGCATCTGAAGTTTTTCAGGCTGAAGTGTTTTGCTTACAGTGTGTTTTATGTCAGCCTGACAGAATCAGGCCTTATGAAAACAGCTGCTTATGGGAATAAACCTTTATAAATGTTTATGCAGGTTTATGTGGGTCTGAAGTGAAAGGCTGATGTAACTGTAGCCTTATGACCGTGACCTGCGGTAGAGGGTTCACGTTTTATTTACCACAGAGATGATTTTCTTAAACATTACATGAAGAAACACAAAGGTCTTCCTTAACTGCTGAACCACTGGTGTTGTTTTTGTACGTATGTGTTTGATCTGTGCCGTTAAACGGAACTTCACTGCACTCTGGACTAACATCACTGAAACGTTCAGTCGTTTGAACGGCACTTGAAATATGAAGTGACTCACCAGCTTCAAACCCTGAAACACCTTCACACTGAACTGGTTTCCATTAGCAGCTGCTGAATGCCGTCAGCATACTTACTACACAGTCTTATGCAAAAGTGTGTGCACCCCTGGTCAAAATACACATTGTGTTCACTTTTATAACTGCAACACAACCCATCCTCTAAAAGGTTCTGCTATTGCTAAAGCCATTTACCTGCTGAATATATATATATATATATATATTATATATATATATATATGTAATTTTGCATCAAACTTTTGCATAAGACCCTATAAACCACCCAGCAGATGTGTTTGAACTGAAAGCTACTTAAATAAACAAATAAATATATAAATAGACAAATAAATACGTAAATAAATAAGTAAATAAATAAATACCGCCCCATGGGTTCAATGATGTGATAGATAGACAGATAGATAAATAGATAGATAGATAGATAGATAGATAGATAGATAGATAAATAAATGAATAATATCCCATGGGCTCTATGATGTGATAGATAGATAGATAGATAGATAGATAGATAGATAGATAGATAGATAGATAGATAAATGAATAATATCCCATGGGCTCTATGATGTGATAGATAGATAGATAGATAGATAGATAGATAGATAGATAGATAGATAGATAGATAAATTAATACCACCCCATGGGTTCTATGATGTGATAGATAGATAGATAGATAGATAGATAGATAAATTAATACCACCCCATGGGTTTTATGATGTGATAGATAGATAGATAGATAGATAGATAGATAGATAGATAGATAGATAGATAGATAGATAAATTAATACCACCCCATGGGTTCTATGATGTGATAGATAGATAGATAGATAGATAGATAGATAGATAGATAGATGGATAGATAAATTAATACCACCCCATGGGTTCTATGATGTGTTTAAAACCATAACAATGTGCCACGTATTAAAACAGACAATGAATAATTAATTAATTAATTAATTAATTAATAATTTACAACAAAGATAAGAGTACTAAAATAACACAACATAAGAGAACCATTCTCCAGGGCTGGTAAGTAAGTAAATAAATGCATAAATAAATAAGTCCTATGCTTGGTTAAGTAAACAAATACATACACACACACACACACACACACACACACACACACACACTGTCTAAGCTGCTTATCCTTCTGGGTCGCAGGGGGGAGCTGGAGCCTATCAAGGTGGGCAATGGGCAGAGGGCAAGATACACCCTGGACAGTCCATCATAGCCCACAGACAGACATATACAGTCACACACTGGAAATAAATGGACAATACTTATAATAAACACACTGAACGTTTAGCTTTACAAGCTGGTCATGTTCTCATATTCTCTGATGCAGGATTAAAACCCGACATCCCAGATGTTGCGACCTGAACTGAGCCATCACGCCGGTACAGCTGTGGTATTTACACAGTAAAACTTTATTGGAATGATTCTTGTGGTGCAAAATATCACAAGAGAGCTCTGCTGCTGTGTGTTCAGTCGGTAACGCCGTTATATATTCGCTCTGTGGAACCTGGAGAGTTAATATAGACTCAAGTATTACAAAATCGCCCAGTTTCACTTTAACCATCCACGGAGGAAGGAGAACAGACCTTCAGCGGCTGAGGAAATGCAGAAATGGAGGGTGGAAAAGGGGAAGAAAGAGACGGGCTGTAAAGTCCAGGCTCAGCAGTGCAGTCGTGTGTCGCACTGATTGTATAAGATCAAAACAAAAAACTGTATAAAAAGTGTTTTTCTGTCGAGTGGTTGGCAAAACCTTCTGAGACACCTCTAACAGCCCTCTTCTTCACGTCAAGTTCTTTGGGCGCCTGAATGCAAACGAAATACAGCAGATATAACTAAACGCATCTTCACTATTTACTGGAAAAAGGCCAACTTGAAACAGAATTCCACCAACTCTTCTCCAACATCTGCAGAATTCAATGGCTCAGATGTAAACAGAGTCATTCAGAGTGGTTTGGTGTGAAACGCTCTGTTCTAGAAAAACTTACAGAGTCAGAATTGTTCACAGTGGTGGTGATAGGAACCAGACGTCCACCTCTAAAAGCTCCCTCACATAGTTATTACAGGACATGGTTATGAATTCAGTGCCTGATGACTGGCCACGCCATATTAACGCATGGGAACGAGATCCTAATGCATGGCCACGACTTACTAAGGCGTGGGAATGATTAAGTCGTGGCCATGACTCAGTAAGTCGTGGCCATCGAGATCATGCCTTATTAAGCTGTGGTCAAGGCTTAATCATCTCATTTCCACACCTTACTAAGTCGTGGTAACGCATCAGGATCTCATGGCCATACCGTATTAAGGCGTGGGAATGAGATCCTAGAGTGTGGCCACGACTTAGTAAGGCATGGGAATTATATAATTAAGTCGTGGCCATGACTTAGTAAGGAGTGGGAACCAGATCATGCCTTATTAAGCTGTGGTCATAGCTTAATCATCTCATTCCCACACCTCATGCATTAGGATCTCGTTGCCATACCATATTAATATGTGGGAATGAGATCTTGTGGTCACACATCAGGGTCTCATTCCCATGCCTTACTAAGTCATGGCCACGCATTAGGATCTCATTCCCATGCCTTACTAAGTCGTGGCCACGCATTAGGATCTCATTCTTGTGTCTTACTAAGTCGTGGCCACGCATTAAGATCTCATTCCCATGTCTTACTAAGTCATGGCCACGCATTAGGATCTCATTCCCATGCCTTACTAAGTCATGGCAACGCATTGGCATCTCATTCCCATGTCTTACTAAGTCATGGCCACGCATTAGGATCTCATTCTCATGTCTTACTAAGTCATGGCCACGCATTAGCATCTCATTCCCATGTCTTACTACGTCATGGCCACGCATTGGCATCTCATTCCCATGTCTTACTAAGTCATGGCCACGCATTAGGATCTCATTCCCATGTTTTACTAAGTCATGGCCACGCATTAGGATCTCATTCCCATGTCTTACTAAGTTGTGGCCACGCATCAGGATCTCATTCCCATGCCTTACTAAGTCATGGCCACGCATTAGGATCTCATTCCCATGTCTTATTAAGTCATGGCCACGCATTAGGATCTCATTCCCATGTCTTACTAAGTCATGGCCACGCATTAGGATCTCATTCCCATGTCTTACTAAGTCATGACCACGCATTAGGATCTCATTCCCATGTCTTACTAAGTTGTGGCCATGCATTCTTTTTATTTACACGGGATGTCACTAGCAGGGCTCCTGATTTTGGCCTAAAGCATATTTTTTTAATGTATTCATGGTTTAGGGGTGCATGCAGGGCGCAGGGCGCTTCGAAAACCATCAAAAACTCTCGTAGGTTCACTGATGGTTTTGGATAGTAAATGTCTATATCTGTGTTGTAGTCATGGCGACCCCTGGTTCCTATCAGCACCACTGTAAAGACATCTGAGTCTGTAAGTTTCTCTACAGTGAACCACTTCACTCGAAAACACAATGAACTCTGTTTACATCTCAACCACTGAATTATGCTGAGCTTTGAAAAATTAGTGACGTTCCCCTTCAAACACTGTTGCTAACTGCTACGCTAGCTGGAGGAGAATGTCTGAGGGGGGTTCATGGCCTTGATAAACATCTCAGTCAAGCTTTTTTGAATATTATGCCACACTGTACTTCCCAAGACCCACCCTGCTTCCATATTCCCATTCTGTAATAAGGCTACAGCAGATCCAGATACATGTAGAGTTCAAGGAGGCCGAAATCACGACTAGTGAAACATTAGCGCCATCAGATCAGTAGTGAGTCGCAGTAGCTTGGTGAGTTCAGCGCAATCTCATAAAGTCATGTGACTGCTTGCATAAAACATCTTAAGTGTTCCTCTTAAAGCTGCACTATGTACGATTTGGCGACCTCTCTGGTGGAAATGAGTAACTGCATGTGACGTGTGGAACAACATTCGAATCAGAACCATTAGCCTACTGTGTTTGCACACAGAGGCATTTAACTCATCCGTGCAGTGAAACACCCACAAACATGCACACTAGTTAACATACACACTAGGGGGCAGTGAGCACACCTGCCCGGAGCAGTGGGCAGCCCTATCCACAGCGCCCGGGGAGCAATTGGGGGTTAGGTGCCTTGCTCAAGGGCTTTTCAGTCACGTGCTATCAACTGAGGGGATCGAACCGGCGACCTTCTGGCCACAAGGCTGGACTTCTGTAACGTGGATTGTTGTTCTGATCCCCTTTCATGGTTTTGAATGTGTTGAAAGTGAAGTCAAAGCGAAACCTGGTTAAGGACTCGTCGTCTGAGGATGCGAGTGAATCATCTTATCATCTTATCTTCATCAGTATAAAGTTGACTTTGCTCATGAGGCCTAAACATCGAGCTGGACCTTCTTCCTGAGCCTGTGTGTGTTGATGTGGTGTGAAGAACTCAGACTTTTAAATATCACACTTCAGCCTGTCTTCTTCTCCTGTGTCAGTAAAGCTAATACTTTCAATTTTAACAAAAAAATTGTACACAGTGCAGCTTTAAGTCAAGCAACGAATTCAACTAATAGTTGCATTTAAGCGAATTTAAACATAAAACGGCCTGTGATTTAAATTCACCTTCAACATTTGATGCAAGCGGTCACTGCCATTGTAAGGCAGCTAGTGGAGTTCCCTTTAGGCAAAAGTGTCAAATAAATCAACATTTAATGATTAAATATATAGATTTTTAAATCTATACTTCCCTCTCCATACAATCAGAGCGTAATGTAACCTGCCTGCCCCTCCTAGGCATTAAAGGGCGGCTGGTGCACCCAGCCTATCACTTAACTGTTCAGCCAATCAAAGAGAAACTCCACCCATTTTTCAAAATCTCTGCATAATTAAGTGGTTAAGATGTAAACAGAGTCGTTCAGAGTGGTTTGGTGTGAAACGCTCTGTTCTAGAGAAACTTACCGAGTCAGAACTGTTCACAGTGGTGGTGATCGGAACCAGACGTCCACCTCTAAAAGCTCCCTCACAGAGAGTTACTACAGGAAATGGCTTTGAATATGCTGCTGAATGTCTGATACACTGGTTTATGGTAGTTTTGAGAATACTTTGTCTCTAAAACAGGTTCACTCGTGGTTTGGAAAGTAAACAAATTGGTTATACTGTCGTATGCAAAAGTCTGGGCCCCCCCGGTCAAATTAGCTGTTGAGTTTCTAAGTGAAGAGTTAACACAACACATCAGAGAAAACGTCTCTGCACATTTTAATGCACAATTACTGTCTATTTCCTCAATTTAACTTAAAAAATGACCCCCGCCCCCCCGCCAACATGTTCAACTTTATTAAATTTATGTTACATTATGCAGAAAATGCCATATTTAAGTGTGTTTGTAGATGATGTGTGAACTTTGTGAGTTTATAATTTATACATTTTTTTTAAAGGGGTGCTTAAACTTTTGCACACCACTGTATTTGCGTCCCCTTGGTTCCTATCGCCACCACTGCAAGGACTCGTTTCTCTAACATGGAGCATTTCACGACAAGCCACTGTGAATGACTTTGTTTTACGTCTCTAGAATTATTTAAATTTTGAAAAATTGGTGGACTTCCCCTGTAACACCCAAACAGTCCACCAATGAGCTGATTTTAAGTGTCAATTTATGGCACGTTTTCACGAGATTAATCAATGAGATATGCTGACACAGACACCCTCCCACAGACAAATAATAAACAAGAACAAATAATAATAATAATAATGATAATAATAATAATAATGATAATATTAATAATAATAATTCCTACACTCGGCACTAAAACATGACAGAATCATGGCTTTTTTCACCACCATTCAAAACCACTGTGACTCCTTTTCAATGTAAAACAACACAAAGGCCTAAAAGTAACACAAAGGATCCAAAATATGTCAATTATCACACAGGAATTATATATATTTTTGTCTTGGTGGTTGATATGACGGCCTAGCACGGCTCTGAACGGTCCTGAGGTGTAGATGAATGTCGCCGGAGCGCGCTCTCTCCGGACGGACGCTCGTTTTCGCGCCGAGCGCTCGTTTATCTGGTTCTCGACTGCTATCGGACACTTCACTGGCACCAGATCGTACGTGATCGACATCACATCAATGGAAATCAAAGCCAAAAGAATAAATATGAGCATCGGTGAAGAAACGAGATGGTGAAGGCATCGTTTGTCTGTCCTTCAAGGTCGTCGCTGTGCTCCTTTAGCTGCTCTCACTGATTCTAAACACAGAAAACAAATCATCCGTCATGCGTATTCTCCCTCTTCCTCTCTCTATCGCCCTCTCTCTCTCTCTCTTCCCCTCTATCCTCTATTCTCACGCTTTTCTAAAACTCGGCAAACTCTTTCGCGCATTTCTCTGTGACGGACACTCGGATCTCTTCCTCTTCGTAGTCGTCAAAGTTGCTGGTGTCGCCAGGGCCCCTGCACTTCGGGATAAACGGAGCCTCCACCTGTGGACGAACGCACAAAACACACCCACAGAGTTAGCTTTGTTCTCTACAACGGCGTTTCAGGGCCACTGTTAATAAAATAATAAAAATAATAAAAATAGTAGACTTCAAGAATAACGTCGCAATATTTCGAGAAAAAAGTCATAATATATTGAGAAAAAAGTCGTAATATTTCGAGGAAAAAAGGTCGTAATATTTTGACAACAAAAGTCGTAGAATTATGACATTAAAGGGTCATTAATACCAGGAAAGGTTGTAATATTGTGGCCAAAGCCTTTTCAAAGGGAAGCAGCACCTCCTGGTGTTAAATGAGGGGCGGTGAGTTGGTGGAGTTCTACTTTCATATCGATTTCACCCATAAAGAAACACTCAGTCTCCCTGTCTCTCCTGCACATCAGCACCAGCCTGTTATTAGTATAAGAACCGGCTGAAACAGCTGAGCAGGAAACTGTTTATCTAGAATAAAGAGCTAGACGGACTCGGAGGAAACTGTCTGTCTGTGGTGTTGAAGGAGAACCGCAGGCAGGGTCGTCTACACGGCTATCGGGGGCTACATCTCCCCCCATTCAAAGAGGGCATGAAGTTTCACAGACAGTGAGAATGATGATCAACATGATCCACAGAGAGACAGGAGTCAGTGGAGCTCCGGCGCCAGTACAGCAACCGAGACCCCAACGCGTTATGGTAGCCCCCTACAGTTAGCCCCCCTACAGTTAGCCCCCCTACAGTTAGCCCACTTTATCCCGGAAATATTACAATTTTTTCCTCGAAATATTACAACTTTATTTTTGAAGTCTACTGTTTTTATTTTTATTAACAGTGGCCCTAAAAACGCCGTCGCAGTTTTCAGTGTCAGAGACTGTTTAGTGATGTTTAATCTCAACTAACTCATGTTAACAGCTAAAATGTTAAACGTCCTTTGGTCTAAATGTCCTCTGAGCAAAAATCTGAAAAAATTTCTCAAAATCCATTAAACCACATGGCTAAAAAGAGAGTTTTATCTCTTAATTTATCATTAAAGTCATTCATTTTGGACACTTTGAGCTACTGACTTTGAAACCAGAAAATTCAGTACCACTTTAAAATAAGACTACACTTACAAAGCATTCATGAATGGTTTAAAATAAGTTTATTAATGGTTATTAATTAGGCCTTAAAATCACTAATAAGCATTTATAACACAATAAAAAGGGCAACAGGGACCTGTTATTTGCCAAATTGTGAACCCACATTCATTTGTACAGTTATACCTCAGATTTTGATGTTTACTGATCTCATTTTGTCATCATCAGTCAGCATTAAACCTCTCAGCTTCATCACATATTCGTATTCATCAGATACAACAGCTCACTTTTGCCTTTTTATTAATGTGTTGTAACCGTGAAGTGTTTATGACATAGCTAATAACCATTAACACACTATTTTTAAACCATTCATGAACGCTTTATAAGGATAGACTTACATTAAAGTGGTACTGAAAACTCATTTTCGATGTAACTGTAACTAAAAACAGAATTATTACATGTAATAAAAATGGTCAGTTGGTATTTTTTCCAAGGTATAACTATACAAAGTTTACACATCCTTTTCCACCAATCAGAACAAGTTCTGTAGTATTTCTTTCTATTCAGACTAAATTCAGCTGTTGGACATGAACGAACACATTTTATAATAAACATAATGTTATTGATACTTGCTTAATAATAAGGATGTCATAATGAGTTCTTTGGACAAAACCACAGAAGAACCACTTTTGTTTCCCTGAAAAAAGTATATTTTGGTTCCCTAAAGAACCTTTTAATGTTCCTGGAAAGAACCTTTCAAATGTATATGTTTTAGAGAATCATCTTTTGGTTCCCTCAAGAACCTTTCACTGGTCCTGTAAAGAACCTTGCAAATGTTTATTTTTTGGAGAATTATCTTTTGGCTCTCTAAAGAACCTTTCAAATGTATATGTTTTGGAGAATCATCTTTTGGTTCCCTAAAGAACCTTTCAATGGTTTTGTAAAGAATTTTTTAAATGTATGTGTGTTGGAGAAACATCTTTTGGTTACTAAAGAACCTTTCAAAAGGTCTTGTAAAGAACCTTTCAAATCTGTATGTTTTGCTGAATCATCTTTTGGTACCCCAAAAACTGAATGGACATTTTTCGTAGAAACACCTTTTGGTTCCCTAATGAGCCTTTCAATGAAAGGATCTTTGTAGAACCACTTTTGCTACGAAAACCTTACGATGTATGGTTCTTTAAATAGCCCTATTTTTTTTCCCTAAAGCAGCGGTTCTCAAACTGGTCCTCAGGGTCCCCCAGATTTACAATGCATAGTGACAGAGCGAAAAATGTGGACTGTCTGAGCCCTGAAGTCCGGTTTGACAACCACTGCAATGTGGACTCTTTCAACGGACGGTTCTTTGAAGAATCACATTTGTTTCCCTAAAGAACCATTAAAAAATGTGTTCATTCCTTAGTTTTCTAAAGAACCTTTAAACTGATGTTCTTTAAGAACCAACTTTTGGTTTTCTAAATAACATTTTAATATATGCTTCTTTGACAAAATCGTCTTTGGCTTCCCTACAGAATCTTTTAATGCATGGATTTGTGTATGATCACGTTGGTTTTCTAAAGAACCTCTCACTGAATGTTTTTTGAAGAATCTTTTTTTAGGTTTTTGGTTCCCTAAAGCAGTGGTTCTCAAACTAGTCTTGAGGACACCCCAAACGACACACATTTTCGCACCAATCTAACACACAATGCATAGAGACAGAGCGAAAATGTACTTGTACTTTCCAGTTGGTCTAGTTCTGTATGAATTTTAGAGAGTAACTTAGAAGTAAAGTAATGAGTAGTGAAGTTACTTCTTTCAGGAAGTAGTAAGTGCAGTAATCCTGTTACACTTTTAGAGTAACAGTAACAGTAATTAGTAATTTGTAACTGATTTCTTTTTGAGTATCAAACCCAACGCTGGCGTGTGTGTGTGTGTGTGTACGTGAACCTCACCCTCCGCTGGTAAATGGCTATCCAGTCAGTGGTAGAGAACCACTTATGACCCTTGATGTCGTTGACACCGTTCTTGAGGTTTCCGTAGCGCTTGGTGAGGTCCACCTGGAGCAGGTTCCTCAGCAGCTCCTTCAGGTCTGAGCTGAAGTGGGAAGGGAAGCGCACCTGGGAATAAAACACCACACGGATCAGCCCACCAGCTACTTTGCTACAGGTCTGGGCAAAAATAATTAGCACTAGATTTTCTTAGACCAGGAGTCGGCATCATGTGACCCTGGAGAAGCATGCAGCTCTTTCACTGCCCTGTTGCGGCTTCACAGCAGAATTAGATTTTAGGTAATAATAAAATAATCCTCCATTGCAGTAAAATAAAGCTCTGCTGATCGTTCCACACAGTTTAACAATAAATGGTCCTAAACTCTGGAGTTAATGTAGAAACGCTGATTCACCCTTTAACACTGAAGATCAGCGCAGACTGATGGTCACATAGCAACGCAGACAACAGTCTCACCTAGTTAGTAGCTAACAAAAAGGCAAGAAAAAGATTTAAGACGAATATCGGCAATTTGGAGACGAATGGACTTGTTTGCATTTTAATCACTCCAGCTGGTTTCCTGATACATTTAACCAACAACGAGAAACTGTCAAACACTAGAAAGTCACAAAGTTGAAGTCAGCTTCTCATTCCCCAGCTTCTTGTTCGAATTTTCCCGTTCCACCTTAAATGGTACAGTGGTAACATTTAAGGTGGAATGGGGAAATTTGAACAAGAAGCTTCAGTTTCTCAAGAAGCCAAACACTGAAAGAGATTTTACAAGAAACTGGGCAATTTAGCTCATTATATCGTACAACCTGGAATATGCATCACCACCAAAATCATTATGAACCAAGCTTTTGAATGCAAACAGCAGGGGGCGCTCTGATCACTGTCCTTTCCAGTAGTACTTTTGACACCCAAGCTAGGCTACCATTTAGTCATTATAAAGACATCTTCTCAAACGTCAGTTGGCCAGAGCCCACTGGCAGGCCTAAAGTTTTATTACACATTTATAACCCAAGAATAGTTCAACCAGTTTGCATTGAACTTCCCGTAGTTACTGAATAATAAGCCTTAGCATGTAATAAGCCTGGAATTAAAATGGGTTAAAAGAAAGCTTGGCTTTATGAATCGAGGCTACACATAAATTTAGCCTCAGTGGCTCCATTCTTTCTCCATAAAGCTTGGCTAAATCCAGTGGGTCATTTCCAAAACGCTTAGATAATGCAAAATCATGAAGCCTCCAGAGCTCTTATGATCATGGACCAGGAAAAACGGACTGACTGTGAGATAGCACAGATTCACAATATCTGGTGAATCTAACACTCGCCTTGCTTTTAAAATCCAGCAACTGCACAATAAAACAATGAGGACTTTCCCCATATGAAGCAATGAGGATGTAAACAAAGTGCACTTGATTATATTTATTTCAGCCCCGAAAGCTGCACAATGCACCCAAAGCCAGCAAACCAGCTTACGAAGTCACAGTGGAGCTTTACAGGCTAATTCGAGCACCTGTTTCTGACTCATTTCTTTATGCTTGAGAGCCATCAAGATGGAAAAAGGCTGTGTGAGTTTTTGTGGATGAGGAGGGAACAAACAGAGGAATTCTACATTTTTGGTGCCCATTTACTACATTTGACGTCCAATTATGATGTTTGTGTGGGTTTACGTACCAAAAGAGTCATAATTCTTGCTAACGTGATCATTTTCTAACCTCTCTTCATCCTATAGAACTTTTGTTAGTGTGCCTTAAAGACTGATATATCTCTGTTGTTGGAACAAAACCTCGTATCTATATTTTTGTCGTTTTTGAGTTTTTGATGTAGTTTGAAAGTGCCGGTTGTCCTGTACATTGTGTGTAAGTTTAATGAAGAATGGACCAAAAGAAACAGCCCAAAATGACTTGGAAAAAATTCTGGTTCCATTGACTTACATTAAAAGCACAGCATGTTTTTCCTTTTCCTGTAAAGTTACCAGTTTGGAGATACGTTTTTCTTCCGACAACAGTGATATGTAAATGGGGTCTGTTCTGATTGCCCTGTATTGTGCCTCATTTAAAAATGTTCAATTAATTAATAAAAAACAAATAATTAAACTACTATAAAGTATTCAGTAATGTCAAAAACGTATTCAGTACCTACTATGAATTACTCACCATGTATTAATTACTCCATAATTACTATTAACTGTTTAGTATCTTTAGTATCTGTTTAGAAACTTCTCAGAGCATCATGAAATCTAATATCACCACAAATCGATTCAATTTGATTCATTTGGCACAGTCTTTGGGTCATGCTTCTCTTGTGAGGCTGCGTAAGGTGAGAGTCGGTTTGCTGACCTTTCCTGAGACGATCTTCTCGTAGATGTGGATGGGCTGATCGGCGAAGAACGGAGGATAACCAGCAGCCATCTCATACACCAACACGCCCAGAGCCCACCAGTCCACCGCCTTATTATAACCCTGAGAGAGAGAGAGAGAAAGAGAGAGAACATCACTCATTCATCCACCGCAGGGAAGACAAAGGAGCTCCACTGCAGACGGCAGCAGCTCACCTTGCTCAGGATGATCTCTGGAGCGAGATACTCCGGCGTCCCACACAGCGTCCATGTGCGTCCTTTCACTCGCTTCGCAAAGCCGAAGTCCGTCACCTGCACCAACACCATAAAACGCTCAACGTATCGTCGCTGTCATGAAAAAACCTTTTCTCTTCATTGTTTGGTTTTTTACATAATGTGTACATAAAAACTCCAGCTGCTCTTTGCATCATGTTGAAATTTCATGATGAACAGACCAACAGAAATCTGCTCAAGTAAAAATATGCTCACTTATTTTCACTTAGATCAACTGAATGTGTAATTTGACCGGAGCTGTTCAAACCTTTGCATACTGTACTCTAAAAGAGCAGAACTTTTAGGTGACTCTGCCATTCTGTACTAAAATATATACACTTTATTTATTTTACTGCATTTAAACCCTAATCGGCGGCACGGTGGCGCAGTGGGTAGCGCTGTCGCCTCACAGCAAGAATAGCCTGGGTTCGATTCCCGGCCGGGTGACCCGGGTCATTTCTGTGTGGAGTTAGCCTGTTCTCCCCGTGTCTGCGTGGGTTTCCTCCGGGTACTCCGGTTTCCTCCCACAGTCCAAAAACATGCAGTCAGGCTGATTGGACGTGCTGAATTGCCCCTAGGTGTGAGTGTGTATGTCTGTCTGTCTGCCCTGTGATGGACGGGCGACCTGTCCAGGGTGTATCCTGCCTTCCGCCCAATGACAGCTGGGATAGGCTCCAGAAGGATAAGCGGTTTAGATGATGGATGTATGTATGTATGAAACCCTAAACATATCAATTATTTTTCTCTCTAATGATGATGCAGGTAGATATTTATTTATAATTGTAGTTATTTATTTAACATTAATGTGTCTCAATCGTAAAAGATAAGTACATTAAAGATATCAGATATTGGAATCAGCCCACAATTCCCACATTGGTGCATCCCTAATAAAATTTAAATTTAAAACATAAATATAAACTTGTATAATTCATAGATCCTTAAAACCACAAAGGGTTTATATCAGTGATGTGTGCATGTGTTTGCGAGTCACCTGTATGTAGCCCTGCTGATCAATGAGGAGGTTTTCTGGTTTCAGGTCTCTGTAGATGAGGTCCAGAGCATGCAGATACTCAAACGTTAGAACTATCTGAGATGCATAAAAGCGGGCGTGAGGTTCACTAAAAAACAAAAGAACAGAGAGAATAGTGTTATTACAGGTCACCTGTTTTCAGAGTGTATCATGAAGACTTCCGTATCATGGAAAACTGAATGTAGTACATAAACACTGTTAAGAGTTTCAAATCGTGCCATAGAAACTAAGCAGAAACAGCGTGTTTTTAATTTTTGACTTTTGAATTATGTATTACATACAGTCAGCCGAAAGCTGTTTAGCCCCGCCCAGTCACATTTAAGTGCTGTGGATTGTTCTTAGTGGAGGAATTCTCTGTTTTGTTTACTATAAACAATAGATAAAATTATTTATTGTACAAAGTAGTTTCAAATAAGTTGAGGCACTATGTGAAATGCTAATAAAAACAGGAAGCAGTGATTAGTATATTCTGTTTGGTCTGAATTAAGCTGAAAACAGTACAAAAACACAATATTTAATGTTTTAACTTATGAACATTATTGTTTTGTTGGGAATATAAAGCTCATCCGAAATATGATGCCTGCAGCATGTTCCAAAAAAGTTGGGACAGAAGCGTGTTTACCACTGTGATACATCACCTTTCCCTTTACCATTCATCCATTCATCATCTTAAATGCTTAATCCAGCTAGGGTCACATGAGGAGTTGGGAGAGCAGAGAATCCCAGATGACCCTGTCCTCCGCAACTTCCTCTTGCTCATTTCAGGGGACCCTGAGCTGCTCCCAGGCCAACTTGGAGATATAATCCCTCCAGCAGGTCCTAGGATTACCTCAAGGGTCTCGCCCCAGTAGGCGGTGCCTGGTAAACCTCCACCGGGGGGTGGCCAGGGGGCATCTGGATCAGATGCCCGAATCACCTCAACTAGTTATCATGTTGCATGTTAGCATGTGGGTCCTTGAAAAAGACGGTGTCTAAAAGGCAGCATATGTTGCTCCAAAATGTGTATGTAACTTTCATCGTTAATAGGGCTTTCACAGATGTGCAAGTTACCCACTAATACCCCCCCATATCATGACACACCTTGACCTTCGAACTTTACACTGGTAACAATCTGGATGGTTCTTTATGTCTTTGGCCCATAGAACACGGTAAAATACTATTACTTTCATAACCAATATGGTAGATTGACTCATCAGACCACAATACACGTTTCCACTGAGCGTCATTGCATTTCAGATGAGCTCGAGCCCAGAGAAATCGGCAGCGTTTCTCAGCGCTGTTGACAAATGGCTTCCACTGTGTATAGTACAGTCTTTCCCTGCATTTATGGATGCAGTGATGAAGAGCATGTATTGATAACAGTTTGTCAAAGTATTCCCGAACCCACATGGTGAAATCCATCACAGAAGCATGCTGGATTCTAAAGCAGTGCTTTCTGAGGGATCGAAGGTCACGGAAATTCAGCTGTGGTGTTTGGCCTTGCTTTTTATGGCCAGAGATATTTTCTGGATTCCCTGAATCTTCTATTATGCACTGTAGAGGGTGAAATTCCTTAAACACTGGCTGAGGAACGTTGTTCTTGAACAGTTGACAATCTGCTGAAATATTTTGGCAAGCCTCAACCCATTATTGCTCATAAAGGACTTTCCTGGGTGCTCAATTTATACCCAAGCATGATTACATCACCTCTTTTAAAATGTTTTCTGAAAACTTAAAATGCGCCTAGTCTTAACTTGCCCTTGTCTCAATTTTTCGGAACATGTTACATCAATTTCAGAATGAGCATTTACTTACACAACCAATGAAGCTGATAAGGCAAAACATGAATTATCTTATCTTTTATACTATTTTTGTTTAAATATAGGTCAAAGTGAATTTTCTAATCTCTGCTTTCTCAATTTTTGCCAAATCATTCCTACAAACGTGAAATGCTGTAAGGAGGAAAATGTTCAGCCATTCAGATTTTGGAATTAATCTGAAGCCAAACACAAACAGGTCTGAGCTGTGTGTAAAAACTCACCTGAACCTGCCGATTCTGCGCAGGTGTGAAAACATCTCTCCTCCCTGAACGTATTCCATCACCATGTACAGATTACTGTTATCCTACAACATACAGACAGACCATTCACATCACCATGTTCATCACACCATCCACTCACATTAAAGTCTCTGTATTACAAATGAGAAACACACAAACATACAAACCTTGAAGGAGAATTCCAACTGCACCAGGAACGGAAAACTGACGGCCTGCAGAATCCTCTTCTCATTCAGAGTGTGCTCTATCTGCTTCAGTTTAACCACCTGAGGGAGAGAGAGAGAGAGAGAGAGAGAGAGAGAGAGAATGGTTAGAAAAATAGACTAAACCTGTGCAAAAGTCAGAGACCACCCTAGTCAAAACAAAGGAAGTGCAAAGTATCCATTTTTCAAAGAAATCTGCAGGGATGTTTTTCTACTTTTCCAAAGTTCAGTCTTAGAAGCTGGTTGATCATTTTCTGAAGTAATCAAACACATTCAGTGATGTTGAGGTCTGGACTCTGGGGTGGTCAGTCCATTGTTCAGCTTCTTTGTTTGATGTGTCCGTCTCCTTTTCTCAGTGAGGTTCTTCTTGACAGCTACACATCCTTTCAGACCCACAGCGCTGAGTCGTCTTCTCTCAGTGGAAGGATGCACAGAAACACCTGTGGATGTTTTCAGATCTGAAGCAGCTTGATTTTCTCCTCTCTCTCAGAGATGAAAGCTTTAAGTGCTGTTTATCTGATGGGGGCAGTTTTGGTGTCTACCAGGTCTTCCAGGTGGTTGTTAGGAGGCTCATTTTCTCTTTATCATTTAAACATTTTTTATACTCCAATTTTGGAAACTCCTTTCAGAATAGCCACTGTTTATATTAACAGTTGGAGAGATCCCTGAACAGGAACTATTATGGCCCCACCTAAAATCACCCCTGAATGCACACCTATATAGTATCTGATAGGTGTTTCCAAAAACACAGGCAATTGTACTGAACTGCAAAAGGGACTCTGCTGTTAAAATAAAGCAGACATTCCAGTATGAGTTAATTCCCATCTCCTGTAAGATTGCACCCTTCCATCCACGATGGGGATGGGCATGTGGTCCCCACAATACTTAACAAACACTTCTAATCGGAAGAGTCATGTGTGTTCACTGCTTCAACGGTTCGCTTCATGCAAATCCATAAGGCTGCGGGTTCTATGCAAAACAGCTCCTGCTTTTATAACTGCCACGAGAACCAAATACAGAAGAAATCCTCTTTGGAAAGACAAAAACAGAGCTCAATATTTATCTTTTCACAGCAAAAACTGTACATTTTACATTCATTTACTTCACAAAGGCCTTGAAAGATGTCATTTTTAAAAACCTTATCTGTCCGGTTGCAGGTTTCTCAATAAAAAAGCAAAAATACTAAAGAGTCCATTTCATCCAGTCCTGTGTCGTATTCTTCATAACTTTCATATTTCATAAGCTACATTCAAAAGGTGGGGGTCATATGAGAGCTGTAACTGTCTTCTTTCCAGTCTAATAGATGGGTGATGTAATTCTAAACCCTTATAATAAAAGAAGCTGAACTCAAACAATTTTTTTTTCTACTGAAAGTCGACCCATTTTTCCACAAATCTGGGCTATAAACTATAAACAGATGGCGTCTCTTCAGTGATCTGCTCTGTAAAAATCATTTTTACAAAATAATACAAAGAGCGTCTAAGATTTTTGGCTTTCAGCAGTAAATTGTAAGCATATAGCAATATGTGTGATCATAAAACATGTTCTGTTAATTTGAGGGGAGCTTTTACAAAAAGAAAATAAATAAATAAAATAAAAATTTACATTTATTTCATGCAGTTACTGAATAATTTGCCTTACGATTTGGTCATGTAAATTCAGATGGACAAACCAAAATATACCCTGGTCAATAAGATGTTAAAATATATGAGTTTGATGTAGTTTGTAAGCACTGTTAAAGTACCCAGTACATACAGCCCATTTATGGAAATTAAGCTGCAAAAACAGCCTGTTTAGAATCCACTGTTGTTGTGATGTCACCAATAATGAACACGTGTACAGAGATCAGCCTATTCAGCCTACAGCAGTTAAGCTCCACCCACTCACAGTGAAGTTATAAGGAGTGTTTCAGTCCTGATTTCTGAATGAGTCACGTTACAGGGCAGCCAATCCGCTCACTTTCAAGTATTGGTCTTGAAGGCACAGTAACAACAACAGCCTGTTTAGCACTAATGGATAAAGAGAGGCTGGAAAACTGTAATATAAAAATGAATTATGACTGTTTTTAGTACAGAAAACCACACAAATATTATAAGTGGACCTAAAGGAGAAAAATAAAATAAAAATGTGGGATATGAATCCTTTAACAGATGCTAACTCATAATGTTGGGTCACAAGGCAATCAGTTAGCAAGTCTGAATGTGGTTCACAAACAGATTTTTTGCAAATCCGCGGCTCTTCAAACAACGGCCTCCTAAAACTTTTCGCAAAAATTCAAGAATAATTAGGGTAGCATACTTTTAAAAATATGCAATATCAGATTACATTTACCATTATCAACATTACACGTGAAAACACACAAAATATATATAAATAGGTTCACTGGTGGTTCTGGATAGTAAATAAAATGGCTATATTTGTGTTGTAGTCATGGTGATCCCTGGTTCCCATCACCACCACTATAAAGATATCTGAGTGTGTAAGTTTCTCTACAATGAACCATTTCACACCGAACCACTCTAAAAGACTCTGTCAAGGATTGAATTATGCAGACAGTTGGAAAAATTGGTGGAATTCACCTCAGGCCCGCTGGTGGGCCCAAAGTTTTATTACACACTTCTATAACCTAAGAATAGCTCCACTAGTTTGCGTTGAAGTCCCTGTAATTACTGAATAATAAGCCTTTGTATGAAATAAACCTGGAATGTTAATAGGTTGATTTGTCATTTTAATTACCTTTGGTCACATGGGAGCACTGATTTTTACCAGAACAACAGAAAATCCTATAAAAGCATGAAAACTCATGAGTTCTGTTAGATCCTCATCCATTATATACAACGATACAAGATTTCATCACTTAAGACAAATCAGAACAAGTTCTGTGGCAGTTTTGCTCATGATACTAAATTTAGCTATTAAACTTAATATTTAATTTTATGATTGTGCCCATGAAAAGTATGGTACCTGTGTCACTATGACTGATAACAATGGTTATGTGTAGTTTTGGGAATAAAGGCAAAGGGTCTGACTGCAGAATTCACACCCGCAGTTTCAGGCCAGTGGAACACATGCGCAGTTGGATGTCATGATTGTGGCACCTAAACAAAGTCCTTATAGTGTAGTTGAGCGTTACGAGCGCCTGGCTTCAGCGAACAATATGGCGTAATTGCGGAGAAAATGAACAACATGTCGTGCACATGGCAGCTGAGCGAACTCTGTGGACAAAGACGCTACACAACAAAGCCTCTGATTGGTCGGTAAAAAAAAGTCGTGCCATGATTTCACATTTCACGGTGAAATGCGCATTTGTTAAATAAACAATGAATACTTCCTAAATGTACGATATTAACTCTACTATTCAGTAGTACTAACTAGTACGAAGCACCAAAACATGCAGGTTATCTTATGTTTTGGTTCACAAGAGGACGAGGCTGAGGTTGGCTTTCTATTCACCAGCTTCTTGTTCGAATTTTCCTGCTCCACCTTAAATGGTGGCAGTGTTCTGAACTCAAACGTTGCCACAGATAGAACAGTGAAAGAATCGTTTTCCAGCAGTCATGAAGCTCATCATAAAATGTCATAGCATCACGTAGAAAGTATGCGAGGTTGTAAGCTCGCGAAGGCGCTTTCGGCTTCGCACAACCCCTGAGAATTTCGCTTCGCAAGAAGTACGCTGAGGCCTTTACACCAGGCTGAAACACTCCGTAGAACTTCATCGTGAATGGGCAGAGCTGAACTGTTGTAGCCGGAATAGGAAGGTAAGTGTACGTAAGTAGGTTGGTTTTTGTGACATCACAAAAACAATCAATTCAAATCCGCTTGCCCATATTTGGACTATACGGCCCAGGAGCGAAAGACACATTATGTATTTTCTCCTCTTATTTTTAGAAAATGAGCTCATTTAAAAGGAGGGAAGCAGCACTAGATGTCCGAGTGTCTCCCAGGTGTCATTAGTACCTTCTGCTTGTTGAGGATCTTCATGGCGTAGTGCTGGCCATTCTCTCGGTGTCTGACGAGCATCACTCGGCCAAATGAGCCCGTGCCCAGAGTCTTCAGCAAGTCAAACTGGTCCAGAGACGCTGTGTTCTGAGTGAGGACACACACACGTCCAGAGAAATGATGACACACTAATGCAATCCTGCAGCGAATCTGTTTCAGACCACCGCTTCATGACTCCAGCAATGGGCAGCTACTGCATTTTACCAGGACAGGCCAGAATTTCACATCTGATGTATTGGTAATCTCACACTCCTGAGATTTAGTCCCATTTACTACACTTATTACTCAAGTTATTTACTAACTATGCTAAATTATTCAGTTTCCACTCAAATTTATTCAGTAACTTATCAAATTATGTAGTTTCTGTTAGAAATTATTCAGTATCTACTATAAATTATTCCGTAACTACTAGAAATCATTTCCTACCATAAATTATTTACTACTTACCATAAATAATTTAGTATCTACTCTAAATTATTTACTAATTACCATAAATTTAGTATCTACTACAAATTGTTCAATATCTACTATACAGAATTCAGAAACTACTAGAAATGATTTAGTTTCTATTATGAATTACTCAATATCTACCATAAATTATTGTCACCACTAGAAATTATTTACTACTAGAAATTATTTAGGTTCTGTTATGAATTATTCAATATCTACTAGAAATTATTCAGTAACAACTAGAAATTATTTACTACCATCAATTATTTAGTATCTACTCTAAATTATTAAATAACTACTAGAAATTATTTAGTTTCTATTATGAATTATTCAATATCTACTAGAAATTATTTACTAATTATCATAAATTATCTAGTATCTACTCTAAATTATACTGTAACTACTAGAAATTATTTGCTACCAGAAATTATTTAGTATCTACTATAAATTATTCAGTAACTATTATGAATTTAGTTCATTTCCATTACAAATTATTCAATATCTACTACACATTATTCAGACACTACTAGAAATGATTTAGTTTCTATTATGAATTATTCAATATCTACTACAAATGATTCAGTAACTACTATCAATTATTTACTAATTACCATAAATTATTTAGTATCGACTACAAAATTATTCACTATCTACTATCCATTATTCAGTAACTACTATAAATTATTTACTACCATAAATTATTTATTATCTACTCTAAATTATTCAGTAACTACTATAAATTATTTTCTACCAAAAATTATTTAGAATCTACTATAAATTATTTACTACTACAAATTATCTACTAATTACCATAAATGATTTAGTATCTACTATGAAACTATTTAGTAACTAACATGAATTTATTCAATAACTACTATAGATTATTTACTAATCACTATACATTTTTAACCTATTTTAACCTAAATTATTCACTATTATAAATTATTCACTAATTACTCCAAATTATTCAGGACCTATTATGAATTTAGTTTCTATTACAAATTATTCAATATCTACTATAAATTATTCAGTACGTACTATAAATTATTTATTAATTACCATAAAATATCTAGTATCTACTATAAATTATTTAGTAACTAACATGAATTTATTCAATAAATACTATAAAATTTTAACTTATTACTATAATTTATTTAATACCTGCTATAAATTATTTACTTACTACAATGAATTATTTAGTATCCACTATAACCACTAGTATGAAAGTAATGTGTAATTTCTGTAGTTTTGAGAGTAAAGAACTGAGGTGTGGATCTACACACAGACCCTTATTAAACCTAACGTCATGCTGACAATCCATTCAGAGTCTTTGTGTTTGTCTCCTTTAACTGATTTAGCTCCGTCCTCCAGAGTAGCTGGTGAGCGTTCATGTCCACGTTGGTCAGTAAAATGGATTAGTATGTGGAGTGTTTGTTACATCATGCTCATTCTATTTTAAGAATAGTAAATAAAATGTAATCACGGGCTGCATGTAGTGCTACATGCCTACTGCATATTAAAATAAATGCAACAATAACATTAAGAATCACATTATGAACAGAGGAGATCAAGGGTAACAGAAATAACAGTTTTTTCTGCACATGCCTTAAAGGACTCGAGGTTAAACAGAGTCAATCTATCCTATAACTCTCACCTGTGCAGGATTCTCCCATTTCCTGAGGAAGTCTTCCCTGGCGAGGGCCAAGAACTCTTTGACTGTGGAGAGAAGCAGGTAGAGAGTGAGCAGTTACAAATAAAAACTCACTGTAATTTTATTCTAATTATTTTCTTACTTGTAGCTCATCAAAAAAGTGGAGAAATTGTGTGGAAAGGGCAGATTGTAAACTTCACTCCCCTACCACATTTGTGTGTAAGTAGAATAGGAGATATTTTAATCTGATTTGAATTTGATGAAAAGTTGTTATTGTATCGTGTTATGAAAGCATCTTTACAGTCATTGACATCAAAACAAACAGAAAAAGTCAGAAGTGCAGACTCAAATATGCTGACATAGAATGTAAATGTATATTATGTTCTAAGAACCTATGTAATTAACTGTGTAATTATGTGATTACAGTGAAATAAAAGAGCAAAACAACAGTATTAACATAAGACTTCAAGCATTCAAGCAATCAAAGACAAAAATCACTGTAATTTCCTGTAATCTTTCAGCAAAATGTGAAGACTTATTCCAAACATGCTTTTACAAACAGATACAAAAATACATACATACACATTATATATATATATATATATATATATATATATATATATATATATATATATATATATATATACACACATTGGGGGTTGGGGAAATGGTGCAAATCACACCACCACTGGACTGTGGAGCAGTGGAAATGTATTCTGTGGAGTGATGAATGACGCTTCTCTATCTGTCAGTCTGATGGACGAGTCTGGGTTTGGCGAATGCCAGCAGACTGCACTGTGCCAGCTGTAAAGTTTGGTGGAGGAAGGATAATGATATTGGGTTGTTTTTTTAGAGGCTGGTCTAGAACCCTTAGTACCAGAGAACAGAAATCTTAATGCTTCAGCACCAAGACATTTTGGACAATTCTATGCTTCCAACTTTGTGGGAACAGTTTGGGGAAGAACCTTTTCTGTTCCAGCATGACTGAGCCCCAGTGCACAAAGCAAGGTCCATAAAGGCATGACTGGGTGAGTTTGGTGTGGAAGAACTTGACTGACCCTCAAAGAGCCCTGACCTCAACCCCATCTAACACCTTTGGAATGAACTAGTACAGAGACTGTGAGCCAGGCCCTCACATCCAACATCATTGTCTGACCTCACAAATGCTCGTCTGGATGAATGGACAAAAATTCCCACAGACACAAATCAGACACTCTGAAATATAGAAGAAAGCTTCCCAGAAGAGTGGAAGCTGTTTTAGCTGCAAAGGGGGACCAACTCCATATTAATGCCTAAGGATTTAGAATGGGATGTCATAAAAGCTTTGTGATAACTTCTGATGAGTCTTTTACATCACTGTGGAGGAATTCTGACCCACTCTTCTTAGCAGAATCATTTTAATTCGGCTACATTGGAGGCTTTTCAAGCATGAACTGCCCGTTTAAGGTCTTGCCACAGAATCTCAATGAGATTAAATCAGAACTTTGGTGGACTTGCTTGTCTGCTTTGGATCATTGTCCTGCTGGATAACCCAACTGCGCTTGAGCTTTAGGTCCCAAACTGGCAGATGGACATTCTCCTTCAGGATTTTCTGATAGAGAGCAGAATTTATGGTTCCATCAGTTATGACAAGTCATCCAGGTCCTGCAGAAGCAAAGCAGCCCCAGACCATCACACTACCACCACCATGTTTCACTGTTGGTATGATGTTCTTATGGTGGAATGCAATGTTAGCCTTACACCAGATATAACGGGGCTCATATATACCTATCATGGAGGAAAAACACTGACCTAGTTTCACTCACAAATACGTCAGGAAAATATACTATGATTTCCCATTCACACTTTCTCTAAAAGCAATGTTTCTCCAGAAATGTTCTCATTTCCAAGATATAAGATTTTGTTTTCCCGGGCAACAAAACACTCTTTGCATCCAGAGCAATTTTTAAACAAAAACTTGGACTCCACGGCCAGAGCACAGTGTACATCCATCCTATAGCCATTCACCACCTTAGCCACAGCTGCCCTAACAGACATCCAATGATTCTGACATTGAATCATCATGATTAGTATTTAGCAGTATTCGCTGGCTGACTGTGCTCAGACTAGCCTAAGTCTGCAAGCCTAGGCCTGATCTATGTCAGAGAAGAAACCGAACTGTGTCCTTTAACTTGAAACTGGGTTGATTTAGCTTTTGTGGTGGTACACAATAGAGCTGAAACAATTATTTAACATTATGTCAACAAAAAACTGTCGGCAAATCTTTCCATTTCCATTTTCAAAGCTGTTAGAGTTCATGACTTGACCTGAAGAGGGCAGCAATTCACTTATAGTGCTGTACATATGTGAGCAGATAGCGAAAGAAAAAGAACAATTACGGCTGTGGGTTAAATGAAAGATAAAGTAGTCACACACAACATATACAAGTCTGACTGAGCTTTCTACAGAAACACAATGCTACCCTCGACCACCAGGGGAAAACAAAACACCTGTTGAAGCAGCAGAACGGTCAGTAAACGGTAGCTTTCCCTCCTTGCTGCTGATCTGGCAAACCAAACTCCTACCTGAGGATGTGCACTGAGTTCATGTTCCCCTGACAAATATCATTAAAGCTCATCATGTTACATTACCACGTTAGTCACTGGAATATTAAATAAAACTGCTTAATTAACTTAAAATACAACTAATTCTGTCAACATTTCAAATGAAAAAATGCCATCCGCTCGTCCTGGAAACCTGTTCACACAGAGCTCGTCTAGTGAATCATTAAGCCAGTGAAATGATGCAGCCTGAAGAGCTGTAATGTTAATCTAGCTTTATTATTACATCACTTATATTTAGCTATTGCTTATTGCTTACTGCAGCTCAAAATTATTGGCAGGCTTAAGACAGATGCATGAAACAAATGTGTTTATTTTCCATGTGGGTGACTTAGCTCTTCCTGAAAACTAAACTCAGTTTGTCAGAACATTGCAAGAAATTTTGAATTTTATTTAAAAGTTTGTTTTTTTTTCCCCCAAACATCAGTACAGTAATAAGATGTTAATAAAGTTGATATTCTACAATTATTCTGTTATTTTATGGAAAAAAATAAATATGTCAATTAACTAACATGAAAAATTGACTATGAAAACTATTTTAATGTATAGTGTAATAGGACTATTTTCTGCAGTCCTATTACACTATGTGCAGACCACTAGCCAATCCTGTGGCCTACTGCTCAAACTCATTAAAAAGCCCAAAAAGGGATGTTCAATGGCCAATCACTACTGCACTGCAACTGAATCCATGCCTAGGCTTCATCTGTGCCTGAAAAGCTGGCCTATTTATGAATCAGAACCAGGCTGTGTCCTTTAAGCTGAAACTGGGTTGATCTTGCATTTGTTGCATGCCTCTATGTCCATGCCACGAGGCCAGTTGTTGCTTTGGCCCATTACTAAAAAAGCTGAAAACAGTTTTCAGCAGTGAACGTCCATTGACACTGCTGGTTAGTCCAGGCCTAGGTTCCATCCATGCCTGAGAAAGTGGCCTATTATGAATTCAGACCAGTCTGAGTCTACATTGAAAAGGCTTTTCAATGGTGAATCATTTCAAATCTAGGCTTCATCCACGCCTGAGAAAGTGGCCTGTTATTAATCAGAACCAGGCTGTGTCCTTTAAGGTGAAACTGGGTCGATATAGCATTTGTGGCCACTAGTTAAACCCCTGTCTTACTGCTCTGGCTCATTTCTAAAATGGCCAAAAAGGACACTGAATTGTCAATCACCACTAGCCTTGACAGTCCAAACTCTGCTTCATCCATGCCTGAGAAAGTGGCCTGTTATAAAGCTAAACAAAGCCTGGTCCTTTAGGGTAAAGCTGGATTGAAATAGCATTCGTAGTGTTGCACTATGTACAGGCTAACTTCCTGGCTGTAGCTCATTACTAAAAAGGCCAAAAATGCTGTTGAATGGTCAAACGCTATTGGAGATGTATCTTAGTCCAAGACATCCATGCCTCAGAAACAGATAAGCCTGTCCAAATTATTACATAATCGTGCAATTGCAATTATTTTCCTCAGTTGTTGGCAGTCACAATCGCATATTTATGTCACAACAAACAGAACATGAACTGGCTGTGTTTTCATCAGATGAGTCTTATGAAAACACCACTGGTATTGCAACTAAACCCAAGCCTAGGTTCCATCCATGCCTGAGAAACTAATCCCAAACCAAAACGGATTTCCAACCATGAACCACCACCACTTTCGCACACTCATGCTATGTTCACATTACCAGGCTGAAGTGGCACAAATCAGATTTTTTGCCCTAATGTGACTCAGATCTGATGTTTTCAGGGCTGTGTGGACACAAATCTGATCTTTTCAAATCCGACCTGAGCCACTTTCATATGTGGTCCTAGATCGGATACATATCCGATTCGTGGCCATGTGAACTCAATGTGATGCTCAGATCGGAATTTATGTGTTTTTTTCCACTGCGCGTGACCATCATTCAGCGTTACCATGGCAGCAGCGCCGAACAGAAGTTAAAGCCTGTAAACAGTGGAAAAGCAGCTCATCTCACCTTTTTCTCCTTCGTCTCGCTCTAATAATGAAGCTGAGAGCTGATCAGTGTTAATGATCTTCACAGCGAAGCTCGTTCTGCTCATTAGCTTTTGTGCTGATGATGCACGTGATTCATTCACGTGACGTTACTGAGTAGGATGTGCGCATGCGGGTCATTTCCGGACGCCGGTTTGTCACATTAACGACAGATTTGAGTCACTTACCTAAACGAGTGTGAACCATCGTGTCAGAGAGATCAGATCTGAGCAAAAAATCTGATTTGAGCAATGAACGTAGCCCAAGACTGCATCTAGGCTTCATCCATGTCCTAGAAATTGGCCTCACGAATCAGAACCAGGCTGTATACTGTAAGACGAAATTGGGTCAATACAGCTACTGTGGCCAGTACCTCAACCACCCCGGCTTATTGCCCTGGCTCTTTACAAAAAAGACCAAAAAGAACATTCGATGGTCAATCAGTATTGGCAGTGGCACAGCCTAAAGCCACTGGCTTGATCCATACCTGAGAAACTGGCCTATTAGGCCTAGACTAAAAAGGACTTAATTGGTGACATTTTCTGATTGCTACTGGAACTGAGCCCAGGCCTAGGTTCTATCCATGCCTGAGAAACTTGCCTATTATGGATCCAGACTTGCCTAATCAAAGACCAATAAGCATTTCCAATCGTGATTCGCCATTGGCGTTGCTAATAAAACCGAAGTAGCGCATTATGAATCAGAACCAAACTAAACTGAAACTGGGTGATGTCTCATTTGTGGCTTTGCACTAGGCTTATATCCTGATTTGTTATCCTAGACCAAAAGGGGCCTTTAGTGGTGAAGTGGTGAATGTAGCGTCCTGGTTAACTGCTGCCAAAAGCCAAATGTGATGTTATGAGCTCAATCACCACTGGCATTGCAACCCATGCCTCTTCCATGCCTCAGAAACTGGCCTATTATGAATCCAGACTGGCTTAATCCCAAACCAGTAGCATTTCCAATGGTGATTCACCATTACCATGACTAGGACCAAACCCAGACTGCCGCTTAAACCTGAACCGGGTTGATCCAACATTTGTAGCATCACACTATGTGCACACCACTAGACTCACTGCCCATTATTATGAAACCAAACTAGCCGGGTCCTTGACCAAACAGAACTGTCAGCTGTGACTAGCATCATGGTTTACTGCTATGGCTCAAAGGCCAAATAGGGTATACAATGGGTTCAGTGGTCAGTTACCACTGGCACTGCACCTAAACCCAAGCCTAGGCTTCATTCATGCTTCAGAAAGTGGCCTATTATGAACCCAGACCAGCCTAATTCTAATATCTCCAACAGAGCGTTACCTCTGGCACCGCAAGTTAGTCTAAATCTAGGCTTAATCCATTTCCAGGAAAGTGGCCTACAATGAATCAGAACCGGGCTGGGTCCTTTCAGCTCATACAGGGCTGATGTATCAATGGTGGCACTATGATGATGGGGGTGATGATGATGCTCTCCTGGTATAAACAGTGGAGATCAATAGATCAACATGAAGAAAGGAACAGCAGAAATGACCAAGAGATGGACAGAGCCACCCACCGCTTTCCATCTCGTTTCCTCGCTTGGCAGCCGGCGTGTTGCCCATGACTCTGGGTGCAGCAGCTGCAGGAGGAGGGTCTCGATGCTGCTCTCCTCCTTTCCAGCCTCTTTCGACGCGATACAGCTGCAGGGAGCGCTCACAAAGCCGGTCGTGATGGAGGATGTGGCGGTTCGCGTTAGAGCCGAGGCCGACCCCCCGTCTGCATCTGCATCAGGCCGGGCTCAGAGGCTCTCCAGCCGGCCTGAGCCCCTCTGCAAGACCCGCTGTGGGCCCCCCCCACCCCCGGGGCCCTCGCACCGCTCCCTTCTAGCCGGATGCCTCTCGTCACGCTCCGGTTAAAGCCTCCACAAACCCTCCGCGGCTCTCCGGGGCTCAGCCTGATCTCCCCGCCCGGCGCTGCTCGAGCCTCTGCGCAAACGGAGCATGAAAAATAACAAGGCGGCGGCACAAACGCAGCTTCGCCGCGAGCCCCGCCCACAGGCGCACGCCACTGGTCGACTCCAGCATCCGAACGCTGAACGGCGCGCAACGATTGGGCGCTGACACAGGTACGGAGCCACACGATTGGTCGGTCAGGGCGGAGTCGAAAAGAGTAAAACAAAATATGAAATAATTACTCATTTAAAACCTTAAATATATTTCCTTCAGCGGCTAACGGTCTAATACACTGCAGCGGTTATACATTAATATTGTATGTAAATTATACACCATTCAATAAAGCATATTTATTAAAAAAAAAGCCTCAAATAAGCTTGAAATTGTGTAATATTTCATTCTTTACAATTTTACTCAACAGCAATTCACCCTCAAACTGCATTAAAAAAAGAACATTTTAGAAAAAAAGAAAAAAAAAACAACAACAAAAGATTTTTATATTTGAACTAGATTACAAGGTTTATGGCACATTTACGTTTAAAACTGTGTAAAATTTGATTCTTTACATTTTTACCCAAAAGCAATTCACACCCCAAAAAAAAAAATAATAATAATAATTAGATGAAAATTATTTTGTAAGGAAAAAAAATTCTATATTTGAACTAGATTACAAATTCTAAGGCTTAAATACGTTCGAAATTTTGTAATATTTGATTATTCACATCTTTACCCAACAGAAATTCACACCCAAACTGCATAAAAAATAATTATTTAATAATAAAGTTTTGTTGATTTTCTAAGTGAAGTCATTCACACTGTCACTCAAATGAATTTAAAGACTTAACTCAATAAACTGAGACTATTTATTTATTTATGCATTTATTTATTGTTCCAGTTTATTTCTATTGGTGGAAATGTTGATGTCATATTAGTATAGCTCCCATTAATTTAACAACAGACAGTGGTGTGCAAAAGTTTAAGCAACACTAGGAGAAAAATGGCATGTTGATTTTCTAAGCGAAAATAAGTTACACATCCTCCACATGGAGCACAATTCGGCCTATTTTAATACACGTTTACTGTTTATCTGCTGAATTTAACAGAGGAAAAACATCAAATGTGAGCTGTGCAGAAGTTATAGCATTTTTCCATTACATAAACCTCAGCAGATAAACAGAAATTGTGCAGTAAAATTCACAGAAAAATGCTGTATTTGAGTGTGTTCTCTGTGGAGGACGTGTTAACTTACTTTCACTTAGAAAATGAACAAAATGTCGTTCCACTGGTGTTAAAACGTTTACACACGTTTGGTCTACTGGTAATCAGAGTAACATGTTCAAGTTAAAGTAGCCCAGGAAGAAACAGCTTGAGTAGAAGTTCAAAAGCAGCAGCCCAGAAAAAAACTCTCAACTAACCCGTAACTTATTTTACTCCACAGAGCTTCTTAGTCCATCCAGCATCCGGTTATGTCTCTATTTTAATGTAAAATAAGGCTGTAAATGCTCCCGAGTGAGAGGTGTGAGCAACAGTGAAACAGTTCAGGAGCTGAACCGACACAACAGAATGGGGGGGAAAATTAGGAATTTACTGTTAGTGACTAAAATGGAGTACAGAGTAAGTAAAGGTGTTCTTATTTGATCTTTGTTTGTGTTAATGGTATCTGAGTACACAGAACACAGTAAAGAAAACTAGTTACTACACACTGACAGCCGTATTGATAGACTTCACAAAGCAAATCGCCTCACAAAACATTTCACACATCCCAAAATATTTACACTATTCACACTTTCGAACCAACCCATCATACGGCGCACAGGTCAATCCCTCACAGAAGACAGAAACAGAAGAAAGCAGCAGCTGATGCGTCTCAAACAGCCTCTTTGATAATATTCCACATTTGAGTTTGTAATTAGGAGAGATTTTAAGATTCGAATTGGACAGAAACAGAAAAAAAGACTCAAACTCAATTCAAAATGTAACTGTCATTAATTACTTAATGACATCTAAAGCTGCACTATGTAAGTTTTCTTTTTTTTGGCGAAAATTAAAAGTAGCATTACAGAGTCAGGAGAAACAAAACAGGCTACTATGTTGAACGTTGGCGATCCAAAGTGGGCGGAGTCAGCAACGTGACTAAGTTGAGCAGAGATTAACTTTATGCAAATGAGAAGTGAAGCGATGTGGCGATAACCAATAGGGATTGAGCATTTAGCCGCATAGTACTCGCTTTATCTCGGCCACTGTGAAACGGTACACTCCATTTTCGGATCCTAGATAACTGTCCCTACAACAGGTGGAATAAGGCGGCGGTGTGTTCGTCGCAAACAGAGAGTAAATCACAAAGACCAAATAGCGTTTTCCTCACAGACTGACTGCACAGACAGGGATTAAATTAAAATAAGCACACACAAGATTTCTCACCTGGATATTTATTTTTAGCGGGAACGCCTCTGATTTGTGCTTGGCGTCAGTGAAACCATGGCAACCAACGGTCCGCTCGGGTTCTGAAACACCCACAGGCGATGAGCGACCAGCGATCAGGGCGACAATAGGTGAAAAGTCTCTGCTGGTGTGAACGTAGGGTTAAACGCCACACGCCCAGGCTCAGAAGATCCGGCTCAATGTTTAGGTCTCAAATGCAAAATCAGCATTAGCACATAATTCACTCACATCCTCAGAGGACACGTCCCTCACCGAGCTCTCTCTGAATTCTCTTTGAGTCATCGGATTCATCCGCTCAAGGACGACCTACGTTACAGAATGTTCTTCCACACACTGCGTGCAATTCCACCTTTCCACCAGAGAGGCCTCCAAATCCCCAAAACACACATAGTGTAGCTTTGAATAATGTAATAATAAAAAACTGTAGACGTCAACCACATTCATAGAGACACATCGTAGAAAACCACCGGCGAGGTTAACGTCCACACAAGCATCACTGTCATACGGTATTTATGGGATGGAAGAGGGTACAAATGTTTTATGAAGTTAATAATAATAAGAAGAAAAATATGGGTCTGAAATGGTGTGTGGCTGTCGATTAGCCGTTCCTGAGAAAAGAACAGTAGTTGCACCAGAACACCAAAAACTGTATATTTAAGGTGTGAAAGTTTAGTGAGAAGTAGCAAATGCCACCAACTTCTAAGACTGAACTTTGGAGGTGTGTCTGCAGATTTCTTTGAGAAACTGAAAGTTAGTCTCCCGAAAACAATGGAAGCTGTAATGCAGGTAAAGAGGGACACATTAAATATGAAAAAGCCTGAAATTTGATTGAAGCTTCTGTGTATTTTTCAGTTTAATAAATCGCTGCTGGCGGAACAAAAGCTCGTATCTCCATTTTTGTCGTTTTTCAGTTTTTGACATAATTCGAAAATGCCTGTTGGCCTTTATGTTGTGTGTAAATTTCATGATGAATGGACCAAAAGAAACGACCCAAAATGACTTGGAAAAAAAATCGGGTTCCATTGACTTCCATTAAAAGTAAAGTTATAGTTAAAAATATAGTTAAAAGTTAAATATACACACATACACAAACTTTTCAGGAGAAGGAAAACAATCCTTAACTTGTAATGTAAGTTAATGTAAAAAATAAATAATAATAATAAATCCAAGTTACTTTGGATCATTTCTGTTGGTCACTATCATTGATTTTTTTTACCCAATATAAAAGGCAACAGGGTGTTTACAAATTGTGAAAACAAACAAAATATACAAAAGGGCAGATATGAGCTTTTGTCCCGACAGCAATGATATATAACTAGTACTTTTTCAGTATCCAACTCTTGTCCTAGTATTTCTGATACTCTGTACAGACTGAGCACCACTTTGAACTCGACCTCTTTAAGAGCGAAGATGAGGAACACACTGTTTTTCGGGAAAGGCGCCGGTACACGGTCAGGTTAGCCCAGCGTGTCGGAGCAGAGATGAAACGACAGAGCATGAAAAGAAAAAGGACGAGTGCAAAGGGAGAGACGGGACGAATGAAAGGATGAGAGTGTTTGTGTTTGGGGTGGGGAGGGGGGGGAGGGGGGCCGGGGTAGATCAAAAGGTAGAATACACCAAAGACGTCCCTCACTGCCGTTGCCTGGTAACCTGAGCAAAGCCGAAAGGACGTCACGTGTGAACAGTACAGCAATAAGAGAGAGAGAGCAGCGTTACAAACACAGGTATTTCAATTTATTAACTTCAAGCTTTTTAGGTTTTACATGTGTCACATCAGGAGGACACTGAGGAAAAACGGCAATCAAACTCACACACACACGACAAAAAGAGAGGAAATAACACCAAACTTGAGGATTAAGGCGAGCTCGTCTTCTGGTTTTTAAAAAAAAAAACATAATAATAAACAATCCTAAACCCGGAAGGCCTGACTGTAGCTTGTAGAGCAGAACTGATGGGTTCTTGTATCCATCTGATTATCAAAACCTCTGAGATGAACTGCTGAAGGTAGTTTGTGTCCAAAGCTGCTTCTTTGAGTCACAGAACACTGTAGAAGAACTGAGCTCCTGTAGGGGCTCCTCACGGCCCTCTAGTGGACATGAAGTGCATTGACGTGCCAAAACAGACATCCTGTAAGTGCTGTGCTGCAAAAAAATGTATCTTGTCAACAGAAATCATCTTAAATGTAGCATATATATCGCTGCTGTCTGAACAAAACCTTGTATCTCCATTTTTGTCATTTTTCAGTTTTTAACATAATTTGAAAATACCTGTTGCTCTTTACATTGTGTGTAAATTTCATGATGAATGGACTAAAAGAATTGACCTAAAATGACTTGGAAAAACATCTGTTTCCATTGACTTACATTAAAAATAAAGCAGTTTTTTCATTCTCCCATTTCTCCCATTTTGGAGATATGAGGTCTTTTTTTTGTTCCAACAGCAGCGATATGTGATATTTCATATTTCAGTTCATTATAACCTATTTCTAAATATTAATACTTGATTCCGTTAAGTGAAATTCTCTCTTTCCATTGGTAGATAATTGTGCATCTATAGTTCCTAGAAACAAGCAACATCTGCCCATGGAATTCAAGTGAAATAACTTAAAAATCTAGAAATAGGTTAAACATGATCATATTCTTACATCAACCTAACAATGAGAATTAGTAGCTATATTGACTAAATTTAAAGGAAATATGTTGTTTTAACTTAACACAATTTCCCACTCACCCTAGATGTAGTCAATCAGCCAAGACGCGTCCAAATTTCACTACTGTTACAAACTAACAAACACTAGAAATCAATAGTCACCCAAAAAGCACCAAACCTGAGTATCAAGGCAAGCTTATCTTCCACCTTCCATCTCCAAACCTCTCAACCTGCCGTAAAACACACTGAAAAGTCTGTGTGACCGTAACAGAGACCTGGTTGTGGTTCGTGGGGGCTGAGAGAAGTTTTGGGGATGTATTTACAGAAAGATTTGGGTGACTACTGACTTCTAGTGTTTGTTAGCAATAATAGACTCGTAGCTCTAGTGCAGAACAAAAGAACCAAAACTTGGCTGATGGACTACTTTTGGGGTAAACTGTCCAATGTGATCTTTTGGCAAACCATTTTTTAGATGTCAGCTGATTTAAGTTTTCGCAGCATGAGAGGTCAGAGGTAAGGTCAGCTGAGGACAGTATTCTCAGCGAAGTGCTGCTGACGGATTTTTCAGCCTACGTTTGTGTGGAAATTCTCTACAGGCAGTCCATGGAATTGTCCGGCATGAGCCCCAGGGGCGGGGCTTTTCCCGGCAGGCAGGTGGGCGGGAGCATGGTGTTGGGGGCGGGGTCTACGTTCTCGGAGTCCTCCATTTTGTCCGTGCTCATCTCCCAGTTAATGTGGAAGCGCGTGACGCGCGGGTTCGACGCCAGGATGTTCCTCTGCAACTGAGGATCGTCAACAAAAGTAAATGTTAATATGTAAGTAGTTCAGGTGGAAACAAAATTCAGAATTCAGTTCTATACAGTGGTGCCTGGATCACACACACTCACACACACACACACACACACACACTTTCTATGCCACTTCACACAGTAAGGCCCGTGGTTGCCAGGTCCTTCCCGACTGGGAATCGAACCCAGGCCCTTCTTGCTGTGAGGCGACAGCAGTACAAGCGCCTGGATTCAATAGAGTAAAAAATAAGACCGTCTAAAAATGTGCTTTAGGATTAAGATCTTAATGTTAATGGGAGCTAATTCCTCATTCCATGCACCCTTTTTTGTGGAAATGTTGAAAGTACGTACATTAAATCTGACATTTACACACATCATGGTTACAGTGTGCAAAAAGAGAAGAAGGACAGAAGGGAGGAGAAAAAAATAAAACATACACAGTATGTATACAGTATACAGAGTTTTTTTTCTTCCTGCTAATGAACACCTAATGTCACATAAAACAAAAAAAAAAAATTCACATAAAAATCACATAATTCACAGAAAACGTTTGTTCTTTTCCCTCTTTTTCTCTCCCCTTTTTTTTTCCTTTTACGGGCGGTTGGGGTTGGATGGGTGCTTTGTTGCCAACAACACGTTTTCGACTGATGGAACATCTCAACTAATTAGATTAACTGGCAACAGGTCAGTAACATTACTGGGTTTATAAAGAGCCTTTCAGAAGTAAAGATGAAGAGGGGTTCACCACTCTGTGAAAGACTGCACAATCAAATAGTGCAACAATTCAAGAATAACGTTTCTCAATGTAAAATAGCAAAGAACTTTTGTTTTTCATCATCTACAGAACATGATATCATTAAAAAGATTCAGAGAATCTGGAGAAATCTCTGTATGTAAGGAATAAGGCCAAAAACCAGTATTGGTTGGCCATGATCTTTGGGCCCTCAGGCGGCACTGCATTAAAAACAGACATGATTCTATAGTGGAAATCACTGCATGGGCTCAGAAACACTTCTGAAAACCACTGTCTGTGAAAACAGTTCCACACTGCATCCACAAATGCAAGTTAAAACTCTAAAACACAAAGAAGAGACCATATATAAACAGAATCCAGAAACACCGCCACCTTCTCTGGGCCTGAACTCATTCAAAAAGGATTGAGGGGAAGTGGAGAAGTGTCCTGTGGTCCGACAAAGAAAGACCACAAAGTTTGTTATCAGCACACAGTTTAAACGCCAGCATTCGTGACGGGATGGGGGTCCTTTAGTGGACATGACGTGGGACTTGCACATCTATGAAAGCACCATTAATGCTGAATGATATTTACAGGTTTTAGAGCACGCTATGTTGCCATACAGACAACGTCTTTTTCAGGGAAGGCCTTACTTATTTCAGCAACACAATGCCAAACCACATTCTGCATGTGTTATAACAGTGTGGCTCTGTAGTAAGAGTCTGGGTGCAAAACTGGCCTGCCTGCAGTCCAGACCACAAGGCTTGGGAAAAACACCCCGATCAGCTGTGATCCTGATCTACTGGACATCCCTGGATATCATATTTCGTCAGAATTAAATGTAAATCCCTGCTGTGTTTGTTTTCCTTACCTGTGAGTAGTCAGGTTTGATAGGTGGATTCTCCCGCAGCTCGGGGTCCGTGTACTCATTATTGACATAGTAACCGATGCGGATGAATTCCTGTCCTCGATAGGTGCAGGTGATCAGCACTACAGTCACGCCCACCGCGTCACTCTCAGGAATCAGCCCGGTGTTCGGAGCGTCGGCCTGACAGAGCAGTGGAGAAAAGTAATGAAGACAGGTTTGTACACCTATGATCCACCTGCTCAGTGTATGTACAGCCTAGTGAGGCCTTTGACTCTTCCTACAAAATAAAAGAATTTAAACTTTAAAAACTTTTGCAAGCTGCAGCTCCAAGACTCCCAAAATCTTACTTAATTTCATAAGGCACATTCCTTCTATCGTTCTTTTTAAGACAAAACTGAAAGCTTCATTTTCATTTACAAATAGCTTATAGTAAACACCTGAATGTGTGAAATATCATGGGTCTAATACTGTCTGTGAGGCTTTAAAGCATGCAGGCTTAACACTGGTTGCTTTAGAACTGCTAAACTGCACTCATAAAACAAGTAACATTGCATTCATCTGTACATTCTTTGTTATACAAGAAGTTGCTGCAAAGGACAGCATCTCAATCAAAGAGCATCACCACCAATTCCGTATCCTTTCCCCCTATAAGATAGAAAAGATATTGAATCTACACAGTTAGAAATAAAGGTCCTGTGCAGGTACATTTTTCGTTCATCAAGGTACAAACAATGTTAATGTTTCCTCAAAGGTACAACAGTGGCTTTAAGGTCCAATTGTGAACCTTAAATAAGTTTCTCCAGGTGAAAAGTTTGTATTTGTATCTTTTCATAACCAAATGTTTTAAAACAGAACAGTAAAATAAAAGCCTGGAGACGAGACGGGGTGTGTGGAGTCAGTACAGCTTAGAACATATCATTTCAGTGGATTATGGTTCAGTTATGACAGTTTACCACCTTTATTTCTGAGAGTGTTTTAGACCATGTAATGTGTATATATTCTGTTGTTTTCAGTTAAACTCCTAGTTAGCATTAATTAAGTCCCAATTTTGTGCATAAAATGTACCTGAATCTCAGTCAGTGGGGGATAAACTGTCTCTTAAAAAAACAACCCTGAGCTATTGCTGGACAGTTTTGATAAAATTTAATATCCAATTTTATTCCATGATTTGCTACTGTATGCTAATGTAATGCCTTACAAACCTGACATAGCTTGTTTTGTTCCTTCCAAAATGAAGAGCCCAGAGAATGAGATACACTCTACTTAACAGGCTAGTCCTGAATACCTTGTGTAACAAGTGCAAAATATAATAAAAAATGTATAAAACACTCAATGACGCAAGCGTTGGCCCTATGGTTGGTAGATCACAAGTTCATTGCCACAGCAGTAGGTGGGAGTTCAAGACTGTCCTCTCTCTGGCTGGGTAGGATGACTCTACCTCTCCCCCATCCCTCAGAGCTTGTGTTAACTGACCTAACAGAATAAGCAGTTAGTGTTCTCCTCCAAGTGTGTTGAGCTGTCCAATGAGCGGTTGGTTGGTGAATGAGGTCCAATATTACTAAAGCTAAAACAGGCGTCATGGTGTAAACACCCAAAACCAGTACGCCAGTAGTCATGCATCATCCACCACCACCCCAAACCCTGCTGACCATACAAACACACCGCTTGTGCTGCCAAAGACGCTCTATCCACAGCTGTTAGAAGAAGAAAGCACTGAACATTTTGAAGAATAAGTAATTAGTCAGAACCCTCCTCCTCACCTGAAACACAAACATGTGTCTGCCTGCAGGAACGGGTCCCACCAGCACGGAATCCAGGGTCTGATCGTACTCCTCGCTCTCTGCCGAGCCCACATAGATGATCTTCCACTCCAAATCTGCCTCAAAGATGAAGACAAGTGAAAAATGTCTAGAAATAAGCTAGATAATCTTGAATAAGTGCACAACCATCTCAAAATGGGAAATATTAGATAGACTAGATTTAAGATCATTTCACTTGAAAAGACACCATTTTTTGCAGTGCATAGTGGAAGTCAATGTACAAGGCAACTGGTGCTTACAAAAAAAAAAAAACAAAAAACAACAACAACAAAAAAAAACGGCATAAATGGAGATTTTGTCCTGACAGCAACGATCAGTTGATGAGCTCTGTTCTGATTGTCTGTCCTGTATTGTAGCTTTATTCAAAAAGCAGGCTGAAACACTTATAACTTCAGTGTAAGTGGGCGGGGCTAAACTGCAGTGGGCCGAATAGGCTGATATATGCAAATTAGCTGTTTTTTGTGACATCACAAATAAAAACTCAAAACAGGCTGATTTTCAGCTTTTCATATAGACCACATGTGTCAGGCTCCAGTCCTTGTGGGCCAAACCACTGCAGACTTCAGCTCACTGCCTCACTAAACACACCTGATTCAGCTCTTCAGCTGATTAGCAAGACCTTCACGAACTGAATTCAGAGCGTTAGACGAGTAAACAGCAATCTCTGCAGCTCTTTGGCCCAGACGGTCCCCAGTTTGACATACCTGATACTTTAGCAGTGTCTTCTTCGTATATTAGAAAATTTGGTTTTTACATGGCATAGTCCAGGAGTCGGCAACCCAAATGTTAAGAAGAGCCATTTTGTCCTTTCAACAAAAATCAAACCACCTTGAGAGCCACAACAATTTATGTCCATTTTACCATCTTGGCTGTAAATGTGTCTCAGTATGTGCTGATGTTCTAGTGTAGGCTAAAAATGTAATATAAAAGAAAATGCAGACTTACTTTGCGCTGCTTTAAGCTTGAGTTCAGCTATAGCCGCTTTTCTTGCATCTCTGGCAGGAAACTTTTCCACAAAAGTACAACAGTTTCTTGTAAAATGTCTCTCAATGTTTGACTTTTTGTGAAGCTGAAGTCGCTTCTCATTCGCCAGCTTCTGTATGTAACCGCTGCACCGTTTAAGGTGGAACGAGACAATTCGAACAAGAAGCTCTGCGACTTTTCAGTGTTTGACAGTTTCTCGTTGCAGATTAAACATATCAGGAAACCAGCTGGAGTGATTATAAACGCAAATAAGTCTAAAATTTATCGATGTTCATCTTAAATCTTTCTCTTTGCCGCTTCATTAGCTACTGGCTAGGTGAGACGTCATCTGCATTGCTATGGTGATCGACAGTCTGCGCGCCAACCTTCAGGGTTAAAGGGTGAATTAGCAGTTCTACATTAACTCCAGCATTTAAGACCGTTTATTGTTAAAACTGTGTTGAACGATCAGCAGAGCTTTATTTTACTGTAAAGGAGGATTATTTTATTTTTATCCTACAGATCTGATTCTGATGTGGAGCCACAACAGGGCAGTAAAAGAGCCGCATGTTGCCGACCCCTGAAATAGATCCTTCAAAGATGGCACTGATGCCAATACAGGACAGACAATCAGAACAGCGCTTGGTGCTGTCAGGACAAAATCTTGTATCTCTGTTTATGCTTTTTTTAAATTGTAAACACCAGCTTACATTGTTGTAAAATTTCACGATGCCATTTCTTTTCCACACATCCAGATCTGAGCACCCAATTTCAAGCATGGCCTATCAAAGCTGAGGGATATTAAATGGATATGAAGGGAATTTTTTTATGAATACAACTTCAAAATACTGCTCTCTGCCTATGATATGCAAATGAGAGGCTTTGATTTGTAACAATAGCTAATAAATCACAAAAGGTTCAGATGTGTGAAACAGAAACATATAAATGGACGTTATATAAATCATTCATGTCTATCTTTATGGAGCACACATATCAGGTTGGCTCCACTGCAACTGTGGCTGATCCAGGATCGTTTTTTTTTCTCCAGTCAGTCAGCAATCTTCACTTATTTACTTATTATTTATTTATTTTATTTTGATATATGCTGCAGTTTTCTGAGGTAAATGTGAGGCACGCAGGTCCATTGTGAAAGCTGCTGCTGCTACATCTGAACCAAAATGGTGTAGCATAATTAAACACGGCTCACTGTGCTAAACAAATTAAATATTTTTTATTTAATAATTTAAAATAATGTCTTATTCTGTTAAAAAGCAAGTAGTGTTATTTATGTTGCCTCTTGGGCTAACAGAAAGTTAGTTATTTTTCATGAGGTCTTTTAGCCCACAGCATGAGCTTCAGTTATTAAATAACATAAAATAATCAAAATAAAGAAATGGTAACAATTCAAAAATAAACAAATAAATAAATAAATAAAAAAACAAAAAAACACCAAATCAACTGGAATTGCACATTAATGATTTCATGATTGGGGCATCAGTAGCTTTACTCGATGCTTTAAAAAGGCCAACGCAGATGGTTCTTTAGTAAAGGCAATGGTTCTATTTAGAACCATGAGTTCTATGCAGGACCACTTCATGATTAAATGGTTCTTTGCATGGTCAAATGGTTCTTCAGATAGATGGAGAGTGTCCTGTATATCGTTCTGTATAGCTCTAAAAGGGTTCTGCTATTGTACCGACGTCAAGCTTGTTACAACAGAAGAACTCTTTTTGGTTCTACATTGGTTCTTCTTCTTCTATACACACACACACACACACACACACACACACACACACACACACACTCCATCAACTGGAAGAACCATTTCACCATGCAAAGAACCATAACCATGAAGTGGTTCTAAACAGAACTCATGGTTCTAAATAGATTGCCTTAAAACCCTTGAAGAACCATCTTTGGAAAATGTCTAGACTGGGTACAACATCCCAAATTAAAACCAATGAAATAAAAATAATTAAAAAAAAAACACTTTTTATCCCTCTGACCGATGAGCACACGCTGCTTCACATCGGTCCAATCAGGAGCCAGAAACACGAAGGCACCGACCACAACTTCGCAGCTCAGCCAATCAGAACACAGAACGTGGGCGTGAACGCGCAGGCTCCCTTAGAAACCGCGCCAAAAAACAGCAACAACAACATAAACTTGCCAAACTTGCAGAAATTGACGTTGAAATTGCGATAAATATCACTTTTCCCACTGAACAGGTTTCACTACTACGGTTCTAAACCGACCCAGAAGCAGTAAGAAGACCATAAATGCGAAAAGAACTACAGCCTGGTGGCAAAAAGTCGGTATTAATCCATCAAAACAAATGTTGCTAGCTAGCTGAGGCTCCCTCAGATGGGAGAAAGAGTTGATGAACTTACTGACAGGAAAGGTACGCAGGTAAACAAAAGCCTGGCCGCTCAGCTCACCTTCAGGCAAGTCCTCCATGCATTCAAACGTGATTTCAAACTGGAAAGGGTTCCCGAAAGGACTGGGGTTGTCCAGCACGGCCACGTTCAGCACCTGGACTTTGGCCATGACACAGAAACTTAGCTGGAAAACACGAACACAGTGAAGCAGAGCGGCCTTGTTGTTGGTGGTGGTGGCTTAAAGCTCACAGGCTCCTCTGGGTGAAGGATATGATATGATATGATGGTGGAACGAGGCAAAGTCAGACCAGTGAGGGGCAGAAAGGGCCTCCAAAACACGAAGACAGCAGAGATGCTCCAGAGAAGGCAAACCTGGCGCGGACAAAGAGGTCAGTCCAGCTCACATGTTTTTTTTTCCAGGACCTACTCAAACTCAACCATCACCACTCCGTCCGTTTTCATTGAGGAGGCATCTCGACCCTCTTGACCCCGCCGCGTCGTCGCTCCTCGTCTCGACCGAAGCGCCGCAGATCTTTATCTCTTAAAAGTCCCGGCTTTAGTCTCTCACACGAAGTCCGAATGGCGAGAAGACAGCAGCGAAGCTCCTCTCCGGTGGTGTCTTGTTCTCCTCTTCTCGTTTTCCCTCGTTAGTGAGCTCCAGCACATGAGCGCCGGGAAGTGGAGAAGGTCCACTGCTGCCCCTTAGTGCTGTGGCGGACGTGTTGGCCTGTTTAAAGGCGTGTTCAGCGCGGTTGGGCGGGCTTTGCCGGCATGGATGTTTGTTTACGTGCGATATTGAAAAAGAAGATATACGATATGGTCCAAAATTCTGGTTCCATTGACTTACATTAAAAGTGAAGTACCATTTATATGCATATACATCTATATGCATGCAGTTCTTCAGTTTTTTACATAATTTGAAAACAACTGTATCTCTTTACATTGTTTTTAAAATTTCATGATGAATGGGCCAAAATTACTTGGAAAAAAATGTGGTTTCTTTGACTTACTTTGAAAGTATATGCATCTATATGCATTTATATTTTATATATATGCTGCTGTCAGAACAAAACCTCACTTGCACTTGTTGCAGAGTGAACTTGCTGTCCACTCAATCTTAAACACACCTGCCTCTTTGGTCCACCTACACTGTTAGAAATAAAGGTCCTGTGCAGGTACATTTTTGGTTCATCAAGGAACAAACAATGTAAATGTTTCCTCAGAGGTACAACAGTGGTTTTAAGGTCTGATTGCACACCTTAAATAAGTTTTTCCAGGTGAAAAGTTCGTATTTGTACCTTTTCATAATCGAATGTTTTAAAACAGAACAGTAAAATAAAGTCCTGGAGGCGAGACGGGGTGTGTGGAGTCAGTACAGCTTAGAACATATCATTTCAGTGGATTATGGTTCAGTTATGTTCCCTGACTAAAGGTACGGAGATGTACCCTTGAGGAAACCACCCCAGTGACAGGAGGGTTCCTGCCCCAGTGACAGTACCTTTATTTCTGAGCGTGTAGGAGATGCAAAGTCAGAAATGAAAGCTCATCTGTTGTTCAAAGGCTAACAGTATGCAGAAAAACAGATGGACTACAGTCTGTAGTTGTAGAGCTACAAAGTGCATCAAAGTTGCGTACAGTCAAATCTGATGAACACACACAAATTTCAAAATTAGTTCTGTTATTGTTCAGGTTCATCTTTAGAGTGCGTGAAAATTTGAACTGAATAGTTTAACAACATAAAAATCATGCTTAGTTTGTGGTTAACTAACCAAAACTACTGTCAGTATCATCTATAAAACCTATAATAAGAATAAAAATAACAATAATGCTAATAATTTGTGCACATTGCACATTGCAAGTGTATATTTTATATATATATATGTGTGTGTGTGTGTGTGTGTGTGTGTATATATAAGCACATTGATGTAAACAAAGGCTGCAGCTATTCCATGTCCCATTTGAGGACATATTACACAGTGCTTTTGTTTTATTCTACTGACTCCTCCCAAAAAAGTAAAAGCACTGCATCTCATACACAACAATAATACAGCATTTATTATTATTACACTATGCAGTCACATCATTTTACAGTGTTAAAAACTGTTTATTTCACATTTTATTCTTTCCATGTGTTGTAATTTCAACACTATAAAGTCCGGTCAGTAGAGGGAGCTGTGCACTCACTACCCCACCTCAAACACCACCTGCAAGCACAGCTATTGTCTCATGAGCTGCTGAATGCTGTCCTTTTACTGGCTGCCTACCGAAACGTGCTGAAATTAGGGCGTGCTTAATGTGAATGATATGTAAATGAGGTGCTGGTGGGCTGATGCTTGATTTTACACTCTAAAGCAGATTCTTAATTATACCCTCAAATCTCTGCTTGTTTCCACGTCATATGAAGGTTTCAAGAATCAGACGCAGAATAGTTGAAACATCATTGAAGTCGGTCAGTTCTGGACTCTCTTTTTTCATGCAACTTTGATGAGTAAGGGTCATTGAATGTAGATAGGTGCACCTAGTGAAGTGGCCAGTTAGTATATCACTGCATCTCCATTTTTTTTGACATAATTTGAAAATACTTGTTGCCCTTTACATTGTATGTCAATTTCATGATGAATGGACTAAAGGAAATGACCTAAAATGACTTGGAAAGAATTCTGGTTCCTTTGAGTTACATTAAAAATAAAGTAGGTTTTTTCCTTTTCTTTTAAAGTTATCGTTTTGGAGATATGAGGTTTTTATCCGACAACAGCGATATGCAGTCAAAAACCAATATAGCTTACAAAAACCCAGTAAAAGTACCAAAGAGAGCCCAGAAGGCAGAGTCCAAGAGTTCAGAAGAAAGTCCATGTAAACCATGAGTCCAGTAACAGTAGTACCATCAGGCTCAGTACAGAGACAAACTACCAACATTTCACAGAGAGCATGTGTTGGTGTGGGTCCTATAAAAGGAGGTAGATGAGCTGCAGGTGAAAGAGATCAAGGTCACAGTGCATATCTAGTCATAGCAAAGAATGCCCACTTGTTAAGGGTCAAACTTCTGTCCTTTTCTGTGCTTCAGTTCAGAGCCCTGCTGGTGACATGCCATATAAATAAAAATAATGCGTGCTCATGCCTTATTAACACGTGGGAATGAGATCCTAAGGTGTGGCCACGATTTAGTAAAGCGTGGGAATGAGATAAGTCATGGCCACGACTTAGTAAGGCACAAAGTCATGGCCTCGCATTAGGATCTGGTTCCCATGCCTTACTAAGTCATGGCCACGCATTATTGGATGTCACCTGCGGAGCTCCGTACAGGCCCTGAAATACTGCAAACTTGTTGCAGCCAAAGCTTTTTCTCCCCAGCTACCATAACATATTTTACACAGTCAGCACTTCAGTCCACATGCATACGCCCTACAATGCTTACCTTGGGACTGGATTTCTGGCTGCCATTACATGTGTGCTCCATCATGAAACCTACGCAAGAACGTATGGCACATCTAGTTCAGACTAATGAATAATAGAAAGACTTTTTTTAGGTTAGGAGGAGAAAAACTTCATTTCATCTGCTAGTTTAGGTGTTGCTGATGTGTTGTCTCTGTACATTTGAACGTTCACTTTAATGCCTTATTTTGAAACCAGACTTTACATCCAAGCAGACCAGGGAGAGCTGTATTCTTCACAAACAAAAAAAAAGCTATAGATTGTCCTATTACAGTGTTTTTCACACTTGTGTTAAATGTGTGTAATAAAATATAGGAGAAATGCCCCCCGTTCTAAGAAGAATGTGTATCTGTGCATGAGTTTATCCTCATGATTGAGGATGTATAAACCTTTGCAAAGCCCCACTATCAGGGAAAGGAGCCCCCCCCAGCGTTTTCTGGGTGGTCCACTGGTGGTCAAGCAGAGTATTAGACAAAATTCCACTGATCATCACTCATTTTCCGCTCACAGTCTAATTTACTTAGTCTTCCTTTCTTCCTTTTTTTAGTTGCACTTTACTTAGCATAGTAAATCATTTTAATCCAGCTCAGTGTCAGCAACATTTTCTATAAAACCATTTTATATCAGGCCTAGTCATTATTTTTTTGTCTCAGTTGTTTGTAGTATTAGTTTATTTTCTAAAATAAAAGTCTCTGTGCATTTAAAGTCTGTTTAAGGAGATTAAAAACTAGTTAGAGCTTGTATGCAGGACAGTAATCTGGGTGGTCCGAGGGTGGACCAGCAGTGGGGTGCCGACCTTATCAAGCCAGCGGACTGATATATGCTCACTGCCAGAGTTAATAAAAATAGAAACACTTGAAATACCAATTAAAATAAGTTTGAATAATTTTAATATGGTTTTGTGATTATATTAATGATATTATGTAAAAGCATGTGTTATATTATTATTATTAAAAGTATTATTATTATTATTATTATTATTGTTGTTCTTGTTGTTGTTATTATTTTTATTACCATTAATAATAATAATAATAATAATAATAATAATAAAACACCAATAAAAACTATTCAAACTAAGCAACAGCTAATAATCTTTCTTTTTTTTCTCCTTTAAAAAACAAATGCATTACTCTCTTCACCCCCCCCCCAAAGACACACACACACCACACACAAGTTCATATTTTTCCAGGAGAGTCAGTCCCCCAGGTGGACCTCTTCCCTCCAGGCTCCTCAATCTCAAGCACATATAACTGAAGCATCTGTTACTTTGATTGATAAACTTGCTCAAATAATAGTTCAGATTAAATACAATGCACAATAGCAGTAAAATAGCTATGGCACAAACAGCATCTCCACACAGACATTTGATGCTCTCATTGATTTATTTCCATTTAAGTTTAAAGCAGCACGTAATGAACATGTGAGGCAGTCAATATCCAGCAAAGTCACTGCAAGTAAACATTACAACCAGTGTGATTAAAGATGTCACAGCCAAACGGAAAAGTCAAGAGTACAGGTAATAGTTACATGACTGTTGGAATTAATAAAAGTTGGAGATCAAATCAGCGTGTATCTGTTAGAGAAAGCGTACGTATGGCCAGAAAAGCAAAAAGTCATTGCAAAAGTTACATGCTTTTAAAAACAAGTTTAGGTGGTGCATCCAAGGGTGGTTAAAACATGGCTGAGTCCTCTCAGGCCGTTATATCTGTCTCTGTTTTCCTTGCTCTCCTGGCTTTCCCTGGTGGTGGGCCAGTATTCCACCCAAGTCCCTGATCCAAACAAATAGCGATATCTGATAAAACATGATACACACACAGTTAAAGGATGTCTGCACATGTGGAAAAATGAACATTTTTCTCTTTCAATGCGAGCTACTCCTAGTTCTAAGAACACACACTCACACTCCCCCAGACCGCCCTTCATTTATTTATTTTTTTATGATTTATTTCCAGTCAAATCCGCTTGCATAAACAAGGAGGAACATCAGGGGAAGATAAGTGAAAAAAAAACAGATTTCAAAGGAGGAGTTCAAAAAAATGATTAAAGCCCTGAGAACCTAAATCTGTGTTTTCTTTCTAAGTAAGTTAATCTTGCCCTTGTGGGCATCTCAATACACACATACAAAGTATGTCCTGTGACTAACTTTCCAATGATCAATAAATGGCCAAATTTGCCAGAATTGTCCTCATTCGCTATATAATGGCCAGTGCTAAACTTGGGTTGTGTGTATGTAAGCTGTATTCTCACCAACTACAGGGCTGATTTAGGTTGTCCCACCAACATATCTTTTACAAAACTGTTTGTCACTGGTGTCCTTTCTTTAAAAGAAAGCTACAAGAACAAAAAGCTAACCTAGAAAGCATAACTAAGCTAGCAGGAACATCCGTTCGGCCGTTGTATGTATAGCTGCCAAGAAGCTGTTAGTGAGAAAAATAAGTAGACAAAAAAACCCCTAAATATAATATAAATACTAAATAAATTAGATTGTATTATGTTGTTGAGGCTTCTGTGTAAGTTTTTGCTAAATGGATTTTCTTCTTTTTCCCTGATGCTGAAAAATTTATAATCTAAATGCAGTTGATTTTTGACAAAAGATAATATAAATCAGCCTAGTTTCAATTAGCTGTAATATAGGTGATCTCAGTAGTGTGGTATTTCAGGTAACTAGAAACTTGACATTACATGGTTCTCCAGGCTAAATTCCTCATGTTGAATGCGACTTGTACCAGCATTCCAGTAAAGTTTGTGGGCAGAGCATAGACAGGTCAGTTGTAGTAATCACTAATGAATATTTACTGGTTCAATCCAGGTATTAGTGGTGTAAAAATGCACTGATGTATTGTGATACATGTATCGAAGATACATGTATTGGAGATCGATAAAACTGTAAAAAATATATGGAGATGCACTTGGCTCTGCAAAACAGGGGACAACAGAAAGCCTTTCAAGTTGTGGTGCAAAAAAATAAAATAGCCAAGTGTGTGTTTTTGCATGGAATGCCACAAGGAAATTCAGTATAACAGTAATGGTAAAAACGTGCAACAGCCAGAACCCAGCATCTGGCCTCAAGGAAAGTGAATATTGCCAATGCCTCAACCTTCAAACACGCATTCAACGATGTTCTACTAGTCATACAGCCTGAACTGGAATCAGGTTGTTGGTATACTGTTGGATAACTGCAGTGTGATAAGAGGGAAGTTGAAGAGACATTTTATTATTGCTGGACAATAGCGGAGATACGGTTCACATGGTCTCAAATGCAGCCAAGGCCCTTTTGAATCCCTTCCAGGTATTTGTGGAAGTATTTGCTCTGATGTCTACCACAACATCAAAAAATTCCCCAAACAGAAGGAAGTTTTTACAGTTTCAGTCCTTACTTCATTTGGAGGATAAGAGCCTAGTATGTCCCATCAGCAGCAGGTTCCTGTAAATGATGGATGTGTGCAACAGAATACAGAGGCTTATGGATCCATTGATTCTGCACTTTTACAGTGTACTGTCTACTCGTGATCAGCACAAACACAGGTACAACTACATTAGCATTCTCTTTTTATACTTTTTATTTTCTCTATACTAGTTGGCCCAATCTGCAGAATCTCATGAAATAAGTCAGAACAAATATAGCTGTTGTCTGAAATATTCAGCTACTTTTCTAATCAGGTTCTATTGTGAATTTTAGGTGTACTTTCCAATTTTCCAGGTGATCCTGAAAGAGTTGCAGCATGAAAAGCCAATGACGAGACAGGGAACTCCTCTATGGGTTCATAAAGCCTGAAACCATCCCCTTAACTGTGTACTCTAACAAATGGTTGTTTGTGGGAAGATTCAGCTTCTTTGCCTTAAGCAAGGCAAGAGTGAAGAAGAAACCCTGGTTGCAGAAGGTCTGCAGCTCTCTTAGAGAAGGCTACATCAAGGCAGCAAATTCCTCAAGAAAAAACTTCCTGTCAACAGTAAAATCATCACCTCGTTGATGAAAGATTTTGAATACACAATCAATAAGTAAATAGATTAGACATGTAATCAATAACCAAATAGTTCAGCATTGGCTAAAAGGGAATATTAATGTCTTACTAAGAGGTAATATGGGACGCATTAGGCTATAGCCTGCCTGTTCAGAGGCTTTCAAAAAGTAGATAAACTTAGATGACCTTACACACAGGTGCACTCTCAGTGAACTCGTATGAGCCTGTATGATATATGGTTCGGTAAGGCCATGTGGGATGAGATAAACTGGTACGAACTGGATGAAACCAGCTTTTTAAAAGAAAGAAGTGTGTTACTCAGTGAACTTAAGAAAGGCCAAGTGATAGGGAAGTTTTTGAATGGGGTCTTATGGAACATCAAGTTTGAGGTGACATCATAACACCCCAGATAAAGTTATTTAAGGCGCTGCCTGAACACTGTATTTGTGCAGTTGGGGCTCTCGAGACCTGCGTGCCATCTGATAAAAAAGCCTTTTTCCCTCTTTCCACAAACTCAGCGTCTGAAGACTTTTTCCTTTTTGACATCTTTTACGAAGTTCGATTTAGAACAGTTATTAGTGTTTAGCCAGTATTGAAAGATTTCTGTTCTAATAATATTATGTTGGCTGCCTGGGCTGGAAGGGGATAGCCTTTGGTCCTGACACTGTGCTGACACCAATCAGTCCGAGGTGCATTCAACACTTTGGCCAAGGCCTTGCCAAAATGCAGTGAAATCTGAGGAGCTGGGTCAGCTAGATGAAGAGGTGTGAGCGTACCAGACTGACTCAGATCTAGGAGCACAGGCCAAATGCTTTGAGGATAATACTGCACAAATCGATGTTGACTTGTGGAATAGGATCTTTGCCATGAAGATGCCAGAGGGAGGGATGAGATTCCCCATATTAGGGAAGTTAACATCCTGGAAAATGAACATTTTTCTCTTTCAATGCGAGCTACTTCCAGTTCTAAGAACACACACTCACACTCCCCCAGACCCCCTTTCATTTATTTATTTTTTTATGATTTATTTCTGGTCAAAACAGCCATTACGTACAAGTTACTCATATTTTGAGAGATTTTTTGGGAGGTTAAATAAAAGATAATCCGCTTGCATAAACAAGGAGGAGCATCAGGGGAAGATAAATGAAAAAAAAAAAAACAGTTTTGAACAGAGTTCAAAAAAATGATTAAAGCCCTGAGAACCTAAATCTGTGTTTTCTTTCTAAGTAAGTTAATCTTGCCCTTGTGGGCATCTCAATACACACGTACAAAGTATGTCCTGTGACTAACTTTCCAATGATCAATAAATGGCCAAATTTGCCAGAATTGTCCTCATTCGCTATATAATGGCCGGTGCTAGTTAGATTGTGTGATGAGAGGGAAGTCAACAATAGCGGAGAAACGGTTCACATTCAAAGATTTTGAATACACAATCAATAAGTAAATAGATTAGACATGTAATCAATAACCAAATAGTTCAGCATTGGCTAAAACGGAATATTAATGTCTTACTAATAGGTAATATGGGACGCATTAGGCTATAGCCTGCCTGTTCAGAGGCTTTCAAAAAGTAGATAAACTTAGATGACCTTACACACAGGTGCACTCTCAGTGAACTCGTATGAGTCCATATGTTATATGGTTCGGTAAGGCCATGTGGGATGAGATAAACTGGTACGAACTGGATGAAACCAGGTTTTTAAAAGAAAGAAGTGTTGTATGGAGTGAACCTAAGAGAGGTACAGTGATGAGGAAGTTCTTGAATGGGGTCTAATGAAACATTAGGCTTGAGGTGACATCATAACACCCCAGATAACGGTATATAAGGCGCTGCCTGAACACTGTATTTGCACCGTTGGGTCTCTCGAGACCTGTGTGCCATCTGATGCTGGAATAAAGAAGAAGCCTTTTTCCCTCTTTCCACAACCTCAGCCTCTGAAGACTTTTTCCTTTTTGACATCTTTTGAGAACTTAGCCTTAGAACAGTTATTAGTGTTTAACCACTACTGAAAAATTTCTGTTCTAATAATATGTTGGCTGCCTGGGGTTGCCTTTGGTCCCCGCACTGTGCTGACACCATCATTGATTCTGCACCAATCGGTCCGAGGTGCATTCAACACTTTGGCTGAGGAGCTGGGTCAGCTAGATGAAGAGGTGTGAGCGTACCAGACTGACTCAGATCTAGGAGCACAGGCCAAATGCTTTGAGGATAATACTGCACAAATCGATGTTGACTTGTGGAGGATCTTTGCCATGAAGAAATCAGAGGGAGGGATGAGATTCCCCATATTAGGCAAGCTAACATCCTGGAAAATAGAGTCAGGCTGAACATTAAAACATATGAAGGCTTAACCAATATCAAGTCAAACATGAAAGCAATGGAGAAAACGGCCTCCAAAATGGAAATTAGCCCTGCATTGAGGAGCTTGTGCCTGTTTTCTTATAACAGACACCAAAATCTTCTGAAAAAGAAGAACATTGGCAAGTAAAAGTAAAGGAAACTGAGGAAAGCTGTGAAGTTTTTCTCAGCAGTAGGGTAAGAAAAGAAAGGAAAGGTTCCACCTCTTCTGCTCCTGCTACAGCCTCCTGTGCCTCCTCATCCTCTACTCCTGGAGTCAGAGCCACTGCTGCCAGAGCCTCCTAATACTCCTCTCCTGGAGTCAGAGCCACTGCACCTGCTACACCCTCCTCCTCATTGTCCTCCACTCCTGGAGCCAGAACAACTGCACCTATAGCTAGGGTCACTTTTCGGACGTGTTCCTGTGCTCAAGCAGTGATGTCCATTACAGGATCGTATCTGTTTTTAATGCAGTGCCGCAAGAGGGCACTCATTGCATTCTTATACAATTTACAATTTTGCACTGCGTCCAAACTTTTTGGGAAACGGGGTTGTAATTGTTTGCTTACATAAAGTGTAAGATTTGTCTTTTTACAATTACAATTAAGAATTAAATGAACGTGCTGAACTCAAATTACTACTGCATTTGTTGTAGCTATTATTTTTCTATTTTACTTCAAATTTCAATTAGTAAATACTAACTGAATTGATTTGATTTACATATGTGAAAATTACATATTAAAATTGGCAAGCAAAATCTCAGTTCTGACGCTTTTTACTAGCAAATGTCATTTTTGCATGTGTAAATTGTAAATTCCTTTGTAAAACCATTGTTAATAGAAAAATAGTATTCAAAGCTAAAACTGCTTTCAATAAAAATAATTCAAACATGTAATTACAATCTGAACATGTCAGATTACTCACTCCCAAAATATTTGGATGAATTAAAGTGTAAACGGTAAAACTCGCTAGTAATCTTCGTCCCTACAGGAGCTACTAGGGACCTCTGTCTAGCCATCTGGCTCTGAGCTCCGACAAACTGACTGTGACCTTCTTGAAAGGGGCATGAAGACTTCGTCCGTCTTCCGCTTGATCTGGCCACCACCCTGGGAGCTTCTCATGTACTGTTACTCTTTGAGGAATGCCCTGCCTCCCAGCTGAAATGGAGACTTTTGATTGGGTCTACCTCAACTCTCTGTCAGTTTGTATCTATAGGCTGGCACTCCATGCAGTTTAGGAAGAGCTGAGATTTTCTTTTTGATGTAAGCATCCTGAACTCAATCAAAAAGTAGTGGGTCATTGAGTACTTTAAAAAAATGGTGGCTCACCCACATGGTTCCAGGTGCCCAGCCCCATATCAAACCACCTATTATTATTGTTGTACAGTAAAGAGAAGAACGTAAAGCAAAGGAGCCCTAAACATTGTTTCAAGTATGTTTAAAATATTAGACATTTTGTCAACTTACTTAAAATAGGACTCTTAGCAATGGTCAGTGGAAAGAAACAAAAACCGTGCTGTTATCAGATATAACAGCATGGGCAGGACACATTTCAATCAGTTTGTGTGGTCCAAACTTCTAAGTGTATGAAAGTGGATGGACAAACCCTTGTCTTTTTTCTTGGAAATGTTTCTTACCTTTCTTGAACCCTTTTTGGCTCGGGCCCCATGAGGAGGTAGTCTTTTCCCTTAATCAGGTTCAGTTTAGTTCTGCACTTATCATGAGCCAAAAAGTCTCTCTGATCTTGGGGTTGAACCGGATCAGATCCTGAACAAACCAAACACACACATACATTAATGATGGATCCAATAAACCGCAGATGCACTATGTAGACTTGTTAGACCCTCTTCCCTAATTGAAGAATCAGAACCAGGGAGTGCAGCCTTGTGTCTGAATTGTTGATCTTTATTTCATTTTGTCACATTCATATTATAACACATTATACTGGACATAAAATTACACATAAAGCATATAATACAACAGATCCTTCAACCATGAAACTGATTCTGTTAGCACTGGTGACCCTTTGCTCTGCACATTTTTGTAAGCTGTGTCCCAAGAAATGTGAGCAGATGGTCTCATTTCAGTTCAGTCTTCGCGAGTCTACACAGCATTTGAAGGACACGCCTTTGTAGACCGCATCCTTCGAAGGATGCAGCCCCTGAATTGAGACACACTGGTAGTGTCTCTGCACACCTGACCCAGGCGACGAGGTGCTTGTTAATTAGTTAACAAGTCGAATCAGGTGTGCTTGACAAGATACAGTGGAAAAATGTTTGGGATTAGGAAGCCCTGCCCTACAGGAGCTGGATTAATTTGGTAATTCAAGTGATTACTGATCATTTCTGTGACCCCAACCAGTCTGGCTTCAAACAAGTGGCTGAGAAGCTCCAGGCAGCAAGATCAGCCAAACTGTCATCACGTCTGATTCTTTTTGACTTCTGTGCAGCCTTTTGACATGGTTAACCACAGGGTCCTCCTCTCTGTCTGCTCTAACCTTGGAATTGCTGGATCTGCACGGAAGTGGTTTGAGTCCTATTTTGAGAGGCACTCGTATCAGGTAACATGGAAAGGGTGCATGTAGGTCATCCACTGGTGTCCCACAAGGCTCGGCACTGGGTCCTCTTCTCTTCTCACTCTACACTCATTCTCTTGGTCGTGGAATATCCTCTCATGGCTTCTCTTATCACAGCTATGCTGATGACACCCGACTAATGCTAACAACTGGTTGACTGAAGCCAGTAGACTGGTCTTCAAATGTAAACTGAAGACCTATTTCTTTGAGAAGCACTTAAGTGAGTGCTAATGCATTAGCACCTATGTTGCATTATGTTGCACTTAAGCTTAAGTTAATTTTAATCCAGTATGAATCTACAGTGTGTATAATTTTTACAGTCTGACAGCAATAATTGTGGAGTGATTTTGATTCATTATGACAGTTAAAATAGTGCTTTATTTAAAACTTAGAAACAACTGAAATTGCTGATCTAGAATTTGCCAGCCACAGTTACTTACCCACTTTAAGAACTTCATTTATGGTGAAGACGTAGCTGTATGTGGACCCAGTTTCCTTAATGTCTTTCAGATTTGCCTTATAAGCTGAACACAAAAAAAGAGAAAAAGTCAAAGTAGGAAAAAAGATAATGTTCTGTATGTTCAAAATAGAAAGTTATAAATCTAATAAAGAGAATAATATTACATTTTTCACTAAGGACCCATCTATATTTAGTACAGTGAAATGTGATTTCTCCATGTTGATATTCATCAGCCTTAAATGCACACAAAGACAGAGTTCCTACCGAAATCCCGGTTTTTACAGGCTTCGGTCTTGCGCTCATCTTCAGTCGGGACCTCAGGAGCTTTCAGCTGAGGGCAGTTTGCTATCAGGGGAGTAACGGTTCGGTGAGAAAAGAGGTTGTTGGATTTGTAACTTATTTATTTTTTATTGTTTTAATCTCATGTTTCAAATTTCTCTTATTCACACACTCACACACATACACAAAACCACTCGCACAAACACACACACACACATTAGTACACATTAAACTTGCCTCAACTGATATTGACCTGTTTATACCCAAAAACATGCTTTAAAATATACAATAAGGAAATTGGCCACAGGTTTTTTTGTGTTTGACAAAAACAGCTCAAATTTTGCATCAGGGCACTTAGTGGCACTGTATATCTATATATCTATATAAGTCTGAATTTTGGAAAAAAAAAAAAGGAAAAATACAAAAATATTTCTTAACCAGGTGGTGCCATTTTTATTCCAGCTCATTGTAGTTTTTTTATATAAAAGTTATTTTTTTATTGTACTTTTTTGTAGTCTTTGGTCTGATAGGATTACTGTCTTGGTAAATTTTACATATGTTCTAAAAAAAATGAATGTTTTGTTTATTATGAATTGGTTAACAAAATTGCATGCTAAGCAAAAACCTAAGGATGGAGAAATGTTGTGGATATTTGGGATGTCTATTAACCCTTTCATTCTCATTTGGTTCTTAGAGCTCCACTGATATGAAAATGAAATTGAAAATTGTCAAAATGTTCGGGCTAAAAGTTTGGCTATTTGGACATTTTTTCACCAATTTTTGTTCTGTTTATCACAGTTTTTCATTGAATGAAAAAAAGGGTCATTTTTTACTTTCTGGCAATTCTTTTCAAATTCATTTTTCATGAAAATATGCAGAATTTACAAAAAATGAACCCTACTGGACCAAAGACTATAAAAGAACAATAAGAAAATGGCTTACATGAAAAATGCCCTGAATAAAAAAGTCTGATTCAGATCAAATTACAATAATATATGGGCAACTATTAGATATGTGATATTAATTTGAGAAATTATTGTTTTTTTCAAAAGTTCTGACTTGATTTGAGCTATTTTTGTTAAATAGAAACATATCATGTTTTTAATTTCCTTTTTTTTCCTTTTTTTAACTCTTTGAGTGTAAATGCATTAATCAAAACACAGACAGCAGTTAATGTTTCATCTAAATAAACAACAATCTTGTAAGTAGAAAAACCTAAGAGAACACTTAAGAGTACATAAGAGAACAAAATCTCACTGGACAAAAACTTCATGATTTCCTGTCTAACACTTGATTGTGTGTACCCATACCTCAATAACAGAATAAATCCTGTCAGGTAAGATAGTTCCTGTACATTCTAGCTCACTCTTTCATAAACTGGCTGCACATTTCAACCAGAGTTCCTGTGTGTCTATTAAAAGCTTTCATCTGCTGTTCCAAAATCAGAAATGGGATTGAAGTCTGGTCTCTCAAACGGCCACATACAGTCTCAGCCACATACAGACACTCTACAGTGGTCATCCTGGAATCTGGGAGAGTCAGTGTTCTGCTCAGACAAGTTGCACAAAGTGGAAGAGTGGGCTAAAATGGACTGGAACTTGATACTGGTGCTGTCCTTATAATAACACCAGACAGGATTTGTGCTGTGATTAAGGCTATTTAATGCTTAATTAACTAAGTATCAGAGAAGAAATGATGCATGCAAATATTTTATTTGTCCTGGGAGCTTCAGAACTGTACCATATTCCATTGCAGCTATATGAACTCCATGAGTCCAGGCTTTAATTTTATTTTTCTACAACCCCATTTCCAAAAAAGTTGGGACGCTGTGCAAAATGTAAATAAAAACAAAATGAAATGATGTGCAAATCATTTAAACCCTATATTTAATTGAAAATAGTACAAACACAGCATATCAAATGTTGAAACTGTGAAATTGTGTTGTTTTTTGAAAAATATAATCCCATTTTGAATTTGGTGCCAACAACACATTTGAAAAAAGTTGGAATGGGGCAACAAAAGGCTGGTAAATTTGTGTAATGCTAAAAACACATTGCTTGATTGAGAGCAGGTCAGTAACATGACTGGGTATAAAAAGAGCATCTTAGAGAGGAGGGGTTTTCCACTCGGTACTCTGTGGGCAAATAGTGCAACAATTCAAGAATAACGTTTCTCAACATAAAATAGCAAAGAACTTTTTTTTATCATCTACAGTACATAATAACATTAAAAGATTCAGAGAATCTGGAGAAATCTCTGTAGGTAAGGGACAAGGCAGAAAACAAGTATTTCCTGGCTGTGATCTTTGGACCCTCAGGCAGCACTGCATTAAAAATAGACATGATTCTGTAGTGGAAATCACTGCATGGGCTTAGAAACACTGGAAAACCACTGTCTGTGAAAACAGTTCATTGCTGTATCCACAAATCCAAGTTAAAACTCTAAAATGGACAGAAGAAACCATTTACAGTTATGTGAAAAAATTAGGACACCCTATGAAAGCTTGTGCTTTTTAACATATTTGGACATGTGGAAATAAAATAGCAATTTTAACAATACTGAGAGATTCAAGTGATATAACTAAACAATTAAAACTAAAGAAAAGACTTTAAAACTTGCTGTAAAGTGTAATTTAAAAAAAAATGCAATTTCTGGTGAGGAATAAATTAGGATAGCCCCACATTTATTCCCACTTAAAATGGCTAAAATCACACACAGGTGTATCACATCAGGTGCACATGATTAGGACAATGTTACTCAGCATTTTGAAGGAGGCTTGTCTTATTTAAACCTCAGATATTTAGTTTGGTGTGCTTCTGACTGTTGAAGTGAGAGGGAACACCATGGTGAGATTAAAAGAGCTGTCTGAGGCCATCAGAAAGAAGATTGTAGCAGCTTATGAGTCTAGTAAGGGATGTAAATCTCAAAAGAATTTGAAATCAGCCATTCCAGTGTCTGGAAAATAGTCTACAAGTGGTGGACATTCAAAACAACTACCAACATGCCCAGGTCTGGTCGTCCAAGCAAGTTCACCCTGAGAGCAGACCACAAGATGCTAAAGGAACTGTGAAACATGGAGGTGGAAGTATCATGGTTTGGGGATGCTTTGCTGCAGCAGGACCTAGCCAGCTCACCATCATAGAATCCACCATGAATTCTAATGTGTATCAGAGGGTGCTTGAGGAACAGGTGAGACCATCTGTAAAAAATTAAAGCTGGAGTGGAACTGGACCCTGCAACATGACAATGACCCAAAACACACCAGTAAATCCACTAAGGACTGGCTGAAAACTAAGAAATGGAGAGTCCTGGAACGGCCGAGTCAAAGCCCAGATCTTAATCCCATTGAGATGCTGTGGGGTGACTTGAAACGGGCTGTACATGTAAGAAACCCCTCAAACATCTCACAGCTAAAAGAATTCTGCATTGAGTAGTGGGGCAAACTTTCCTCAGACCGATGTCAGAGACTGGTAGATGGCTACAAGAAGCGTCTCACTGAAGTTATTTCAGCCAAAGTGGGTAACACTAGCTATTAGGGGGTAGGTTGTCCTAACTTTTTCCTCAGTTAGAATATGTATTTTTGTTAATATTTTTTGTTTAATGAATAAAATAAGGTTGATTTTTGTTGTTTACCTGCAATTAAATCACTTCCTTTTTTAGAGATAAATGACAACAAGATTACAAATTGATATGTGAACATTTCTTAATAAAGAACTGAATATTTAATGGGGTGTCCTAATTTTTTCACATGACTGTATAAATAGGATCCAGAAATCCCTCTGGGCTAAAGACCACTTAGCTTGTTATCAGTGCACAGTTCAAAAGACAGTATTTGTGCTGGTATAGGGGTGCATTAGTGCACATGGCATTGGTGATGTGCACATCTGTGAAGGCACCATTAATTCTGAATGATATATATGTTTTGGCAACATATGCTGCCAGCCAGGGTCTTTCAGGGAAGACCTTGCTTATTTCAGCAAGACAATGACAAACCACATTCTGAGTGCTAAACTGGCCTGCCTGCAGTCCAGACCTGTCACCACTGATAACATTTGGCACGTTATGGTATGAAAAATATGACAAATGAGACTCTGAACTGTTGAGCAGCTGAAATCCTATATCAAACAAGAACGAGAAAACATTTCACTTTCTACAGCAGAGTCTCCTCAGTTCCCAAACACTTACAGAGTGTTGTTAAAAGAAGAGGTGATGAAACACAGTGGTAAACAGGCCCCCGTCCCAACTTTTTTGGAATGTGTTGCTGGCATTAAATTGAAAATGGGCATATATTTTTCAAAAAACAATAACATTTCTCAGTTTCAACATTTGATATGTTGTCTTTGTAGTAACTTTTTTGGAAATGGGGTTGTTTTTCAAAATGTCACCATGTTGTGATGTAGACGGTACATTTACTTTACTTGTACCTTGTGTACCTAGGAAGACTATACTGAAATCTGCCATTACTGGTACTTCATTAATTACCACATCGTCACAGACATGCCAAAACCTTTATATCTAGTTTTAATGTCTTGTACTTTTTGCATAATTTGAACTCCACCCACCCTTTGCATTGTATTAGAATTTCATGGTAATTGGACGAATAGAATCAGTCCAAAATTACTTGGAAAAAAATTATATTAACTTCCATTATTAATTAAGAGGGTTTCTTCCTTCTCATGTAAAGAGAAGCAATCTCCATTTTCAGACAGTGATAATGTCTGTCACTCAAACACAAAGAAAATGGGACACACCTTCAGCACAGCTGCACACTTCGGTAGGGCAGAGGGTGTAAAGCGTTCCACTCGTTCTCTCAGCTACGTCATAAAACTTCACACAGCGGTTCTCTGAAATACAAATATGTGATTAGTGTGTGAGAGAGAGATTGAATAAGAAGATCTATATTTTATATTTCGCCTGCATTTTATTCTACCCTGAGGACTATTTATGAAATTTGTTTATGAGCTTAGGTACAAAAAACAGTCAGAATTAACCTCTACATGTTCATTCACTCTATTCCTAAAGATTAAACAGGCTGTTTTATCCCCCCCTCCAGCACTAGTACATGTAAATGAGCTCTTTTTGATTGGCTGCCCTGTATTATGTTTTTTACAGTTTTGACATTTGTTTATGACTGTATGATTGTTTTGTATTAAATTCATTTCTTACCAGGAGCATAATATTCATATACTGTGATTCCTACTGGTTGAGGGAGAGCAACTTGTAACATCTGGTGCATCCTGAAAACAACTCTCTCATTAACTGCATTTGAGACCTAGAGAGAGAGAGAAAAGCACAATATACAGTTGCAATAATATAAACAACATTACGAATTCTGTTGACAGCACAGGCTCTAGGCATGATTGTCCAAATACAAAACAAAACAGAAAAAAAAGATCTAAGTGATTAAAAAAAAAAATTAATGGATTTTATTTACATTTTAAATGTGGTTATTTGGTTGATTTTAGATTTTTGTTTTTAATACAACAACTTTGCAAATATTAACCTTTATTTAACAAAATACTGACCAACAAATGTTCAGAGTAACAGTCAACAATATCAGTACAGTATATTAACTTTAAAAGTAAGGGCTAGAAGAAAGCAGCTTTTTATTCACATTTTGGTGCCGGAAATATATGCTCTTCATGAAATCTGCCCAAAAATGTATTGATCTCCATTAAATTACTTTTCAGTGAATTTCTAAAATAATTCTAAAAAAAATGTAACTATGTTTAAAACTGCTTGGCAATTACTTACTCAACTTACTCAAACATTCAAAAAGCAATGACAGACAAAATTAATGGTGTAGGCTATTAACGGCAATATAAATTAATGCTAAAAAGCCCTATTTCCATCAACTGATGACGAGACTGGGGTTGTGCCGGCTCTTATTATGTAAAACCTAGAAAGAAAGTTGTATTCGGCCAGTTACAATACTTCCTGAATGGCACAAATATCTGTGAAATTGTTTCAGAAGAGGTTACAATGCTTAAACATCATTAGTGAAGCTAGTTAATGATTTCAGACTAAATGTTAACAGTAAGTTCTTCTCTCTGTCCTTTTTTTATACAATCTTGTGGTGATACAGAAGGTTACAATATATTAAATAGGCTTTAAAGCACATCTGGCTTGCTACATATTTCATTGAAAGATCATGTTTCTGAAAGGCAAGGTGTTTTCTGTGGTGTGCTCCAAGGATCCATACTTAGGCCCCTTTAATTTCCATTGCTAATGCTGTCATACAAGTGAAGATAAAGCAGAGTTCTAGATGTATTAACAATATTATTTACTTAGGTAATGAAAACATATTTATTGCAAAATATTTTTTCAGAATAACAATACCATACTGTCATATATTCTGCCCAACTTCAATTCACAGTTCTTATTTAATAATCAGTATTTCAATGTTTTGTGCAGTTTTATTTAACTGGGAAGGGTTTTGGGCTGCATTCTGCATAGATATGAGATGTGTTGTATAAAGAGTGTCATGATGATGATGATGATTAGTTGAGTATATAATACCTTCTTCAGGTAGATGATGAGGGATCCTCGGTCTGACAGTTGTTTGTCCATCTCAAACTTCTGGATATACCTGTCTGTTCCCATCAGCTGGAAAAATAAAGACCACACATTTTCCAAACTATCCTACAATTCCATAAAGCAGCTGAAGAAAGAAACCCTTCAGGGGAATATCTCAGTTTAGACAGAAAAGTTATTCATATCCTCTTTTTGCTGCACAGATCTTGTACCTTTTCCAGATCGCTTGTATCCGGAACAAACCCTGTCAGCAGGCCGATATCCAGAATTGTCATGCTGGATTCTCTGTCTTTCAGAAACCTAAAGTGGAATTAGTCAGCATGAACTTCACAGAGGTGACCTGGGAGCATGCAGTGAGCATTAAAGTGCTTTAAAATGAATAGCTCTACTCGCTCTATACTCCAACTATTTGAATTTTAAATGACAAGTTCCCCCTTTTCTTTCCACAAAAAATCACTGTACACTCACTGGATGAACGTTTCATCAAATTATATCATAACAAAACATCTGTTCTTCTATTACATAAAATAACAGCATGTTACTGTTACAGTGACTGCTACATCTAAGATTTAAATATAAGGAGGTTAAAGTGAAATGAAGTGTCTTTAATTTCAAACTATTTACATCCATAGGAAATTAACCCTTTAAAATGTGTAACAAATAATTCGATATACAATAGAAAGCTCTGATGGATTTAGGTGTCTACCAGCTAGTACTTGTATTTACTATTAGGGTAGAACTCCTGAATGCTTTTGCATGTGAAGCAAATCTATGTTTTACTTACTTGGTCTCTATGGAAAGTGTGTAACTTGCGAGTGCACCTGCATAGGAAGCTGCAAAAAGTAGATTATACATTCAAATAACTGTCTTTGATGTGTTCGCTTTATTCCTGACATACATTGCATACACACTATTGACATACAGCTAGCTTTGCATTCTGTTAGCTTTATCAGTGACAGCAGAGAAGAAAAACAATGACAGCAACAAAACATCGAAACACATAAATGCACATGGGTACACAATTCACGACTGGATGACCTTGCTTGCTGTCCGCTATCACGGTCAAATCAAAGCTAAAAAATTCAGACACATAAACATTTCGCAGGCCATGTTTAGATGTGTATCCTGTAAGTGAGTCTCCTCAGAGAGAGGACACACCACATACCTCCATGTACGCACCACTAGATACCTGTGCTTACGTGTGTGTACAGACCTGTGAATGCCTCATAAAACAAAGGCATAAAACAAAGCCTAATGGCATGATTGACCACTGAGCAATAACAAACAATACAATATGTACCATCTACATCACCACAGCACAGGAATAAACCAGCTTTTGCAGGAGAACTTCAAATCACGTCTGCCGTTATTTTACATTCAGCTTAGAACAGCGACACTTATGGCTTGTTTGAGAAGAGTCAGAACAGAGACACTCAGGAAAAATGGGGGTAACTAGAGTTTGCTTTGATCCAATTTTTCATATAAACTAATGCCACATAACGCAGCTCCGCTCAAACCTCAGATTTTGTTGTTTCAAGTGAGCAAAACAAAGGTTCCCCCCCAATTATTTGGATGCTGTTTGAGAGTCTGGTAAGTTATGCTTCCTCAGTGGTCCTTTGTAGATGATTAATAAACTCTTAACAGAGTATTAGTAACACATCAACAACATATCAGTGAAGTAGCAGTAGTGAAGTATCTGAATACACTGAAGTAAATATCTTGTAGATGTTCTGTTGATACATTACTTACATTAAGTAGATGTGTTGTTAATATGTTACTTACATTACGCAAAACCTAACCTTATCAACCTTACCCAAAACCTAACCCTCAATCTGGCCCTAATCTTAACCCTAACCTTATCCTCAACCCAAAACCTAGTCCTAACCCTCACCCTGACCCTAATCCTAACCCTAACCTTAACCTCAACCCAAAACTTAACCCTCACCCTGACCCTAATCCTAACCTTTACCTTAACCTCACCTCAAAACCTAATCCTAACCTTCAAATGTTTTTGGTATGTTGCTGAGAGTTAGTGTTTCATCTAAAAGGACCACTCAAAATAAAGTGTCACCCAACATTCAGCTGATGTGGTGGCCTATGGAGTTTACTAGGCACAAGTGCATTGTGAGATATTGTATTTCCCACAAAAAAAATTTTATGATTAGGTAACTTTATGATTAGGTAACTAAGAGAAAACTGGCTGACGTGTGAAACTCTGCTCTAATATGCAGATATGAATCAATTCCAGACAAAGCCAAAGACTGTAAATGAATCACCAGTGAAACTGTAGTGGTAAATATTCTAATAAAATCCATGAATAATTGTTTGTCTAGCAATGAGTTGACATGAGTAAGCTTTTAAAACACAGTGTACCCATTAAATCTTAAACTTGGTAACAGTGACAAGAAAAAAGTATTAAAAAAAACCCCAAAATATTCATGTTATGTGTACATACTTGTTCTGTTTCTGATAAATTTCACATCCAGATCGAAGTTCTTGCACCTTGTGGAGTTTTCGTCAGGTTTGACGTAGTACAGCGTGATGACCTGGAAGACACAAAGGAAGCAGTGAATTGCTGATTATATGTCTATAATTATTTCTGCAGCCCTATTAATCAAACTATTGTTTGATTTCTTAATAGGGCTGCATAATTGATCATGATTTTTGACTTCTTTAATAAATTAAGCATAATTAACTGTAATATCAGTGAGATTAGTTAAACTAAGCTTATTGGCTATTGGTTTGTAGCATTTGGTTGCATACTGTGGCAGCATGATTATTTGTTTATTTTGAATCTAATTTTGTTTAGTATTTAAAAGATACATTCAATTAATGTGATTAAAGTTTCACTCTTACTTTGACTGTTGGTTTACAAAGATATGCCGCAACTATCACAATTAAGCCAAATAATAGTGATCATTTTAGCCGTTATCATGCAGCCCTATTTCTTACTGTTCCATAAAGAGTGAGTATATAAGCAGTTAACTTACTGACATGGAACCTTCACCTTCCCCTGAAGCCTCCACTGCTAAATCTCCATTTGCTGGGAACTGTTGAATGCAACAGAACATTAAATGACACTGCAAAAAATGATCTTGACAAGTGAAATAATCGTAAATATCTATGTAATTGAATCTCTGTGTTGTGATCTCTGTGATTTTGACCATGACATGATTGTATTTCTATAACTGCTGATCTCCTTGGATTTTCACGCACAAGAGGTCAATGGAGAATGGCCAGACTGGTTTGACCTGACAGAAGGGCTACACAGTAACTCAGATGACCACTCTATACATTTGTGGTGAGCAGAAAAGCCTCTCAGAATGCACAACATGTCAAACCTTCAGGCGGATGGGCTACAACAGCAGAAGACCATGTTGGGGTCCTCTTCTGTCAGGCAAGAATTGAAAGTTGAGGCTGCAGTGGGCAAAGGTTTATGAAAACTGAACAGCTGAAGGCTGGAAAAGCATAGCCTTGCCTGATGAATCTCAATTTCGGCCGAGGCACACCGTTGGTAGGGTCAGAATTTGGCACCAATGGCGTGAATCCATGGACCCAGCCTGCCTTGTTTCAGCAGTCCAGGCTGTTAGAAGTGGTGTAATGGTGTGGGCAATGTTTTCTTGGCATACTTTGGGCCCCTTAATATCAATCAGTCATCACATGAATGCCACAGTCTTTTTGAGTCTTATTGCTTACAATGTATATCCCTTTATGGTCACAATTTACCATCTTCTGAAGGCTAGGTCCAGTATGATAATGCACCATATCACAAAGCAAAAGTCTCAAACACATTTCTTGAACATGACAATGAATTCAGTGGTTTTCAGTGGCCGTCCAAGTCAATAGAACACCTTTGAGATGTGGTAGAATGGGAGCATTAAAGTGCACCTGAAAAATCTTGAAATTACTGCATCATGTAACTGCTGAACTACTTCTTTTGTACTATAGTTATGATGATTTATATATATAATGTTCAAAAATGGCAGAGACTGCTAACAATCAAACTCAAGCCTGCCTTTCTTTCCTCATCTCCATGTTTCATTTCAATGTCAAAACAAAACCTCTCCAAAATGGTAATTTTAAAAGTTTAATGTAAGGTAATATAAAAGGATTTTAGCCATTTTCAAGCCAATATGAATCAGAAAATCAAACATGTTTTTATTGGTATAGTCACTATAAGAAAAATAAAGCACCAATAGTTTCCTCCTTACCCTGTCAGAACGCTGTAAACCTCTGGTGGATTTGGTGAACACGCCTTTAAAACTGCTTGATCTTGCAGTGGAGGTGACAGTGACCTCCATTCCTCCTCCACGGGATGGTGGTGGCATCTCTATTAAGTAGGTTGCTAAAGCCTGAAATACCACAGCAGTAGCCTGAGGGTGTAGAGGAGAACAAACAGATTCATCATTCTTACTGTATCAGTAGTGAACATCAGATGACATTCTAACAGGCCATCAGGTAAATATAAACAAATATCTTTGATGAAATATTGCTTGAATAAAAGTATTTTTGGTAACACTTTACAATACACTTTTGTAGTTAATAAGTAACTAATCAGGAACTAAGCAATGAATGAGTGGTGCTGCATTAACACTTAAGTAACTACTCTTAACTACCAAGGACTACTAGTTAACTACTCAGCAGGTAATAGTGAACTAATGATTAAGGTAGTTCACTATTAACTAAACAATAACTACTGAGTCTCATAGAGAATTACTTAGTAACCATGGTTTCTTAGAATAACTACTCACAAATTACCGATCAGTTCAACATTAATTGCTCAGTAACTGAGTCTGACAAGGTTCCTGCTGAACTACTAACTGATGTAGTGTATGCCAACACTTCTAACACTAGTGAAATACACTACACAGTGTGCAGTCTCTACAATATAATGCATTATATCCATCCATTTCTATTCACAGAAACAGGTATCCTCAGAGAAGACTGGGGGCATCACACCACACTCTACTGACTGGTGTCCCTCATGTGTTTGTTTCGATCAGAAACCTTCAAATGCTACAGCTTCATATTTGGCAATGTGAACCAATTTGCACATCAGCCTACAAATGGGACAACTGCTAAAATACTGCAGTATTCAGTAGACCAGTCTGCTTACCTCTCATCTTTAGAAAAGAAAACACCATTGCCTATGTTTCCTCTGAACAGTAGTTCTCCTTTAAAGTCCTCTTGAGGGCAGGGTCAGTTGAAGAGAGGGCTCATGGAAATATTTGAATGTGTATGTGTCCTGCCTTCAAATTCAGTTGGTTCACACTGCCAAATATGAAGATGTGCATTGGCGTTTTAAGGTTTCTGATCAAAATACACACGGTGTGGTGTGATACCCCCAGACTTCTCTGAGGATACCTGTTTTTGTGAACAGCAATGGAGGATATAATTCATTATATTGAAGAGACTGCACACTGCGTAGTGTATTTCACTACTGATAGAAGTGTTGGAATACACTACATCAATTAGTAGTTCAGCAGGAACATTATCAGACTCAGCTACTGAGCAATTGATGTTGAATTGATCTGTAATTCATGAGTAGTTATTCTAAGAAACCATAGTTTACTAAGTAATTCTCTGTGAGACACAGTAGTTATTGTTTAGTTAATAGTGAACTACCCTAATCATTAGTTCACTATTACCTGCAAAGTAGTTAACTTGTAGTTTTTGGTAGTTAAAAGTAAGTTCCTTAAGTGTTAATGTAGCACTACTCATTGGTTCCTGCTTAGTTCCTGATTAGTTACTCATTAACTACAAAACAGTATTGTAGTGTTATCATTTTCCTCTATCAACAGAAATATCTACTTTCACTTATGTCAGTCAAACTTACTTAACTAAGTTCAGTGCATGAACTTCTCAACTTGACACTCTCTACATCTTATATAAATCTATCTATCTATCCCATCTTCTTCTCTATCTTCTGTAAACTATATTTATTGTATTGTGTATGCATTCAAACTATTGTTACTGACCATACTCAGAATACACTATTTGGTCAAAAATTTTGGACACCGGTCTTATATCTAAATCATACACCACACACCACAGTCAATACACAGTCTGTCGCCAAAGTTTTTGGACACTGCTCTTATATCCTAGTCATACATAAAAGTCAGTATACACTATCTATTTTCTATGTTTTTTGGACACTGCTCAACAGCCTGTCTATCTATCTATCTTAAATGTCTTTCTATTCTCTAAATATTTTGATTCACATTTTATTCATTTCGTTTGCAGACACTATTTTTTCTTCAAAAAATGCATCTCTAGTTACTTCTAGTTATCGCTAAGAACACATCAGCCCTAATGTTTTGATCTTCACTGGGTGTCTTTAAAAAAGAATACTTTTTAATACTTTCACATAAACCCTTTTATCTTATATACCTCACTGGCCTTCCTCCTGTAGTGTTCCTATACACTTAGAATACTACATTCCTCCTCAGCTAGACTTCTCTACCTTCCACATTTCTGTCTCTCATCTACAGTTTGAAAACATTTTCTTCTTCTTCTATATTGTATAAGTGTCTTTTGCTTTTATTCATTTGTTTACCCTGTAATGAGTCTGTGAGATCTTGGAAGGTGCATTTAAATGAACTATATTGTTATTATATAATAATATTTTTGTTATATAATAATATTATTGTCTGAATTTTTCAGTAGATGTTTCTGTGTATCTTCACAGTAGCATAAATCAGCCATTGGACATCGACCATAATACTGACATGAATTAGTTGTTCATGTTTGCATGAACAAAGGTCTCCCTATTAGAAAACTGTTCAGAAAATAATATAACACAAATAATAAGTCACATTTTCTTTTGATACTTAAGTACCTTTAAAAGCAAGTACTTTTGTACTTTAACTAAAGTAGAAATATAAATAAGAAATATTATCTACTTGTACATGATTTTTACTTGCGCTTTGTCCACCACTGAGTGCTGGGACACAAACTTGATGTGACTCACCTGAGTGGAGAGGTAGCCACCCTCATATTTTTGATTAGTGTTTAGCCATTTCACAATTGGTGATGCATTTTTAAAGTCCCGAATCTTCAGTAGCGCCAGCAAAGCATAACCAGTGGCCTCCAGAGTAAACGCATGACTTTCCTTGACTGGCCAGTGACTGCCATCTGTTTGATAACACATACATGCACATTAACACACACACTGAATAACTCATCACTTCAACTCAGTGATGTTGGTGGGCTTTCTCGCATGAACTCCATGCAACTGCTACAGCATTTCTATTGGATTATGGTTCAGATTTCTTCTGCTACCATTCTTTGGTAGACTGACTGATGTGTTTAGGGTCATTGTCTTGCTGGCCCACCTTCTGTTGAGCTTCATTTCATGGACAGATGGCATGCTATTCTTTTGGAGAATTCCCTGATACAATCCAGAATATACAACACCACCAAATGATGGCAACCTGTCCTGATGCAGGGCAGCAAAACAGCCCCAAAACATGGTACTGCCACCACTGTGTTTCACAGTTGGGATAAGATTGTTATGCTGGAATGCAGTGTTTGCTTTTTTGCCAAATTTAACCAATAAAGTTATATTTTTCCACATAACATTCATCAGTAGTTGTCTGGCTCAGATAGTCATTAGGAAACTTTAAACAAGCAGCAATGTTTATCTTGGAGAGTAATGCCCCAAGTAGTGTAGTCATGGGCATTGGCTTTAGCCAGTGTGAGAGATTCTTTGTGATTTCCGAGAATATTAGATGGCTTAAACTTTTTTGGAATGGGTTGTTGATATCAAATTCAAAATGGATATATATTAAAAAAACAATATTTTGTTCAGTTTTAGCATTTGTTGTCTTTGTAGTATTTTCCTTTAAAAATATGGTTTAAATGATTTGCACATCATGGCATCCTATTTTTATTTACATTCTACACAGCGTCCCAACTTTTTGGTAAATGGGGTTGTAGATCAGGTATGTCCTGGAGATCTACTACCCTGCAAAGTTGAGATCCAACACACCTAGTTCTGATATTCAGTTAACATGTAATAGTTTGGTCAAAGTTAGCTGTAAATGTGTCTACTAAACAAACCTAATGGTCTGAAATTAATAAGAATATCATGGAGCTTAGTGAGATTTTTTTTAACTATAATGGCTTGTTTTGAACTATGATGAGTTTTTCGACTTACCTTGTGAAGCATAACGGAACAAAACATCAAGTTTCAGTTTATTAGCATTTGCTAGAGCATAAGACACCATGGCCACAGCATAAGGATCGCTTTGAGAAGCGACGTTCTGCGCAATATACTCTGTTGCCTTGTCCATGCTCTGCTGAAGACTCTGAAATTGACCAAAATTGCATTAGAGTTAATGAACATTATTCAGTTTACTGTGAGGAAAAGAAAAACATTTTGGCCATATTTATATTCATAACCATTTCATGTAATAAACTTTTTTAACCTAGCTTTTAGAGACATCTGGATCCTATCAGCACCACTGTGAACAATTCTGACTTCATATGTTTCTCTAGAATGGAGCATTTCACATTAAACCACTCTAATTTACTTTTGGTACCATGATTTTAAGACTGATATATGTAAACAAGCTCTGTTCTGATTGGCTGCCCTGTATTGTGCCTTGTTTAAAAAGCAGTCCAGACTGAAACACTGCTTATAACTTCAGGATGAATGAGTGGGGCTGCTGTAGTCCGAGTAGATATTGTCAGCAATTCACCATCTGGCCACCAGAGGTCTCCCTCTCCCGAGTACTCACCCTGTTCCCAAAATCAAGCCACCTGTACCTTATCATCTCTCTAATCAGTCACACCTTAAATACTCCTCCCATTCAGCCAGTCTGTGTAAAGTATTGCCAGTTCCTTTGAGTTTGACTACTGAGTGTTTGTTTTGTCTGTCTTTCTGGTATTTTGAACCTCTGCCTGATCTTTTGGAATCTGCTTTTGCTTTTTGTCCCTTTTGCCTGGTCTTTTGGACTGATTTCTCTGTTACGACCTTTTTTTGCTTTGCCTTTTTTTTTACCACGAGTTTTGTACTGCCCTATTGTTAATATATCTGCACATGGATCCTTCACAAGTTTCTGAGTCTGCTTTGTCACAGATATATGAAAATATGTTGGTTTGTGTAACATCACAAAAAATGAATTCCAAACAGACTGTTTCTGCAGCATCATTTCAATATATGGACTGTATGGACTGGGCAGTGAACAGTATGTTTTAAAATCACAACTGTCTTTATGTAGTACAAAGTATTTTATGTCAAAAACATAAAAAATGTAGGTTTTCCAAGATATAGGCCCCTTAATTGGTATAGAACCTGTGCATTATATGCAGGCTCTTTTAGCAAGATTCTTTACATTCACATATCTCAAAAATATATGGTTCTATAAAAGAACCATCCCTTGAAACACTAAAGACCCACAAAGAATCACTTCGCTCCAAAGAATTCGTTTTTGTCAGCTTGATTTTTAAAATGCTAGTGGGAGAGACTTTTCTTTTTCAGGGCCATATTTTCTCCCTGACTTTCCATGATGCAACATAATGAGTGGCTAAATAAGGATTGCAGTGCTCAAATACTGGCATCTAGAAGTATTTCCATTACCTGTCCACATCTGTATATTTGTACTTACACTGACTCTGTCGGTACAAATCAGCCTCGCCTCCTGTAATGCGATGAGTACAAAAGCCGTCATTGACAGCTGCGTAGCTTTGCCCTGTATGAAGTGAGAAAAAAACAAATTCTCTGGTCAAACACTGTGATGTTCCCTTGCTGCTTCTTCCAGTGCAGTGATGTGTAGAGAACAGTGGCCACCAACTCTGCTCCTGGAGAACTGCCTTCCTGAAGCGTTAATTTCCAAACCTGATTGTGTATATCTGCTCCAGATCACCACTGCTGTTCAAATATTTGGAATCACTTATAACTCCACATTTCAGACATTGCTAAAGTGTATTTGCCCTCCCCAACATCATGTCGAAAAACTTTGAAGCGTGGCGACAGCAGAGTAGTATCACGTTCCTTGCAGTAGAAAACGCCACCAGGGCTGTTGATAGAATGTGGAAGCATGAGAATGATCTATTGCAATTTTATTGGACATTTCTCATATTTCTATTGAGGAAAGTTATATCATGATAATTATTGTTATCATTTTATGGCCCAGCCCTATTTTAAGGTATGTTTGAATTCTAGAAAAGTGAAGTTAAAAAATTTAGATTTATCATGAGGCTAATTTTTAACCAGCGCCCAACGTTTTCATGTCGCTACTGAAGCACAATGAGTTTTAGTCTCTAGGTGGAGACTTATTTTAGCCACACCCCTGCATTTTAGAACAGGAAGTGAGACTGCATCCCTGTCCTTCATGGCCACATGGTGAGCAATTAGATCCCACTGTTTTGAACTGAATGTGTCCCAAAGTCTGAATATCAGTGTGGAACATTAAGAATTGTCACTACTGAAACACACATTATCTGTTTTATTGAAAAAAACTATTGTGATTTTATATATGCACAACTCTTCAAAGCTGTGTTTGCTAGTGATGTACTAGTTAGCCTTCCTGAATTATGCTCAAAGTTAGCCAAATTTGCCACAACCAAAACATTTGGTAAGTTTCAGCAGTGCTTTTTTTATTCTGACAAAATGGAATGTTCAATCATTCAGTTCAACAAAATAAACATAATTAAGGTAAAGGGCCAAAGCAAAGGGATTTTATAGCAAGTCTAAGTCAGTTAAAAGTCAGAAATGTGTTGTGAACTTTGAACTAATTTGCTAGAATGATCCATATAGGGCACCAATTAGGTCATGAAAGTATGACTTCTACACACAAATATGCACTGTATGGCTATAGAAAGCTCTGTACCCAGTAGCTAAAACACAGATAGCTTTGTATTTAGTATGTTTCACATTATTTGGGGTGCAGAGTTTATAATTTCAGTACCTGTTTAATGCACTACATAGGGAGCCTGGAGCCATTTTGGATTCACCAGATGTTAGAGAGTCAGCTAGCACTATTCCACTTTGCACTTTAACAATTAACTATAAAATGTATGATGTTATTCTTGCCATGGGGGTACCCCTCAGCAGTTGGTGGTCCAATGCAACTAGTAAGATTAGGCCCTGCAGGCATATCAGATTTGGGCTAGAACTGAACTGGTAGATCTAAAGGAGTGTTGGTGACCACTGGTGAAGAAGAACAGTCACAAAGCACAAACATAGTAGCAATGTGTCAAATTGTCATTCAGACATGTCAATTAGAAAACCTTTGGTTGCATAATATTTTTTGCATGTAATAACGCCCCAAGCAATGCAACTCCTCCAAAATTTGAAGATCGCCCATAACTACCCTAGAGTACTTGCCTGTGAAGTTCTGACTGGTCAAACCATTTCTGAGTTAGGATGATTTATGCCTCATAAGCTCCACCTATTTTTTGGGTGGTTCCTGGACTCTACAAAGTGTTCAAATTCTAAGATTTGTTTTTGATAATTACTGAAGTTCAGCCTCTTCAGATTCTTCAGACAACAGATTTGTGAAGACTGTGAGAAAACCCAGGGAATAGTTTGTGCTCAATAATTTACGTGAATTTGCATGAAATGCAAATTATCTCAAAATCAAGAAGGCAGAGCTATATGGTTCTTAAAGCTTTTCTGTAGAGCATGAGAATCAAAGCCACAGGGACAAAGATTTTGTCCAGGAGACCAAAACGTTTAAAGCTTCAATATAGCGCCACCATAGGAGTGGAAGAAGAAGAAGAAGAAGAAGAAGAAGAAGAAGAAGAAGAAGAAGAAGAAGAAGAAGAAGGAGGAGGAAGTGGAAGAAGAGGAAGAAAAAGAAGAAGAAGAAGAAGAAGAAGAGGGAAGAAGAAGAATAAGAAGAAGAAGAGGGAAGAAGAAGAAGAAGAGGAAGAAGATGAAGGAGAAGAAGAAGTGGAAGAAGAAGTGGAAGAAGAAGAAGAAGAAAAAGAAGAAGAAGAAGACTTTTGACTTTTAACCCCCTTTTATTGAAGCATTAATAATTAAAGGATGTTACATCCTACAGCAAAGAGCGATTAGTTATATTAATAATAATGAGGATCCCCAAAGAAAATCCACCCATCCACAAAGATTCACCAATGAAATGATATCACACCCAGATCACTGACAGATACTATACATTCACCAGCGCACCACTTTTCCTCAAAACAGGAAATGTTCTGAGTACTTTGGTAAAAAACAAACTCAACTCTAATGCGTGACTCTACTAGAGCTCGGAACAGTTTCAAAACATCCACCTCCTGCCCTTCAGACACCAACCTGAAGGACTTCCACACTGATAACTTAGCTTGTCCCACTAAAAAATTAGCCAAGGTACATTTATAACGCTGAGCTTTAGAGTATTTACAGCCAAAAAAAAAAAAGAGTCTGGGTGAACAGAAACCCCAGCCCTCTGATTGCCCTGTCCAGGAGCTCGAACAGAGGAACCAGCCCTCTGAGCGCCCTGTCTAGAAGCTCGAACAGAGGAACCAGCCCTCTGAGCGCCCTGTCCAGGAGCTCGAACAGAGGAACCAGCCCTCTGAGCGCCCTGTCTAGAAGCTCGAACAGAGGAACCAGCCCTCTGAGCGCCCTGTCCAGGAGCTCGAACAGAGGAATCAGTCTGACAGTCAGAAAATGCATGACAAACAGTATCAGGGTTATCACAGAAAATGCAAAGTGGTTGAACAGCAGGGTTAAATTTTGACACAAACCCATTTGTGGGTACAGCACAGTGAAGGATCCTCCACTGGAGGTCTCCTGAATGTTTGGGCAAGGGGCTTTTGTACAAGAGCCTCCATGAAGGCCGCAGACCCTCAGGGACAGAGAGATGGGCTCTCCATTTGGAGCCACATCTCTCCTTCAGCTCATGAAAGTGCAAGTATTTAACACAGCTCTGGTACAAAGCCTTCTTTCCAGCTGTTGAGAAAGGCAACTTTTGTAACCCACTCAGAGAGAGAAGCTGCCCCTCAGTCAGTCAGAAGAAGAGGAAGGAGTGGAAGAAGAAGAAAAAGAAGAAGAGGGAAGAGGAAGAAGAAGAAGATGAAGAAGAAGGAGAAGAAAAAGAAGAACAAGATGAAGCAGAAGAAGAGGTGGAAAAAGAAGAAGAGGGAAGAAGAAGAAGAAAAAGGAGTGGAAGAAGAAGAAGGAGAAGTAGAAGAGGAAGAAGTGGAAGGAGAAGAAGTGGAAAAAGAAGAAGAGGGAAGAAGAAGAAGAGGGAAGAAGAAGAAGGAGGAGTGGAAGAAGAAGAAAAAGAAGAAGCAGAAGAAGAAGAAGAGGGAAGAAGAAGAAGGAGGAGTGGAAGAAGAAGAAGAAGAAGAAGAAGAAGAAGAAGAAGAAGTGGAAGAAGTGGAAGAAGAAGTGGATAAAGAAGAACAGAGAAGAAGAAGAAGACAAAGAAGAAGAAGGAGAAGAAGAAGAGGAAGAAGTGGAAAAAGAAGAAGAGGGAAGAAGAAGAAGAAGAAGAAGAAGAAGAAGGAGGAGGAGAAGAAGAAGAAGAAGAAGAAGAAGAAGAAGAAGAAGAAGAAGAAGGAGAAGAAGAAGAGGAAGAAGTGGAAGAAGAAGTGGAAAAAGAAGAAGAGGGAAGAAGAGGAAGAAGAAGAAGGAGTGGAAGAAGAAGAAAAAGAAGAAGAGGAAGAACTGGAAGAAGAAAAACAAGAAGAGGAAAAAGAAGGAGAAGAAGAGGAAGAAGAAGAAGTGGAAGAAGAAGTGGATAAAGAAGGACAGAGAAGAAGAAGAAGAAAAAGAAGAAGAAGAAGAAGAAGAAGAAGAAGTGGAAGAAGAAGGAGAAGAAGAAGAAAAAGTGGAAGAAGAAGAAGAAGAAGGAGGAGGAGGAAGTAAAAGAAGAGGAAGAAGTGGAAAAAGAAGAAGAGGAAAGAAAGAAAAAGAAGTGGAAGAAGAACGTGAAGAAGAAGAAGAAGAAGAAGATGAAGAAGAAGAGATATCAATAGAGATGTACAATAAGATTCCAGCACTACATGCTTGAACTCCTAACAATAACATCACGGTTCACTTCCCTCTCCCACCACCGCCGCCTATCATTGAGAGAAAATGGTCAGGTAGTGTTTTCTCTCACAGTATGGAACAATGCATTTCATGTTGTGCCAGATTCACTGTTTGTAATTGTATGGATAGAATCATACAATCATACAGCTTCAGCATGTTATACAAAACCTCATCTGCTGTCATAACTTACCCCCATAGCACTGGATGAAACACTGTACAGCTCCCTGAAAACACCATCAGGCATCTGTGCATTCAAGATCAGCCATTTGACGGCGTTACAGATAACACCGTGGTCTATTCTGACCAGACTCTCGGCCATACTGAACATTTTGACAATATATGCAGTCAGCCTGGAGGGAAAAAACATACAGTGACAGTTACCCTCACTGAAAGAGAAGATGCAGAGGGACAAGAGGAAAAAAAATAAAAACTGCAAAACTAAAGCTGAAGAAAAGAATTAGTCATTGATCCGATGGTGCTGATTCATCCACATAAATGGTAATTAGTCATAATAGTATTTAATAAAGTATGTGCTCATGTTTTGGACAAAAATACATTTCCCAGGCTGTTTTCAAATGCAAAAAAGTGTATTGTTTTAGTGTATTGTTTACATGTTCCACTGCTATGTAAATCATTTTTCATTCAGCGTATTTTTACAATTATTAATAGTACAAAAATAATCACTCAAATCAATGCATGGTGAAATCTGAGATTTCGTGTTTAATTTAATAATTTCTTAATGAAAAGCAATCAAACTGAATTGTTGTTAGGTAAGAGATTTATACCAATAAAGAGAAAGTGGATTATAGGCATAGAGAAAAGTCTAAACAAAATAAGAAAAGAACTGACCAGGTGCTGCCTGAGGCACCTGAAAAAACTGCAAACGATCCATCTGGTTTGAGAAATGTGAGCTCTCTTGTGTAGCCTGAGACGAGACAGAAACCATTTCAGAGCAATTAAAACGCACTTCTGTAATGCATATCTATAACAGTGCAGTTGACCTTGTTCCATGTTTTTTCATAGCTACTGTTGTGAGGTTGAACAGGCTTTAGCAAATGCTGTTAAAAATGCCATAAAGCTTAAACAGAAACTGTAGCACACAACTCAGTTTTTGACACACCTACATTTGGAGTGCGATATTAATTTTGTGGTGTTTTATTTGTTTGGATAGATCCAGCATAGTCATTTTTTATGTTTTTGTGTGTGTAGTCTCACCCTACCTTACAGCTGCATCAAGGATCCATAAATCATTTCCTAACATTATAGAGACATTTGTTTTGCCATAATGTCGTTATTTTTGCCACTACAACAGGGAGAATGGTGGAAAATCCCTTACAGTAATTTGCTACAGTAGCCAGCAGAGTAGGCTACCACATAGCTTAAGTTGGTGAACTTTATGATGAACCCATGTTTTAATCATTAAAAACCTCAAATAGAAAAAAAAACGACACCAGATCTATCCTAAGTAGAGATAGATCTAATATAATCCAGTCCTGTAACAAATCTGTCCTGAAATGGCACTCAATTACACTGTGTAATGAGACACTGATAACTGTGCAGTGCTTACTATAGTGGTAGAGATATTAAGGGGTTTAAGCAGTTTGAGCATGATAGTCCACTATAAGACGTTTGCTGGGTTGCTGGGTTCAGGCAGTTGGGTAGTTTTGCTGGGTTGTTTCTCTCCCTCACTCACCCCATTACCCAACATCTGGGTTAATGGTGTGAACCAGTCGCTGAGTTATTTCCTTTACCCAGCAGTTGGGCTACTGCATGCTGTCTCCACTAGTTACCTTTCTGTGTGTATGTTAAGTTTAAATGTCTAACATTTACAGCAGAGAGCAACAGACACATTTGGAAGTATCACAGATTGTTTGAGTGTTTGTGATCAATTTTGATACATTTCCTAAGCTTGTGCCCTAATTTCCTACAACCTAGCTAGCTAACTCTATCGTTGTAGAATAGAATACCACCTATTTTAATTCTTATGGTCATCCTGCATGGCCAGTCTATCTAGCAAAGTATTCAAATTCAAGCTAGCTGGTGATGCAGCTGTTACCTCAGTAAAATGTTTGGGCTGAGGGGAGAGTAAACGTTCATCGGTTTACCACATAGATCCTTGTTTTCAGTACTGTTTATGATGTTTTAAAAGTACCTTGTTCCATTATGATGTCAAAGTCTTTATTATTGACTGAAACAGCAGGCAGACAGGCAGACGGACAGACAGACGTGAGAAGTGAGAATGAATGGGAGGATGGTGTCATATTCCGAAAATGAAGTAATTATCATTACCAAAACTTTATTAAAGTATTAAAGTATCAAAGTAATTCACTCTAAATCATCACTGATTTTCTCTTAGACACAAAAGATCATTACTGCAATGAAGATACTGCACCAGTTTCTCCCACCACTAGTTTGCACGTCCTACTGTGGAAGAAGCCAGAACTGTAAAGCTGGTATGTAAAATATCAAACTAACACCAGCTTCTAACAACCTCAGCCTTCAGAACTAAATGTACTGACTATTGTAGGTTTGCACTGTATAATATCCAATCCAAGTTCTGACTTTTCAGTGTCTTCATTACTCTGGGACCAACATACTAAATAAAATAAATTAAAAAAAAATCAGAGAAACAGAAGGAGACCTTCCTCTTTGTCTTGGAGCTTGGAACTGGATTTGTCAGTATTTTGTACTGTGAATGAGCAAGATTTGGAACAGACTCCACAAGTCTGACAAGTCTGTTTCCAATCTTATTGTTCTGATGTGCTGTTTAGTTCAAGAAATTTGATGGAATTGTGAAATTATCAATAATACAATGTCAAAGAGATTATTATTATTATTATTATTATTATTATTATTATTATTATTACATTAAATTAATCCAGCACTGTGCAAAACAACCCCAAAGTTGGGTCAATTTAACTACCCAGCATAATGGTTAAATTATTGCAAACAACCAGTCGTGTTAAAATAACCCAGCATGTGTTCTGTCCGATTTTTACCCAGCGCTGGGTTGCCACATAACCTAAGCTGGGTTGTTTTCAGCCCAGCATTTTTTAGAGTGTAATTTTTAAATCAGAGATATCGGATTGCTATAGGTATTGGAACTGGTTTCAATATGGTTATCAAAATAGCAAAAGCTGTAAAGTGCCACTCACAAAATAAATACAGACACATACAAAAATAAATATAATAGAACATCACAAAACACATACTATTTGGATGTATTTTTAACAAAAACAGAGTTATGTGCAACACTTTCTCATTAGGTTGAATCAGACTTTTGCCAGTGTTCTGTAAATCTTGGCAAACCTAGAAACAGTTGCTACAAAAGAATGCAGAACAAGGACAGGTCAATTTAGAAGTTTAGAGTTACTTATGTATTTATCTAACGATGCTAAACAGCTTCAGTCTAGGTCACATGACCTTGTACAGTTTTATACTCCTCTGACCTGTAGTAATGTACCCCAATGCTACAGGGCGTTTCTCCACTCCTACATCTTCCCACTGGTTGGCTTTTTCCAGGAAATTTGCTGCAAGCAGAGGCAGGACCATGGCCATCAGGTTTTGTTCTGCACATCCTGAAGGCTGCCTAATCAAAGACTCTAGACCCTTTCCACTGATGGCCTCTTTTATCAGCTGTGCCATCGGTCTGCCTGCACACACACACACACACACACACACACACACACACACACACACACACACATACAAACAAAAAAAAACACACACACACATGCCATAATATCAGTGTGTGCCATATCAAGATGTATTGTGTCATCATTACCTGTGGGGGCTGAGAGGCAGGGCTGCTGTTTCTCTGGACACGTGCAAGTCATTATTTCCCTGAAGGACATCTGAGACTGACTGTGTAAGGAGCACTTTGATAAGTAAAAATGTGACTCTCCTAGACAGTCGGGGAAGGGGCTGAGGCTGGAGACCCTTGTGTGAAATTGTGTTGTGCCTTGGCCTAAACAGGCCATGTTTCAGTTGAAGTATCAGGTTTAGTAGGTTAGTCCTACATTTAGCTTCCCAGTCAGCCAATTCCTGGGTCAAAGTCACACTGATGGGGAATGAGGGTACTCACCCACTCTACCTGCCTGCCTTTTTTCCCACTCTTTAGCTTCCTAGACAGCCTATTCCTGGGCCAAAGTCACACTGATGGAGAATGCAGGTACTCTCCCACTTTTTTTCCCACTCTTTGTTTCAGGAAACAAAGGAAGGAAAAAAGAAGCAGGCCAGCTCAAAATCAGGCATCCCCTCAACGTGCTTTATTGGGCTTTCGTGACTCAGGCTCACTACCAACGGGATGGACTGACTTGTCACCAAGACCAGTCTGGGAGAACAGACTGCAAGAGGAGTTGCCGGAGCTCAGCTGGTGAGAGTGGGGTTTAAATCTGAATCACCACTCAGCTCACAATAGCTTTATGGAGCCAGGCTATTGTTGCTGCTGTGTTAGTTGTTTTATCAACTGGATAAAAACATTATACCACTCACCTTCTGCCACAGTCTCTACAAATAGACATATATCCAGACCCTTTCAGCTACAAAGAGGAAGTCAACAAGGATGCCCTCTGTCACCCTTATTGTTTTGTCTTTTTATTGAACCCTTGGCTGCTTCTATCAGACAGTGCGATAAAATCTCAGGTATACAGTAAAAGTCATACCACCATAAAATCAGTCTATATGCAGATGATGTTTTACTATATATCACTAATCCTTCACTGTCCCTTCCATCAGTTCATCAGATCAGATCTGATAAATAAGTATAGTAGGGTGTCTGGCTATTCCATGAATTGGTCCAAATCTGCCTCTAAGTAAATTCAACTGGGATGACGAGGTCTATGATATACCATCTGAACATATCACACAGTCTATTAAATATCTTGGTATTCATATCTCTTCTAACATAAATGATTTGTATAAACTTAACTACATACCTTTTAATGAAAGAAATAAAGGATAATCTAGAAAGGTGGCATAAACTACCATTAACTCTAATTGGCCAAATATCAGTAGTTAAAATGAATATCCTCCCTAAAATCAATTATCTGTTTTCTATGACCCCTGTTACCCCACCGTCAGCCTGGTTCTCCTCTCTTGACAATGCAGTTACTAAGTTCTATTGGAAGCACCAAAAGCCTCGAATCAAGTTAGCTACCCTCCAGAAACCTAAACATCTTGGAGGACTTGGAGCCCCAAATTTCTACTACTGCTTTCTATCACATCAATTGCTTTACATTAGACATTGGACAAGTAGCTCAAACCAACCCTGGCAAGACATTGAGGAAAGTTTAATTCAAGAACTGGACATTAATAGTATTCCATTCATAGACAAAGCTATAATTTATAAATACAGTACAATAAGTACCACCCTGAATACTTGGTGGAGTTCAAACAAAATTCTTAAATACAGCCACTGTCCCTCCAGTCAAACTCCTCTGTGGAACAATCCCATGTTTTTAATAAATAACAAACTTTTATATTCTTAGCCTGGAAACAGAGAGGAATAACCAGCCTGGCACAGTTGTTCTCTGGTGGCTTGCTCATGACCTTTGATGACATCAAAGAAAAATACAATATACCAGATAATTGTCACTTTCAGTATATACAACTCAAAGATGTTCTAAAGAAAACAGTTAACAGTGAAAATTTCTGCAATCACACTCCTCCCCTACTTAAAATTACACTCCCTTAAACCTCAGAAAATGTTATCATAAATATATAAACATATAGCCTCAAAGGACAACACAACCTCACTCCCAACTAAAAAATGGTGGGGTGTTGGGTGGTTGTGGTGTCAAATCACCTTTTATCTATATGATCATTAATAAATGATGAGTTGTGACATTAATAGTGTAGTTAAAAATATAAAAAAAAATAAAAATAATAAATAAATGATGTCCCCTGGAAAAGGGGTGGTGGTGGTGTGGCCAAGGAATGTTGGCCTGGGAATATTTAAAAAAAAAAATCCAGGACTGACTGGATATACATAGTCAAGTGAAAAAGTAAATACATGCCATGTAATGTTTTTCTTTTTTGAACATTTGTGTACGTATCAGTATTTAATCTTCAGTTAAACAGTATATATAGATAAACATTATTTAATAGAACGAAAAACAACAGAAATTTGACTTTGCAATCATATATTTACCAAAAAATTAACTGAGATTTTTTGGCTGTTAAAAAAATTAAGTACACCCTGGCTTCAGTAACACATATGGCACCCTTTGGCAGAAACAACTTAGGTGTTGTAGGTGTTTCTTATTCCTGATGGCAGCACTATGCTACTCCCAGAGTGACCATGGTTAGACAGTAAAATGACAAACTGACATATCAATAAAGTAGATAGCCACACAGTCAGAGTGTCTTAATTCCCAGACCATATATCACACATTTGACCGATTAATTTTAATACATAGATTTAGCAATGTTTAGGTGTTTTACCTCTTACAGCTATGTAGGTGTACGCTTCTGTGTCTGGCATTTGATTATCCAGGAAGGACCTCCTAATTTCTGATCTTTGTGTTCCACCTGATAAAGACAAAATAGGATTTACACACAACATGTACAGGTGTTGAAGAAATGCAGCTGCAAATCGAGGATTGTTATTCCATGTTTAATATGTCAGAGTCAGACCATTAAGACAATGAAAATGAAATGTTAAAAGCACTTTTATGACTTAAATTACAATTATGAATATTGCACACTTACACTGAAAATTTGAATGTATATTTAATTGGCATTTTCAGATTTGCTAATGAGTTAAAAAAAAATGTGTGGAATATGCTGCCGATTTGGATTTAGAAGACTATAGAAGATATCTAAACACATCCTGCTCAAAATAAGAAAAGATCTGGATGACCCAGAAAAATCTGTGCTAGAACTGCTCAAACACTGTTCAGGCATGCAAAGCAAAACCCCTACATCACTGCCAAGGACTCGCAGGAAGATTTGGGTAGCACTAGAATAGTTATGCGTAGGCCATCTGTGCGGTGTCATTGCACAAACATTTTCTAGATGGCATTTTGGAATCAAGTGCTGTGGACTGATAAAGTAAGTTTTTTGTAGCTTTTTTTGTGTCACTAGCTGCTGTGTATAAAATAACAAGTCAGTGTATATGAAATAATAGGACAACATGTCCTCAATTATGTCCTGTAGGGTTTTAGATTCATCTCTGTTGCATTTGTCACTGTAGTTTCAGTAAACTGAAAGGTCTTTCAGTCACTCACCATGTTTGACAGGCTCCAGAATTAGAGTCTGCTCTCCAGTAGACCGCAGAATACCCTGGGTCTGTCACCACAAAAAAAAAAAAAAGACAATAGGTAAAAAGAAAATAAATACAGTTACTCTACACATATCTTCTTCACTCTGTTGAACTCCTTACAAACAGTTTAAGAGCAACTGGTTCATTTATGACTTTTCAGCATCACTGACAACCAGGGCTCAACTATCAAATCTTTTCGTTTAAAAAAATAGAATTTCAAATGCTAATTTTCAGATATGATTTTGAATAAACTGCTTAGATATCACTAGTCTGTTTGATTGAAATGAAAAGAAGCTAAACTGGGGAACTCCGGGGCCAATATGCTGCAGAGATTAGCATTTACCCTCACCTAACACTCTAAATTCACTTTATTACGGCTTTGCTAATTAGCTGATGAGCTGAATCAGGTGTGTTTAATGAGGCAGTTTGCTGAAGTCTGCAGTGTTTTGGCCCATGGGGGATAGAGCCTGACACATGTGGTTTAGACTGATAAACAAAACTTTGCTTCCTGATGCATGGAAGTGTATGCTTTTGTAAAAATAGGTAAAAGTAGTGGTTATTCAAATGGCTTTCTTGTTCAGAATTTCAGCAAATATTCATTGCAGCCACCATGCATCATTTTCATCTTTTTATCTACAACACTAAGAGTTTGAGTTCATGCCAAAACAAATCATCGCGGTCAGATCAAAACCTCATCTCTCTTTTTTCCAGCTATTTTTTTTTCTTCTTCATCATTTGAAAAACCCAGGTGTCCCTTGCATGGTAAAAATGTAATAATAACTGGGCCAAAAGAATATCTTGATACATTAATGCATACTGTAATATTTCCTTCTCCAGAAAAATGACAATTTAAGAGATCAGACATTCCAAATGCATCTAGATATTTTACAATCACTGTCTTGTCAATTTTAAAGAGTACGTAATTTAAAATGACTATATTATAATAATTAAAAATAAAATATATTATTTTAGTCCAATTATACAATTTTACATTATATTTCTGCTCCTGTTCATTATGGATTTTTGTTGTCAGTTTTTTTTTTCTCTATTTGTTCAAGCAAATAAACCATAAATAGCTCACCACTACTTTCAGTTGTTTCCGCACACCATCTGACATTCCATTGGGTTCCTTGATTGTCACCTCGATTTCATGTTCGCCTTTAACCAGCGGGATGATAACGAAGGGAACAGCGCGTGATGATTTGCCAGGTATGCTCACGGTGGTGCGATACTTCTTTTTATAGCTGGCCAAACTGCATACAGACTGAGTCTCCTTCAGCTCCACAAAAACCTGCATTGAATGAAGGAGTTCATATAGAATGAGTTCTACAGGTTAACTATGGTGCTGGATCACCAGCTCAGTTCAACATTCTGACATCCACATTAGATGTACACTCTTAAAAATAAAGGTCCCTAAATTATTTAGAACCTTTACATCAAGTGGGTTCATTTCAACTTTAAAAAGATTCTCTACACCAACATTACAGAAGCAGTTTGTTAAAGAGTAATGATTCCCCAAGCTCCTTAGTGGGAAACCGTATGGTTTTATGCTCACTGTAAGTGCTGCTGGCTATATTTGCCTCTTTGATTAGTGCCTTGCTTTGATCCCTGCAAAAGAAGCCTTTTCAGACTCTGAATATTTGTTGTTTTATAACCTAGGCAATGCTAATCTAGATTTTTGCTAACGTGTGTTACGCTTGGTAAAGCCCATTTAATGTTTCTCCATGTTTTGGAAGGAGCTTGTTTAATGTGAGTGCTTTACCACATGTTTGTGACCTTATCTGTGCATTTAGGGTTAAGCTTCCAGCCACTCCTGTATCCTCAAGACACTCTTCACGTAAGTCTGAAGGACAACACAGGAGAAAGTGGTGGGAGGAAAGGGTCTAACTGAAGAGTATACACCAGAGTAAGTTAGTGGTGCAGAGTGGAAGCGGGGCAGGGAATGGAGCAGCATGATTTTCCTTAGAGCGTTGAATGACTTCTCAGAAAGATAAAGAAAATTGCATTTAAAGCATTTCCTTTTGTTTACTCTCAGCAGTTTTCTTACTTGTGATTGGGCCATTGCTTCAAGCCTACTGGAAAAAGCTTGTGTAGGGCAGAATGTTTAATTATTTTTTTGTTTAACTACAGACATAAATGAAATAATTCATCTGCACATCTGCGGGTATCGAGCATGATCTCATTTACATGTTTTCATTTCCAGGAATCTCAATAAGTAAACAAGAGCAGGTACCTTGTATTTCTCCCAGTAATGTTATTCTGATTTCTTTCGCTATTATCAACCAACCAATTAAAACATCACTCTAAAAAATTTTTGGTTCATGTGGGTTAAATGGACTTTGGACCCCAACGATTGCCTTAGCCACCTGATTTATACAGTCCTAGAATCGCCACTTTAAGAAGTGATGTAGATTTGCACTACAGTACTCGTCATGTGTGCCGATATCTACGTTGAACCATTACATGAATCATGCTGGTGTCATGATTACAAAGAGATATATTTCAAATACTGAAAGGTTCTTTTTCAAGAACCAAAGTAGTTCTTCTATGGTATTTCTCCAATGAACTCTTTTCAGCATCTTTATTTTTGAGAGTGTGACAAACAAAATAAAGAAGGATAAACCACCCTATTGAGTAGAGAATTTCCTAAGTTGTGAACGACAGCCTTGATTTCTATTTGCTCGTTGACTACAGCTGAATAAGGCAACTTCAGGTCGACAAAGAAACCCTTCTGAACTATAAACTCCACTGAATCTGCCACACAAATACCTGAGAAAAGATAGAAAAAAAAATTGTGAAGACACAGGACATAAATACACATTTCACCAGTAGTCATTGAAAAGTTGTTAAAAAAATGAGTTCATTATCAGTTTAATATACAGCAGTTAGTTCACATATAATGAGTAATAAAGCTGTGAACTACTGACAAATTAAACTATCATTTGACATTGTACTCAATTACGACTTACTAAGTACTTAATCAGTAACTAAAGCCTAATAAGCAGGTAATTAACGTATAATTATTAATGCATATTTAAGTGCTTATTAGCATATAATTACCAATTAAACTGCGACCCTTAATGTAAAGTTTTACCAGCCTTGGTTTAAAAATTGCCAATAAAAATCAACCACAATTCGGCCAACTTGGCTGTAAAGAAATCGGATTCAACCATAAAAATTAATGGTTGATGCATGCGTACTGTGCTGTAACTCACCCTAATTCAATGAACACAGCTCTGCCACTTTTTCATACACACACAAACACACACACACATACTCGCAGATACACACACATACTCACCATACTCGTTAGACATGCTGATGGCAGTCATCACCCAAGTGGTGATGGATTCTGGAAATCTCTGTTTTGTAGTAATGCCACTGTGTAAAACAAAGTCAGACTACAGTTTTAGTCAAAGTGCCCAAATCTGACATTTTTCTTCTATTTTTTTCCCCTGATATCCAAGATAATAACAAGGTAATAACAGCGCAAATAGTACTAATAGCAGTAATAATTCATTTTTATATGGCCATTTTCCAACCTCTGTTTATCTCCTAGAGTTAAACTGACCTCATAAGTTTACATAATCAGGCAGACTTAGTAAGGTGTGTGCCATTTTAAAATAAAACATGAGTAATCAGGCAAATTTACACATTTCATCATCAGGCAAAACACAGCAATAAAGAAAATGCTGAGATGGTCCCAGTTCAAATTTTTGTTTACCCTTACTCCTTAATACTGTGTATTGCCCCCTTTAGAATCAATGACTGCGTGACGTTTTTTTGTGATAGCTGTGGATGAAGTCCTTTATTTTCTTAAGTGGTAAAGCTGCCCATTCTTCTTGGCAAAAAAGCCTCCAGTTCCCATATATTTTTGGATTGTTTTGTATGAACTGTATGTTTGAGTTCTCCCCAGTTATTCTCCAGTATCTTCCTAAGTTTTTTTCTAAATTGGTTTTCAAGAAAGGTCCTAAGGTCTACATCAGATTCATGACGCGTTCTTAAACTGCAGGACTGTTCACACTGTTTTACACTTATGAGTGTGTGTAGATTCTGCTTTTACCTAAGAACAAATCCCAAATAAGAAAACACTGGCAAATGTCAGAATCTTCATGAAAACTATGTGTGTTTTTAGAAGAAATTTGCTCTTAAGAATGGCTGGTGAATGAAGCCCAATGATGTTGATTGTAGATTTATGCATCAATGCACTTTTTGTCATACTTAACATTTGGTAGGCTAGCAAACTATACTGTATTCCTAATGTTGCAGTTTAGTGAGCAAAACTGTTTTTGTAGTTGATCACTCTGTTTTCTGTTAAAACTCAATTCTTAAATTCTCCTACTGACCATTTCTCTTTATCTTTGCATTGAGGGAGCACTTCATCCATCCACATCCAGCTCTCAGGAAAGTAGGAACGTGTTGTAAAGTCATCAAACATGTCATCACCGTCTTCCTCCTCGCCTTGAAAAAAAGAAACATTGTTTAATATTTTACATGCTTAGATTCATTTCTCACATAATCTTTCTGATAAAAATGATAAAGATCATCACAGCAGTATACAAAATATATCAGTCTTGGTGAAAGTGCATTCTTCAAGTAATTTCTAAGCATCAGAAAAACAAATTGTGTCTAAGTAAAAGTATTTGTTATACAGTGTCAATGTCAAACAATCAATAAGGTTTGTGTATACACAGTCCTGTGCAGAAGTTTGAACACCCCTCATCAATATAGTTAAAATAGTTCTATGAAACGTTCTGTAAACATTTGGGAAGTAGGGGGGACGAGTGCCATCTGTTTTCCATCACCTTTTCACCTGGTTTTAAAGCACAGAGACAGGTTAGCTTTTTGTATATTTGTTTTGTTTTGCTCTCAGGTTTAGTTAGTTTATTGAAATCAGTAGTACTTTTGGCTGTTACTTTGGCTTACGCTCGTCCCTGAAGCCATCGCCCCCATTTAGTTTAGCCTCTCGCAAACTTGCTCACTTTAAAGACAATCTAAATGAACCTGCAGTTTTCTGGTTTCAGTGGTGTCAAGCATTTGGTCTGGCAGCAGGTCTAGGGAGAGAGCCCACTCTCATTTTCTGTTAAGGCCTAACCTTAGACTGGGTCGTAACACAGAAAAAAAGACATTTCCAGACATTTTATGACCTTAATTTTTTTGAAATCTATTTTAAGACTTCATACATTTTTTTTAGGCATCCACAGGAACCCAATGCTAAAGTTGTACTATCTACACCACTAACTGTACTGTAAATTTAAAAAACACATCGTTTAGAAGAGACCCCACTGAAAGCCAGATTGAAATTCACACACTTTGTGGGTATGTTTTTTATATTCCAAAAGTGCACTAATGTATATATTTAAATGCATTTGATACATTTTAAATGCATTTTTCATATTTCACCATATTCTTTCATATGGGAAGAGGTGATTCTCAGCCAAATGTGAAAGTGAAAAACACTGAAAGAAAACTGCAGTATGTATAGAAGTGGGGATAACTTGTAGAATTATATGCTTTTTTAGATGAGGAGACAGAATTGTTTGGCCCCCATGAGCTGGGAGAGCAGCTTCAATGTCTCTTGGCATAGTTCCTATGCCATCGACTGTCCAAGTCTCTGGAACATCAATCTGCCAATATGTATTACCTTAATTGGTGTTTTGATGATGGTGGTAGAGAGCAGTGCCTAAACTGTTCGTCCAGAATCTCCCTTATGTGTTCTATTGGATTAAGATCTGGTTCCATTAGACAAGGGCGCACAGCGCATGACCGGTTTGAAGGAGGCAATGCATCATAAAATTAAGCAGAGCTGAACTTTATGCAAATGAATCTGGCCAAAACAATGTGTTTCCCCAATCAGGAGGCAGGTGGTGTTTGCATGATTTGTGTCTGAAGCTCAGTGTATGAAACTTCAAATTTTCAAATGTTCCCGTGCAACATGGAAGACCAGTGGCCAAAGCTTACATATTACAGATGTAATACAAAATTACATTAAAAAAATCATGTTAATAAACTGATATGCATGATGATGACTGCAAGTGATAATCAATAACCTCTGCCAAATATGGAAATTTGGAAAGTATTAGGTCAATAATACATGCAATACTTTCTGATTATTCAGAAACAATAAAAACATTACATGCATGAATATTGAGCAAAGCTGCAGATTAATTGGCTTTTGCAGTTAACTGAAGGTGGGTGATGCATTCACCTCTGTCACTGAGCTGGACCAGTTTAAATACACCATAAAGGGACAAGTGGATCCAAACCATGTGAGCAAAATGCTCCCCACAACATCACAGGGTCACTAGAGCCCCTCACTCTAGAGGTCAACGGTTTACATCTGTTTGTTCTCTTGGTGTGCGCTGCACGTACAATTTCACTTACATTTAGGCCTTGTGTAACATCCTTCGATATAAAAAAAAAAAAAAAAAAACAATGACTACCCAAGAAAGGTATTCAGGTAGGGGCCCACCAAACATTTGCACACAAGGGCCACCAATTTGATGCTCTGGGTCTACTTGTATATAATATATAGTAATGTCTCCTGTGGTGGTGTGTCTGTATTTATTTGTATTACTTGTTTACTAAGTATATTCTCTTTTGTCGATTTATATATGTACCAGTTTCATGTAGATGCAAATGATCTTTTGGTATCTTAAAACAATCTGCCAAAATCCTAGACCTCTGTAATAAAACTTGAATGAAAAACATAAGAAAACGAAACTGTAAAGCTACGCAAATAAAATTCAACTGTTTCCCAAAATTTAAGTTAGTTAGTAATAAAGGTTCTGTGCAGGTACATTTTTTGTTCATCAAGGTACAAAGGATGTGTTCCTTCAAAGATACAACCATGGTTTTAAGGTCCAGTTGTGCACCTTAAATAAGTTTTTCCAGGTGAAAAGTATGTATTTGTACCTTTTCATAGCCAAATGTTTTAAAACAGAACAATAAAATAAAGAGCCTGGAGACGAGACGGGGTGTGTGGTGTCAATACAACTTAGAAAATATAAATGTAATAGCAGAGGTTCCTTACTTCTGGCAAGGATCAGCTCCTCCTGAATTGCCTCCCGCTTTACCTCGGCCAGTTTCTTGCAGCAACTCAGGAAAGCTTGACGGCAATCGTCTCCATCCTCAACGTACTCAGCTCTGCGTTCACACGTGTAACCGAGAAAATTTTCCACCATTCCATCCATGCAGCAGTGCCTCAGGTCCTCACTGTAACTCCCCACTGCATAAACAAATGAGTGAAGAAAGTTGTTTACACTCACACATTTACAAAATGGTCCATCGATTAAGAGACTGACCCAACAGTTCTTCAGGGGCATCGCTCCAAAGAACACTTTTTGGCACTATTGATTGCAGTCTTGGTGGACCACAGATTAACTTAAAGATTTCTCAGCTCACAACTATCGTGTTTACTTATATTCAGAAAAGATGCATCTTATCAGGGTGTCTAAAGACATCATGATTGAAATTTAATAGCTTCCCAGATAGAGATTAAGCTTCACAGCTTCTCCACTGACAGGAAGATTCTTTTCAGGGCTAGGCTTTCCTTGTCTGGAAAATCTACTATTTGAGACTTCCTACGACCACTTTATATGTAATTTAAGAGACCAAATTTGCAGTGAAAACATATCAAATATAAAACACTCTACAATGTACCTTGGAACCATATCGCTGTCTTTGTGTATGCGAGCTTAAAAGAATGGGTGTGTCATGATGTCAGATGTTTTCTAAAAAACTTAAATGCATCTGGCTGTGTCCTAAAATCAAAGACCACATAAATCTGAATGTATAAATTTAAAATGTATTTTGAGAGAGACTTTTTAAAAACCTAATGACACCTTATTTCCAGGCCAGCTGGTGCAAATAGGCAACAGTCTAAAGATACCCCTGACCAAGACACAGCCAGAAACAAGCATCTGAGATCTGCATGCAAAGGTACACAACACACATAGATTATAGGACCAATATGGAAATGTCCAACTGATACTGATAGCCAACTATTTAGCAAAAACACTGCATAATACTGATAGTTTAGTAGTTTTAAAGACTAGAAGTAAACCATAAAAAAATGCTTCACATTTTCTTCTTTATACTTAAGAAATAGTATTTTAGGTTAAAGACTACACATAGAAACATCTCTTCAGATACACTTCTTAGGCTATTGTATCTGCACAGGGTAATGGTCACTCATGAAAGATCACAGACCTATTTGCGATTATGTGGAATTTTTCTTCATACCTGCTTAACATTAAGTGCATTTTTAAACAGAAAATGTTTCAAGACGTGTGAATACAGTAAAAAATGTTGTTATTGGCCGATGTTGTTATTGGCTGATGTAGGCCCTACTGAATCTGAGAACATTGCATAAAGCCTTCTTTCACAATCATAGGTTGTACTGACCCAGGGTCTTTTTGAGTTCTATTTTGGTGAGGTCACGTCGTTTTCTTTTTTGTTCAGATGAGCAGGAGGGCTCTTCACCAAGGGAAAGAAAAACAGAACAAGAAAATGAAATGTGTTTCATTCATTTTTAAAAGATAAATGTGCACAATACACTGGAATAACATTAACATCTCATACTCAAAATAACATAAGTTTGGAGGTAATTAGATAATTCCAGATATGTAAGTTAGTATAAATTCAGTGCTGCTCCTCTGCGCTAAAATAATTTCCAACAAACCTGACACTGCTTGTTTCGATTGGAGTGTTTTGTTCTGCCTTCTTCTCTTAAAATCAAACCAAAGGGAATTTTAAACTGTACTGTAAACTTTAATCAGTCACAAAACACATTTCCAGAAAGAAAACCTATTTACTTCTTTTTTCCTGCATGTTAAACTGTTCTTTCAGCAAATTCCATGCATAAGTTAACTAAGCTTTTGTTTTCTATGAAGATGACTAAATTCAAAAATCAATATCACTGTGCGACAGTCCCAAAATAAACAAAATATCACATATAGCCCTGCTGCCATACCTCTTCTGTCAGGGGTGCTTCCTGCAGAATTAGACATGAACAGGACTCCTGCATCATAGAAAACTCCCATACTGTCTTTGCCACTGCCAGCTGTACAGGCAAGGTCATGCTTCTCAATGGTGTCCCAGACCTAGTGATAAGAAAACAAGATATATACTTAAATATATACATACACTGCACACTAAAATCACCACAGTTATCAGAACTTCAGCTCTCACAGAGATTTTAAACTGGCTTTGGTCTGTGCACTGTCCAGTGGGAAACAAATCATTTCTTTCAAATAACTGTTCCTCAAGCTAAATACTAGTAGCCATATTTAGAGTAGTACGCGGTTGCATCTCTGTTCAACAATCAACACTTCAGACCAAGGCAAAGTCTTAATCATAATTAATGATATTCCACTTTAGTACTTCATTTCTAAATTGTGTTTGAAAGAGTAGACAGCAGGTAAACAAGATATCCCTATGCATTTGCCGAGTGCTGTGCTAAGTTTGATTTTGTAACGCCGGTATACCAAACAGTCTATGATTAGGTATCATGCATGTCAGTCAAATGGCCTTTTAAACGGTTCTCAAGCCTGTATTTTAGCACAGTCTTACTGAAATTGCAGTGGAATTAGTATCATTTTGTGTCCACACTAATGAAGTACTTTGGGCTTTGACTGCATTTTTTACCACCATTGATGTAACTGAACAGAACCAGCCAGACACTTAAAATAAAAATGAAGAAATGAGGCTTTACTAAGAAAGGGCTTGAAAATACTCGTAGTGAAAAAAACAGGCGGTGGTCAAATCTAAAAAGGCCAAAATACAGAAAAAGACAAACATAACAAACAATATCAGGCAATCAGATCCAAAAGTACAAAGACAAAAAGGCAAAGTCAAAATGTCCACAAGTGAAATACAGACAGAAACACTCAGTAGCTCTACGGAAATAAGCAATACCTCACAATTAGACTATGCTGAAGCCCGGGCTTATGTACAAAACGACATCTAGGCATATGACGTACACATTCGGGTTAGTATTTGGGTGAAATGGAGCATTGAATGGTGGATTGTGGAAGTTCATGGTTCATGTGATATCCCAGAGAGTTCTGGAAAATGGAGTCTTTATGGACGTCAGAGCCGAGAGGATAGTAGTAGTCAACTGCTTTGCTCAAATTACGTAGAAAACTACAAGTTATATATATATATATATATATTCCAATATTTTCTTTCTGATGGCTGATGCTACAGTAAACTATGCTTAAAGACAACAGTGGGCATTATGATTTTGGTTTAGTTTCTGTGCTGTTTTTGTTTTTAGTAGAAGTAGAAGCAGAATGCCTAATGATTGTGCTGGCTGCACTACCTGCTGGGGTTCATTATTTTTACACTGCACTAAGTGCCACTGACAGCGACACAACTCACACTCATTAAACACACTTCAGAACACTGTTCCATGATTGCCACAGAGAGCATACAAGTCCCCTTACACCTCTGTGCTATATGTGATTTCCACATATAACAGTACAGAAAGGTGAAAATTTAAAAGAAAAAAGGACATAAAGTGTCTTAGTATGTTCTTTGGCCACTACGAGATGTTTATCAATGCCAGGATGTAAACACAGACTACAGTGATAATTAAATAGAGTTTGCTGGTAATCACTGACCTTGGTCTGGGTGAGTCTGTTCTTGTTGTTGAGGACGTAGACGCCCTTGTCCACAGCGACCAGGCCAACTTTTGCCCCAGGATCACCAGTAATTTTCAGATCAATAACTTCATTGGGGGTATATGCTACTTTAACATCCTCTACATCAACTTTGAGCTTTGTGCATTAGAAAGAGAGAGAAGAGTCAGCAAAGGTTCACACATGTTGACTTGTTAACCTAATGTGATAATTTGAAAATTTTGAAAAAAAATGTCACATGTTCATTTTAACTGCTATCACTGCAATCATATAAATAGTAAAATGTATATAAGATTCAAATGTTCATATCATGTGTCTATATTTGTCCAAAGACTATGTAACTGACTCAAAGATTTCATGGTCATGGCCCAGAAATAGGTCAATTAGATAATACTGGTAAATCATACAGCACACCTGTTTCTGAGCTTGTTTGCTAGCGCTGAGTCAGGGAACAATTGTTGGAAAAGTGTAAGTCTCTAGAACCAGAAACATCAGCTTGGACAAAGATATACAGTACTATGCACTCATGAACCATCCAAGAAAAGTATATTTAAAACTTTTTTCTGGGCAGTAACTATCTGTTTAAAAAATAAGCTATCATTAGAAAATAAACAATTCATTGTGATTGTTATGTGTAATTTTGTTAGCTAAATTATTTCTTAAGCACACCATAAAGAAGTCCAGTATTTACATTTACCATTCAATACCTAGTTTATCTAATTAATATAATATTAGGCTTATCAGTCCAATATATCCAGGAAGTAACTTGTGTTTTCCTAACTGTATTCTTCTAACCAACATATTGACAACTTTTTTAACAGCAAAAAAATCTTATTTTACTGTTTGATGATAATTTGTATTTATTCTAATGGTATATCTTGTTTTACAGGCAAAAACACCTTTATTGCCAAATTAGACTTATAAACAATGTTCATGGCTGCCTAAGATTTTTGCACAGCATATCCAACACGCTTTTAGTATATTTGGCGTACATTTGGTTTTATTTGAAGCTACTTTCAATGAGCTAAGAGTGACACTTTGTATAATTCTCACTAGTAGCTCATTGTCAAAGCAGAGAAATCATGTGGAAAGTGCAGATTCCAAACTTTCAATCCATTTTACCTTTGTGTCTGTAAGTAAAAGAGGAGGGATATTTTATGATTTAAATCTGATTAAGTTAATGTCTGTTATTTACAACAAATAAAACAGAAAAAAATTACAGACTCAAGCCTTTTGATACAAAACATAAATTGAATACAAAAGTTATTAATTATGTGTGTAAACATTTTTGTTAATGTGATTACATATAAATACCAAAGCAAAACAGAGGTAACTCTACAACAGCTAATTTCCCATTTGCTGTTTCAATGACAAACCTGGGTTAGTAATTTACTTACCGATCCCATGCATGTGTCCTCCACATCAACCCAGATCGAGTCAGCCACGACCTCAGAGGATCCCACATGGTAATACGCCACCACACGGAAAGAGGGAAGCATTTCTTTAGTCACTTTGAGTGGCACAGCTATCACTGAATTACCTGACTTCTGATATCTCGAAGCTGTTACGATCCGTCCTTTACTTAGAACCTAGTTCACAAAGAGCAGAAACATAATGCAAAAGTAAAAACAATGCAATACATTTGCCAGATTCAAATGTATACATCATTTCCACATGAATAAAATATCTTCTTACACATTATAAAAAACACTTGCTAATTGAACTTTCATTTGATTTAGTTGACTACAATTCTAGTAGGAACTATCTAGTAGGAATGTCATAAACTAAACACTTTTTTAAACACAGAGTAGGGCTACTTAAGTGACATTATGTATGGTGTACTTACTGATTGATTGATAATCATTGATAAAAACATTTTATACCTGATTTTTTCATTCTTAATAATGAGGTCTTTTCATACTTGTAGATTTTAGCTTTAATGCACTAAAATGTAAAACGTTTGATGCACTTTTTATTTGAAAATAGCCATGTTTACACGCAGCCTGAAGAACTAAAACTTAATATAAGTGATTGAAATTCTAGTAGTGTTAAATGATGTTATGTATGTTTTAGGTACAAACCATATAAGTGAAGTCTTGGTCCCCAACTGCGCTGGAGCCTAGATTCAGCTTGAGGGTAACTTGATTCCCAACTTTCAACAATCCAGTAGTTATGTCTATATGCAGGTAGTTTTGGGAACCACCTGTAGGCAGGTAGGCATGTGCTGTCATCTTGTTTTCTGCCGGTATTCCCTCAGTGACTGTACGTACCTTTGAACAAAGAGATTGAGTCTCACTTTTACTACAAGATTTGAACAAAGATGTCTAAAAAAATAGAAGACACATTTCACACTGGACTTAATCTTAAACTGTGTGTTTGTTCATGTGTCAACGAATGCTAAAGTCAGCTCAGTCCCTCATCCCTCACCCCTCTGATGGCTCAGCACATGGTCACTCATTAATAATGAACTAGGAGTTGATGATCAGGAACAGCATTATAAAGTGAAACACATGGTAACTCATTACTAATGAACTAGGAGTTAATGATGATCAGGAACAGTATTATAAAGTAAAACACATAGTAAATCATTACTAATGAACTAGGAGTTAATGATGACCAGGAACACTATAATACTGTTCCTGAATGTCATTAACTCCTAGTTCATTAGTAATGAGTTACCAGGTGTTTCACTTTATAATATTGTTCTAGATCATCATTAACAGGTTGGAAGCCTGTAACCTTTGAAACTTTCAGGTCTTCAGTTTTGTTTTGCATTGTAGTTGAGGAAGGGATGGTAGGACAGCATGTTACAGAAAATCAAGACTTTAGAATGTGAGGCTTACAGTGATATCTAGAGTGGAGGCTCCTTTCTGGGTGTTGATGACGATCTTGGCAATCCCGTTCTTATCAGTCCTTCCTGGCACATTTCCTGGTGTCACCAATACCTCAACATTTTCTGCTGGTGTCTCATCAGGGTTCGTTACATACACCTTTTGGATATGATCAGAGAGTGAGATCCATTAAAGGAATACTTAAACCAAAAATCATTACATTGCCAACAAAGAATGCAAAGTAGAATTTTTTGGTTAGCCTTTAACAAAACAAGAATCTTTAGTTAGGATGGCTTTCTTTTTTGCACATGTTCAAGTAATTCTATGAATCAATATAAGATACTATGATCAAGCTTTTATGATTACAAACATTATCCCACAATACAGCCATTGAGAATCTCCCTTTAACAAAGCAGCAGTTTTTGAAAATTACAGTGTGTATTTATAGGATTTTTAGTTCTTGGTTAAAACAGGTGAATGTGTGATGTTTCTGTACCCTGAAATCAAAGGGCATTCCAGGTTTAAAGTATTTTGGGGTTCTTGTGAAGTGAATGGTATATGGTGCTTTCACTATATGAATTCCTCTTCTCTCTGCCTCCACCATTTCACTTCCTGAAACACAAAGAGTTACATCACTTGTTGTAAGATGTTCATGCATTAGTGTGATTTAAATTGCTGTTCTGAGTTAATGATAATACTTAGAGTCTGATTTCACTTGTTATTTTATTACACTTTCCTTTACTGCCAATAAGAAGAATTTTCATCTTTTAGAAAAGTTTTATTAATCCATTCAATTAAAACAGAAACAAAAGCTACCCACTAATTCCTAATACATTATCATCTGGAGCAAAATCCATATTTATTATAGAAAATTGACCCCATTCTAAGTGTTTTTTTTGACCAAAGGTAGTAAGTATAGTATAAAAAGAAGAGAACCAAACACTGAAGCATGTGGCACACCAAGGACTTGAAGATTAATTGAAATTTCAGAATCAAAATTTGAAAGAGTGCAATTCTCAAATTGCAAGAGCTAAAATTTTTATTAAAGCCTACATTGTTTACAATGCTGTATTAAATTGTTTTAAGTTACTGTCGTCTAATAACACTGAGTACACAAACAGTCTGTAGATGAGTTACAGCAGGTCTACAGCACGATTCAAGCCTCAAGCCATACAAGGGAATACACTGGTCTTCTTGGGCAAAAAACAGACCTGGGCCTCAGTTTATATAAATTAATTGCAATTTATATCACACACAATATTTGTCAAAAAATGTAGTTAGATATTTTGCCCAAATCATTCAGCCTTAGGCACACCAAGGTAAATTTCATGTTCAGTTTTGAGACTGCACGTAAGCAAATAAAGTACCAAGTTTAATTTACATACGTATCAAAACAATTATAGTTGATTTTAGAATTAGCTCCTATATTTAAAGTAAAAATAACAACATTTCTACACAAAAGTACAGGAACTGCTTCAATAATAAATACAGAATGTAGTCTTTTATAATTTTTTATCAGAGCTTTTACCAAACTATGACAGGCTCTGGAACCAGAGTGAAACTTTAAAACATTTTTATTTATAAAAACTGAAAACAGAATGCAATGAATAAGGCACATAATGTGTGCTCAGCACTCCCTGTTACTGGTAGATAGCAGTATCTATCCAGCAATTTATATTGCTTTCAGGGACACTTTTAAGTCTATGGTGTATGGCCGAAATCGGAGTGCTAAAACATTTAAGCATGAGTGAGTTCGATTTTAAGTTTACATCAGTTCGAGTGAGTTCGATTTTCGGTTTACATCATGTTTTATCAAACCTTCATCGAAATGTTACGTTTGAAACATTTTACAGTCTGTGCAAATTTTAATATTTGGACTACATTTCATTTAATGGCAATACATTGATACATATTATGAATACTGGTTCTTCTACCAGGTGAGACATCCCATCAGAGGGCATTTAACTAGCATAAATTTGTTGTGCTTCCTTTCTTTATGAGCCTAGTATGCTTTATGCCTGAGAACACTCAAACCAATACACAAATAAAGCTGCTAATAGGGTGCACTCTACTTACCACTTTCAGTTAGTACACTGACAGACACATACATTGTTTTCCCAACAAGTTCATCAATATTTTGGAAGGTCTGAAGGATGTGGTCTCTCTTGAGCACTGCTTTACCTTGTCCTTTACTGATCTACAGAGTTCAGACCAGAAAAATGACATTTTAAGCTGTGTATGTACATTACCGTAAAGATGATTAAGTCTTATTTCTTGGTTATGTTTTAACCTCTAAAAGTTGCAGTTAACAAAAGCATGCTGGGAATGCATGTGAAGATTCTAAACATTCAGTCCATACCATGTTTGTCTGTGTAAATCGAATAGGAGCTATTTTACCATTCAGTTTGATTAAACATTATTTATTTATTTAATATCTTTGCATGTTTTTCTTGAAAACTTTGTGAACAGATAGAAAATTGCCACCAATACAGGGTGTGTATTAAATATAAATGTAAGTCATTAGTAATGTAACTATATTTATATAATCATGTTACATAAATGAAGTCTATAGCACAAAAATGACAACAACAACTCTGGACTCCTAAGGATAAATGCATGTAGTTCTTTTGTATGTGTGTCTCCAGGCTTACGTCAACTCTGGCAAGAGAGCTCGGAATGCTGATCTTTTTGCCTTCACTGAAGATGCCAAATACTACAAAAGCAGAGCCTTCAACATCTTGACCAAACAAATACCTGAAATGCAGTAGGATAATAAATAAGAGAGTAAGAGTGTTAAAATGATAAACATATCAGCAACATAATACATAGAAAAACAACAAATGATTTTGAAGCTGTCAAACTGCATGTTTTTTTCTGATTTTCAAGTGAAAATAATATAACACAAAGAACACCCTTAAATATGGCACTTTTTAGTGCACAGCCGAGTTTAACATATTGGATATAATAAACATAAATTTTATTGAATTTTTTTTCACAATATGTTAAATAACCATTTAAATAAACAGTAATTGTGCATTAGAATACACAGAAGTGTGTTCTCTTTAGAGGATGTGTTAACTTACATTCACTGACCAAATCAACAAAATGTAATTTGACCAGGGGCGGCAAAACTTCTGCATGCAACTCTACTCACTCAGCTGTAACTGTAAATGTACTAATTCATCTACTGCAGCAAGTTTTATACATGTGGCTGCATTAAAAGCCAATAGCACACTGACCAAACAGACATCAACTGACACAAACTTTTTTGTATGTTGTACCTGTGTTTGATTGTTTAGGAGAATCTGCAATCTTTCCCTGTCACACTGTTTTACAATGCATTTCTTTAGAACATTTTCCTCCCCATATGCTGTTCTACTATGTTCTCTCCCCATTCACACTGTTCTAGAACATGTGCTCCCCATTCATGCTGTTTTACTATGTTCTCTCCTGATTTAAACTGTCCAAGAATGCTCTCTCCCAAATCACAATGTTTTAGCATATTTTCTCCCCATTTATGTTCTACTGTGCTCTTGTTAAAATAGTTCTCAATATCCATTAAGTAAATTTTAACTGTATCACTAATGTAAGTGCAACTAGGCAGTTCTGTGCAACCCTTATTAGAAATGTTTGACAGTATTGTTCCGTTTTTCCACTGATTTCCAATCCAGCATTTTCTGCCTGTATTTGCCTAATATCAGATCAGTGTTCCACCTGCATAAAGGCCTGCATATTAGTGCACCACCTCCATATCTGTGCACCATGCTTTGACACCCATTATTGGTGCTTGCATTTGTATGCACTGAATTCACTCATGGTCCCTTGGCAACTCAGTGGTTAGGACAGTCCTTAGAAATGAAAGTGTTCTATGAAAAATAGCATCAATTTCATGCAAAAACTAGGTTATAGTTTACTGATATCTTGAACGCTAACAACAGCAATTACCTAACCTTACCATAACCTTTTTGTATCCTATGTTTGACAGCTAGTGAAGAATAAAAAATCCAAATATGCAAACATGAAACCAACTTTACTTCTCACTTTCAACTGCATGAACGATTAGTTAACATTAGTGACAGCTCATTACACTATTAAGTTGATTTATCATGTTAATGTTAGAATTTTAGTAAGCCACAAAGGGGAACAAAATAATTCCAAATCAATTCCATGTAGCATCTGATGAAAATCAGGGTAAAAAAGAAACTGAAATATCAAAAATAAAATAATATAAGGACTGGTCAAATAAACTGCTGCTGTGCTGTGCTTCACATAAACGGCATGTTAATTATTCAAAAGAGGTTTTCATGTACATGTAATGGAGCACTCTGATTTTGGATGTGAGCAGAAAAAAGAAAGATATCTCGAACATGGGGTTAAACGTATTTAAGTAATAGTATACCTAATAAAATATATATGTGAGTCAACTCTTACTTGGCTTTAATTTCAACAGGGAACTCTTTATCCTCCGTGTAGAAGAATGATTTCTTAGGATCCAGCTTCACTTCAAAGCTGGGCAGCACTGGGGAGTGGAGGTACAACTTTCAGTAAAGCAATGCTGAATACAATATATTGTAGATGTATTATTTTATCTTTAATATTTAAATAAACAGGTAGATCTATCTATTATTTTATTCACTATAAAGACAGTTCACTTACCGTACTCTTTGACTTCAAACTCTGCAGTGAAATTCTTGTCAGGACTGTCCTTAAAGCTTGCTACAATTTTCCAGATTCCAGTGCTTCAAAAACAGAAGATCAATACACAACACAAGATCAATCACGTGTAGTATTACAAATAAAACATTCATTGAACTAACCTATTTTCAGAAGAGTCACAAGAATATGACATTACATTTGGAAGTATGTTTTTCAGTAGCACAAATGCTTTGTCTTTTTTCTTCTTTTGTGTCCATGTAATGGAACACAAAATTGTTATCAAATATATCAATCAGAGAATTATCACTTTTGTAGAAGTGGTTCACCCTTTTCACATCTTGGTTCAACTTAGGATAAAATTGAACCATTTTAAATATCAGATTTTTAAAAAATATTTGCAAAACATCAGATTCACGTCTTCTTTACGATGACCCTAGATCACCACTCCTAATCTAGTTGTGAATACAAGACCAGAAGTCTTTCCCAAAAGAAAATTAAATAAATTACTTTTAATGAACAAGAAGGAGACATAGGAGTATGTCAATGATCAAGGATTCAGCAGTACAAGAAGGCCTAAGAAGTTTCCAGGCTAAGAACAACATGGTGAAGATGAACCAGAGGTTAACCTGTGAAGTATACTGAGCAAGCTTAAAGACTTCAAATGGAATAACAAGCATCAACTGACTGACATCAAACAAGAACTGAGAAGAATGAACATCAGACTAGAATAATCAAAAGAGTGGATTGAAAGGGCAGAAACAAGGCTCCAGCAGCAACACTACTTAAGTGCCTTCTACAATGTCAAGCAGACATAGAGGCTAAACTAACCGATCAAGAAGGTCGACCTCACAAAGACAATATTCATATTAATGGCATCCCTGGAGAAGCAGAAGGGATACAAACTTAGCGAAAGGATATGAGCTTAATGAAGAGTGCACTTGGTTTTTCATCTGATTAACAACTCAGAATTGAGAGAGCACATATAGCATTAGCCCCAAATCCAACTGGTCATGGGGTGGCCACGATCCATCGTTGGAATATTTTCAAGTTATAGAACAAAAGGAGGTGCTCCGCAAAGCCTGGCAAAAAAGGGTATGTTTTCTACGAATCTGAGTACATTTAAATCTAAATATTAAACACACACACACATTAATACAGATGACTACACAAAGAGCTGTTAAAAAAATACTGAAAAAAACATAATACATCAGCTTGCCTAAAAAGTTTAAGGTCTCTTAACAGTATAATTTTTCAAAGTCATCTTTTTTTTTTAGTGTTTCGTGTCCACATACTGTCCACAAAATTATCAACTAAATCTTTGAGAGTTATCGCTATAAGCACTTTCTTCAATATTTACTGTTATGTGCATCTATGCAAGCATGCAGACTGACATACAGGATGGAGTAAATTAGTGAGCAAACACTCAAAGCCTTTCAAAGCTGTGATTTAGCTGTACAACAAAACCAACCTGATGGGACTCCCCAGTTTATACTCCAGGCTCTTGGACGAAGTATACTGGTCTCTTTGAATGATGATCCCTTCTGGTGTCTACAAATCATATAAATACAGTCATTATTAACTTGTTTAATCACTATTTTTCATTCTATTCTATATACACTACCACTCCTAGACAAACCTGCTCATAGAACTCTTATGTATTACTATTTGCCACATTTTACAATAACAGTGAACATGGAAGCCATGAAATAACACAAATGGAATAATGCAGTGACCAAACACACTGTTAAACAAATCAAATCCCCCCACCTTGCTGCAGGTTTAAACACATTTGATGGTCATTATTGTAATTTCGCAATATAACTTGTATACACTGGAAAGAAATGCCGTTCTTCAGGCCCCATGGTGCAACACACAACAGCAGCACATTACACAGGACTACATAATGATACGTGCAACAGTCTGAAATGAGTACAGAATATACCAAAAATACACCAGACAATGAATATACAGAACAATAAACACCACAACACAAATACTTGACAGGATTTAAAAAAAAAAAACAATATTGTTGGAAAAGCCATGGGGTCAACCAGCCAACCAGGAGCAGGCATGTAGAGATCTGCACAGAGGGACTTATGGGAGGCATGCATCCTGGTTGAAAAAAGGTACTGTTTGTGTTGATTACGTTGCTTGTTGTTTAGTTAAGGTATATGTGTGTTCTAGGTGTTTTGTTGTTTTGGAGTGTAGGTTTAGTTGCATGAGTTTTCTGTGTGGGGGGGGGATCATGGTCAGGGTGAAGCCTGTGACTAGTGGTGACCTCCCCCATGAGTTTGTGATGTTATGTGTTTTGTTTTTTTTTAATCTGAGCAGGCAGAAAGGGGGTTTAAAAAGAGCAGAATCACGGCTTCACTCTAGTTTGACTCTTGGTGTCAGAAGTGGGATAGCACTCTCCAGCAGCCAGGAGAAGAAAGGCACCACCTTGAACTCAAAAATAAACAGTGAAGAAGAAAAGATAAGAAGTGAGACGAGAAAAAGAAGAGGCTGACGAGAACATGATGAGAATTAGTGAAGCCCAGCTGGAGCCCTGTGAGGAGAAGACAGCCTGCGGCATGTCCTGGACAGGCAGAAGCAAGAGAGGAGCAGATTAGCTTGTTATCAGTGAGCTATGCACAATGATTCAACAGGCATACCCGCTGCTCAACAGAGCTGCGCAGGAGAAGCTGCTACTTTTTGTATTGAGTATATCTCTGCCATGATTGGATGGGCTGCTTGCGTGCATCGTAGAGCCTTGTACTATGTAGATCCTTGTGTGGTCTTCAGTATACAAAGGACTCTTAACTCCATACCCAGCACTGTACAGAACTGTAAAACTGTATCCATTTGTACTGTTTTGTGTCTGTGCTGTTATCTGGTGTCGACCAGACGAGGATGGGTTCCTCTTTTGAGTCTGGTTCCTCTCAAGGTTTCTTCCTCCTGTTGAGGGAGTTTTTCCTTGCCACTGTCGCCAAGGCTTGCTCACTGAAGGCGTGGACGCTATATAAATAAATTTGACTTGACTTGACATTTGACTATTTCCTGAATGTGCAGTGTCCAGAGGACCTGCAGCTACAGGTGCAGCTCACAAAACTGGTTGGTCTTCGAGGTGATGACGGTAGAGCTTGATCTTAGTGAGGAACCTGCAAGGCGAGCAACAAAGTGTGTCGCGACGGAGGAGCTTGCTACGTAGCTCCAGAGCGAACAGCAACACAGCACAATGTAGTGGATAAGCTCAAGTGGAGGTGGCATGCCATCCAGCCACCGCACCAGCAGCTACACAGGACCTGGTGTACTGGTGATGCAGGAAAAGGGGACACTAACAGAGAAACGGAACCCACCTGGGAAGCCTGGCTGTCGTCGCAGGCTTGAGCTCATACCCACATGGCAGGCGTGCATTCTCAGCTTGGATTTCGTGGGCCATGCTTAACCTCAAGAAGGAAACGCTGGGCTTGGCAATGAGACAAGTGAAGCTGCTCACTGCGGCTAGTAGTATGGCTGAGGTTGAGAGTAGAGGCAGCACATATGAGTAATGGCCACACCAGCATCGTCAGCACGGTGGACGACAGAAAAGGCAGAATGCAGCAGACAGGAGCACTGCTGCCACTGACCCCAGAAGCAGCGCACCTGGTGCAATGGGCAGTGTGGAGTACAGCTGCACTCAGGAGCAGGACACAGCGCTGTCTTGCCCCTCTACTCTGGTGCACCAATGGACAAAATGCCCACAGAGCTTTCAGTTCGTCAGCCTGCTAAGGTCGAAGAAAGGAAGCATGCTTGGAGTGGAGTGCACGTGGCAGAGAAGAAGCATGCGGCCAGTGCCGTTTGTGTGGAATAGGACAGTGGATGCTCTGAAGCCCCTGCTTTAGAGAGACTGCAGGGGGGTCACTTTGGATTACCATTAAGCAGCATCAGAGTGATGAAGTCTTTGGTGTCTAGAAAGTGTTGGTGAATTCTGATCCTGGGATAGGTTGGCTCTTACTGTGCTGTGTTGTGTTTGTCTGAGTTGAAGGCAGCATGTCAGGTTTTTAGCAGCGCACACACCTCAGCATTTAACCATGGCATCTGGTTAGCATGTGGTCATGGTCTTGAGGGAAGTCACATCATCTAATTATTTGCCAATGTAGCCACCGTAGTCACCATATTTCCCGCCAGCACTCAATGGGTGTTTGTCCCTCCAGCTCAATGTGCGATGTGATTTGTTTTGCAACTAACTTAATAGGTAAATAAATGACACTTGTTTAAACATGCTGGTGCTTGTGTGTGTGCATCTATGGTCTTGTTGGATTTCCCAGTCAATATGGATTGACCCTGTTCCCAGGCCAGTGGCACAAAACACACAAGCCACCACCACGGGTCCAGTGCTGCTACCGTGTCAGTGTAGTGTGCTGTTAGTCCCACTAGCTGGATGGCCATGGCTGAAATGCTGCCTCTGAGATGAAACAAAACAAAACAAAATGCAGCAGTCCCAGAGTTCACTTTAGGATGCTAGTTGTAGCCTGAAGTGGTCCATTTCATTGTTAAGAGAGCAGACACTGGAAAGGAGAAAAGAGGGCAGAGCTGAACAGCTAGGGTTGGATTTAGCCTAGCTTGAATCCCTGAGAGTTTACCATTGTTGAGAAATCTTTTTTCTTGTTTGCATTATTATTAATTGTAAGCAGTGTTAATACCAAAAGCTTAGTTTGCGACAGTCCAAAGTGCATTTTGTGACGCACCCTATGGAGAATTTTGTCTTCCCTGAACAGAACATGTACTCTGTTCTTTATGACCTGTACAAAAGGCCCCTGGTGGTGGGGGTAAAAAGATCTTTTTCTAAAACAGCTGTTCAGACTGGGTTTGAAGGAGATGAACAGTATGCGTTCTCTTCAAATAAAGAACATCTTTTCTGCAAACCTGTTCTCCTAACTTCTTTCATTTGGCAAAGACAAAGGTTTATAACACCGTGTTTTTGGCACAATGCTTTTGACAAATCCTCTCCCGGCCAGCGTAGTAATGCAGTATCACAGCCCTGAGGTCTGGTTTGCATAGCAGCCCAAACCTGCGCAGCGCCTCAAACAATCTAAATCTATTACAGCTGAACACTGTTCTCCAAAATCAAGTAGTATCTGGCAACTTTAGACATGTTCACCATGTTCTGATGCACATCCTGGACAAAACCTTTTTGAAAAACTAACTACAACAAACAAAAACACTACATTTTCAGGAACCAAAGCAGCTGCTGCATCAGAAATGCACCACCATTTTGGATGTATAAAGCCACCTAAGATGCATATATACATACGCTGAGATCTTGTTGGTGCTGAAAAATATTTAAGTATTTAAGCAGATTAAAATATCTTTATCATTATGAAAAATGAATATTCAGTGAGGTGTGACCAAACTCTGAAGTGGTAGAATAACTTTTTTAAACACTTACCACAATCTCCACCACCACAGGACTCACTATTGCCTTTGCTTCTGTGGTCAAAGGAAACACTCTGTATCGTACTGGAGAGAAAATGTACAGCAATTTGAATAACGTTGTGCCACTCAAACAAGTTTTAAAACATCAAGAGTCAGATTTCTCAGTAGAGAGATAGAAAACAACCATCTAGCGTTTGATTGTGGTTTCAGTAACTGTAACATATTTAAAAGTACCACTGTCTCACCTGTGCTATCAGGAGTGTATATTGTCTTGTCTGTCTGTACAAAAATATAACCCGACTGGAAGGAGACCATGACAGTTTTCTCCAAGGTTTGAGGTCCATCAAAGGTTGCACTCAGATAAACATACTGTTTTATCTCTGGGTCTGTGTCAAAAACGTCATCAAGAAAGGGGATCTACAAAAAAAAACAAAAAACAAACAAAAAAACAGGCTACAGAATGGTAGGACTGAAGGGTCAGATGATAATTTACAGCACTAAAGGCTCTAGTTTCCGAGTTAGCCCCTTAAAATTAGAGGCTTATTACATACTGAGGCTTATTATTCAGTAACTAAAGGAACTTCAGTGCAGCCTGGCTGAGTTATTCTTAGGTTATAGAAGAATGTATTAAAACTTAGGGTCGGCCGATGGGCCCTGGCCATTTAAGGGGTTAATAAACTAACACTTTGAAACAGTTGCATCTTATTCAACAATATTACCAAAAGGAAAAGTTAAGACTTACATTTATATCAACAAGAGCTTGAAAGTTATCTTCAGGCCTTAGGGTCACCATTGTTGAGATGAGATCTCTGTCTTTTCGGGGAAAGCTCATCACTCTGATATTTACATTTATGGCCTTTTGTTCTTTGTAGTCCTGAATCTCCACGAGCACACGCTCTTGTGTGCCCACCCTCATTATCTGGGGGGCTGATAGAATGTACCTAAGAAAGTAAAAATAGAAAGTTATGTCTGCCATTTAGATTGAAAGGGCCATATTGTACATTTTTCTTGAATACAATTTTTCCTGAGCTCCTTTTATCGTGTGTGTGTGTTTATGTACCAATTCAGTCATAATTTATTTTTACATGTCCATTTTCAAACCTCTCTTTATCCTTTATAACTAAACAGACTGTGCTTTATATGGTGCCTCAAACAGTCCAGACTGTTTTTGTAGGTCTGTTTCCATATACGGACTGTATATGGACTAAAATATACTGTTGTTTACAACAGTATTACAACAGTACATTTTGAAACTAAAAATGTTTTCATCTTAAATCAAATTCCATGATATGGGCCTTTTAACGTTATGAAAACAAGATTCATTCTGGATCCAGTATTGCTCAGTAGACATCAAAGATCTGGTGTGCCACTGTGGTTTGATTGCTTACAGTGGTATATGTTGTTTCATTCAAACTAGTTCACTTCATGCCAAAAATATTTGTCCAACTAAACAACAATACAAAGTCACAGGATGTAACCTTTCAATTAGCAATTAAATGAAAATGCTTAACTTCAAAAAACTTCAATAAAAGTACTTTTGGATTTAATTAGAAGTGCTTAACACTGATGTATGTTAATGGGAAAGGCAGCTACACCATTGATGGTGAAGATGTAGATTTTATTTTGTGGCAAGAATGATTGAAAAACAATATTTTATGCATCTTCATGTTTGATTATTTCTTTAGCCAACATTATAATTTTTCCTGTACATTCACAAGTAGCACTAGCTTAATTAAATTTGAATGTAATCTAGGCTTGCGAAATCATTGTTGGGGAAAAAAAAACATTTTTGCATGGTCAACATTGCAAGAAAATGTGTGTATATACACCACAACTCCTGGCACATCTTTATCATGTACAGAAGAGAAGAGCAAGTGTTGCCTGAGAGACTCCAAAATCTGAGGAGCCTCTCGATAGAAATTTGTACCACTTTTCTTCAGTAACTCATTTAAGCAATAGAACACGAGAGGGAGTGTGTTAAGAAATAAATAAATAAACTGGACAGTGTACGCGGCATTAAATATGTTTTAATGTTAGCAATTCCTTCTGCCAAATTATAGTTCCTTAAAAAGCAGCTTGTTGCTACGTCAGAGTAACGAGCTCCACTCACTCGCTGCCCAGTCTGCTGTAAGCCTCACCTTTTCAAGTATGGACTGAGCCATAAAACTGCCGCAATATCAAGTTTAGCTCAGTTTTGTCATTTTATTCCAGATCAATATTAGTGTTGTTTTGTTCCAGCCAGTCTGTAAAGCATCTTACAGCCCATTTTGTTTGGCAAATGGTGTTGGGTTCATTTCTGGCTAATTCCAGGTTGTTTAGCTGTTCTTCTGTCTCAGCTGCCGACTGAAAAGCTGCTCAGTGGTGATGACAGTTTGGGAATTTAGTGTAGTCTCATCTTCAGAGTCTGACCGAATAGGCTGTCGGTCAAATGTGATCTTAAAAGTATCCATTTTCTGTTTGTGGTAAAGTACGAAGTAAAAACGTTCAAATGGCTTAAATGTGTCCTACAGCTGTTAAAGTCGTTGCTTAGCAACGGCGTCTCAGCGGAGTGATACAGTGTTTGTGAAAAAACAGTTAGTTCCGGCCATGCAAGCTGACTGATTGAGAAGTATTCTAACCGTGCTGTTATGGTGCAAAATGTTATGGTCTAGTGCGATTAGAACGCTTCTCAACCAGTCAGCTTGCATGACCTGGAAATAGCTGTTGTATAATTCAGCATAACAGATAATGTAGTGAAGGCACAAAGAAGCCTGTTCAAATGAGAGAACATAAATATGCTTTTGATACACTAAAGTTTGGTACACTCTTAAAAAGATGGTGCTTCGAGGGTTCTTTAGTAAAGAAAATGGTTCTATATAGAACCATGAGCACTTAAGGAACCCTTTGAATTAAAGGGTTCTTTGCAAAGAAAGAACTGATGGGGAATGTGCTGTAGACAGTTCTATATAGAACCTTTTTGAAAACACCAAAAAGTGTTCTATTTTTACGGTGTCAAGCTTGTAGCAATAAAAGAAACCTGTTGGGTGCTATATAGAACCCTTTGCAAAAATGTTCTACACAGAACCGTCTATAGCACATTCATGCATATTTTCCTTCAACCTGAAGAATCCTTTCATGATTCAAAGACCCCTTTAATCATGCAAAGGGTTCCTTAAGTGTTTGTGGTTCTATATAGAAGCAATTTTTCTTTACTAAAGAACCCTTGAAGCAATATGTTTTTAAGAGTGTAGTTCTTGCTACAGGTTTAAGAAACTACATATTTACAACTTCGCTGTTGTCGGAAAACAAAACCTCATATCTCCAAAATGGTAACTTTACAGGAGAAGGAAAAAAAACTACTTTACTTTTAATGTAAGTCAATGGAACCAGAATTTTTTCTAAGTAATTTTGGAGTTTCTTTTGGTCATTCATCATGAAATTTACACACAATGTAAAGGGCAACAGCCATTTCAATTTTGTCAAAAAATGAGGAAAAAATGGAGAAGAGGTTTTCTTCTGACTGCAGCAACTTATTTAATAACAAAATGGCCAAAGTTTACTGTGCTGTGTTATTGTGAGCTACTAGATGATTATGCTAGGCTGTATTTAATTATTTTTTAACAACTTTGCCATAACCACCAAGTCAGAATCATCAAAAGCCACTTTCATATTATTGCAGGGTAAAACATTCCATACATGGATGGTTGCAGCACAGCTTATCTGTTTAGCAAGAAAAGTCATGGTTGATACAGAACTTGGATTATACATACAGATCACAAGCATATATAAGCATACAAAACAGTACTGGCACCTCAAACGTACACATCCTTAACTGATGGTGTAGATCATTGTAATAGTGTAATAGTTTCCAAATTTCAGCAGAATCTGACAGTTGGAAGGGCGGATGTCCAGGACACACAATCGACAAATGACTTGAGAAATTCTACAAAGCTGAAGTTGGCTTCTTATTTGAATTCACCGTTTCACCCTAAAAGGTGCAACTGTCACTTTCAGGCACCATTTAAGGTGGAACAGAAAAGACAAGCATAAAGCCCATGAAAAAGCCAAGCTTGCTGAAATTCAGAGGTGAAACAACATTTATAATACAATAAGATTAAATGTGTGATATACTCACAGTGGTTGACATAGAGTGAGCAGTGGTGAAGACAGAAGAGCAGCAGTGATCCACAGCAGGTCCACCTGCACCATCCTGCCTGTTTGATCCTGCCTGTATCTGAATAAATGAAACTGAATCACCACTACAGCTTTTATAAACACACACACTTCCCCCTCACGTACAACTCAGCACAGTTCAATGCACCATGGTTCACAAGACTATGTGCGGATTCATGCCCAACAACGCCCCCAAATTTCTCCACTCAGTGACAAAATAACACACACACACACACACACACACACACACAGCTTTACTTATTTACATTTAAATATTATCTTAACATTTTTAGAAAATGATCTGCTTCAATTCTTCAATCATAGAATGTTGGAATAACTCAAATTTTCCATGTAGTTACTGCAAAATAAGCTTTAGGATGAATAAGTCTAGAAATTTAGGAGGTTAATCCTATTTATTTATTTGTTTGTTTGCTTGTTTAACTAATTACTTTATTATTATTATTATTTTTACTGTTATTATTATTACAGAATCCCATGATCTTTTGTAATACAGCTGTATCTGGGTTACTAATCATTAAGGGAACTCACCATAAAGGGTTACTCTTCAGCTGAATTTCTCGTAATCTCAGTGTTTGACTTTGGTTTCTCATTTTAACCTTTGATTCTTACTCTTTCTCTCTGTGCCCACTATTAGTTAATGTTAATGCAGTATTACGAGGATGTATGAAGCTATCAGAGGGGTATATAAACATATATATTGCTGCTGTCGGAAGAAAACCTTCTATCTCCGTTTTTCAGTTTTTGACATTATTTGAAAATGGCTGTAGTCCTTTATATTGTTTGTACATTTCTTGAAGAATGGACCAAAAGAAACAGCCCAAAATGACTTGGGAAAATGTCTGTTTCATACATTGATTCTTCCTGGCAGATCTCCAGGTTGTTCAGGTTGGTTGGATGACACTTGTGGACTGCAGTTCTCAAATGGTGACACAAATTCTCGATTGGACTAACATCAGGACTTTGACTTGGCCACTGTTCAACCACTTCTGTGTTGATTTTGCCTTGTGCTTGTCGTCACTGTTCAGCTTGAAAGGCAAAGTATCTCCCTGTATTTTTCACCATCTACTCTACTTTCAATTTTAACAAGATGCCTAGTCCCACCACTGAGGAAAAGCATCCCCACAACAGTATGCTACCACTCCATACTTCACTGTTGGGATGGTGTTTGTTGAGGAACTGGCTATGTTAGATGTGCACAACTCAGAGTTTTAAATTTTGGCCAAAAAGCTGAGAACAAAACCTTTTCCCACAATTTAGCACAAACTGGTGCTTTCTGGCAGTTTGTGCTAAATTGCTTCATTCTCATAGCTTTCCTTCAGATTCACAGTTGGACTTACCAATGTTACCAATGTGTGGATATCTGCACATGTACAGCTATCCACACCTCTCATATGTGTAGATATGATTAAATGTTTGTATAAAAATGTCATATAAGAAGTGGAGTTGATGATTGGGTTTGACTTTTTTCTCCCAAAACAAATATATTGAATATTAATATTTATAACATACTTTTGAAATGCCCTCCAACCAGTAGTTCATGTGGTCTATGTTCTTCATCTCCTCTTTTCCCTCAGCTCCTCATGAAGCTGCTTGTGAGACCTCCAAGACTTTGTAAACCTGCATCAAGACAAAGCAAAAGGGGTGATTCTACTGAAGAATCTAAAACAAATGATACTTTGGATTTCACACCTTTATAATTCAGTGTATAAGCACTTTTGTGTTTTCCACAGTTCTCATGTCCACTACTGTATACTGTGGAACAAGAACTGGATTATGAAAACAAGTATTCTCGACCTTAACCATGTGCCACATCATAAAACAGGAACTGAGACTGCAGACTCATGTCAGGCCTAACAGCCTATTGCAAAACTTTCAGAGACTATTTGGTAAAGTGTGAGTGACACTGAGAAGGTTGTATAAAATTAACCTCACTCTGTGTCCAAGATCAATAAGAAAAAACTTTCTCGCCCACATTTGTATTACTATGATTAAATATCACTGTTACCAGGAGCCTAAAGGGCTCAGATATAATTGTATGATATTGTGGAAATATATCACTCATATATAATTTTCAGAAGTTTATTCTCTCTCAGAAATAGTAAGTTGCTTTAGTTTGTTCCAACTTACACAACAGTGGGGTATAAAGTGGATGGAGGCTATCTGTGGGTTTGTACACTGGCTGTTCCTGGGGTCCTGATGGACTGGGCAAGAAAACATATCTGACTTAAAAGAGGACAACCTAGAAAATCTATAAATCATCTATAAATGGATCAATGACAACTTGGAACTTGGAAGTGGTTTTGTAACAAAAATTCCTTTTTTTTTAAATAAAAATATACCTGATTTTTTTTGTATTCACCTTTAATACATGTAACATTACCTATTGTCACTGTCACACAAAAACCTGGTATTTCCATTTTTGTCTATTTTGTTTTGGTAATTAGTAATTTGAAAACTCCAGTTACCCTTTTTGCGCTGTCCTGAAATTTATGATGTTGGGCCAATAGAAATAGACCAAAATTACTTGCAAGAACTCGTGTGACATTAACTTTGATTAAGAGTTAATGTTTTTTTCTTTCTCCAATAAAATTACTACTCTGAAGATATAAGATTTTGTTCCAACAGTGACAATTTATATGAATCATTGGTTTGTCAAGTCAAGATTTTTTTATGTAGCACAGTTTACAATGGCCATTGAGAAAGATAACTGATAATATTGCAACTACATATATATATATATATATATATATAGTAAGGAGGAAACAAGCTCAACTCAACTGTTTACAAGTCAGGTGCTTTATTGAGCTGTATCGGCCACAGCTTCACCATTCACACATAATCAGGATGCTAACATAGCTCTCTAGTTAGCTGTTGACTTTATTAAAGGAGAAATGCTGTTCAACTCTACCCGGCCCTATGTGAAAAAGTAATTGCCCCCTTAGCCACTAAATCAACCAGTTTACCAAATTCAATTGACTACTGACTATTGAACAAGATCAAGCACAACCAGCAAAGATACATTGATTTGGTCAGGGGATGATGAGATCATTTACTACAAACTCCAAAAAATTTGGGACAGTATGTGAAAGGCAAATGAAAAAAGAAAGCAGTGATTTGTAAATCTACTTCAACCTGTAAGAAAATAAAAGTAAGCAAGAAATGCTCATGGTTGTGGGGGCTAGACTGGCCTGCCTATTTCCTAATGAAAATGTGTGGTGATTTATGAAGTGCAAAATACGACAATGAATGGTTGTGCAGCCAAAGACTCCTATAAAAAATTCCACTTTCAAAACTGGACACTTGGGGTCTCCAGTTTCCAAATGTTTTTTAAGCATTAAAAAGAAAGCTGATGTAAAACAATCTCCTGTCTCAGCTGTTTTGGAATGTCAAGACAGGAGAACATTACAGTAGTCTAAACAGGATGTCACAATTTCATGCCAAGTGTTTCTATGTCTGCCAGGCTGAGGAATCACTGGAGGGAGCAATATTACAGAAAATGGTGTCTTAACTATATTGATATGTCAAAACAGAGAGTGGGGTCATAGATAACTTCAAAGTTGAAGTTGTAAGCAAAAGGTATTACCAAAATCCCATCAAAATTGATGCCAAGGCCAAATGAACTAGCTATCAGTGCTTTAGAGATGATTAAGAGCATCTCAGTTTTGCTAGCATTCAGTTTTAAAAAGTATATTCTCATTCATGATTTCATGTTGTGAATACTTCACACTGCTGGAACAAAACCTTGTATCTCCATAAAGGTACAGTGGGAGGAAAGAAACTGAGGATGGAAGTTACATATGTTTTGTTACTAACAAAGTTTTTCCATGTCCTGATTTGTCATTGATCCATTTATAGACCATTTACAAATTTTCTAGATTGCCTGCTTTTAGGTCAAATTTAGGTGACACTGTTGCGTTATGTGGTATAAATTTATTTAATAATAATCCTTCATGCCCCTGATAAGGGTGATATTTTACCACAGTATCATTAAACACAACTTTTTAAAACATCATATTCAGCCTGACTCTGAAAGTTTTGCAAAAGGCAGTTAGACATGCCATGAGTCTGCAGTTTCAGCTTCTGTTTTATGATATGGCAGCTGCTTCCTGTCCTATTCAAAATACATGTGTTTAAAATCCAGTTCTAGACCTATTTGTAAAATTATTGAATATATATATATATATATATATATATATATATATATATATATATATATATATATATATTCATATATATATATTCATCTGTATCTACTGTATACATTAGTGGACATCAAAACTATTAAAATAACAGATAAGGACATATGCAGTGATATAAAAAAAGGCCTTCTTTACTATTTAAGAGTTATGGCTATTTTGGTAGTCATCTTTATTAATTTTTGTAAAATTTCATTGAAGGGATTTTTTTAATCTTGAGAGACATTGGGGTTATATGAATCTAGTCCACCAATCAAGCTAATCTTCCCTTTGTGGAAAAAAAAGTAAACTAAAGTTGTGCTACTTTATTTTGGAACCACTAATTTGTAGTAAATCAGTACAGATAATCAGTAACACATCAACAACACATCAGTGAAGTAGCATCTGAATACACTGAGATAAATATCTTGTAGATGTACTGTTGATAGATTACATACATTAAGTAGGTGTGTAGGCTTAATATGCTACTTCCATTAAGCAACACCCAACCTTACCCAAAACCTGACCGTTACCCTGGCCCTAATACTCTTATACTTTTGGGCCTACTTTTAACCAAAGCCTAATCCAGTTCAGCTCCAGTTACAGAAAAGTGTCAGCAGCATGTCTATAACAGCTTGTTGAGATGTTGCTCAACAAGCTGTTATATTTTATTAATACTAATATTTTTTATTAGTACCACTTACTTTTCCAGCCTTTTGTTGCCCCGTCCCAACACAAAGCTCACCTTGCATTGGTCAAAAAAACATCTACATGACCCCCAAGACTTTTGGGATTATATTTTGTGGACTAATGAGTCAAAGGTGGAACTTTCTGGAAGACATGGGTACATCTAGTGTTAAGATAACATTCCACCACAAGCACATTATAACAACAGTCAAGCATGGTGGTGGTAGAGTGATGGTTGGGGCTGCTTTGCTTCT